AAGAAAAAGTAGCTACAGAATGGCACAAGTAGTTTATATTATTTATACTTGAAACTTATTTGCAATAGGCTGCACTTCCTTATATTGTTTATATTCTTTAAAATAAACTTATCTCATTCAATGGTATAATCTCTAGTGACTATATTATCATTTTCTGTTGTAAATCTTAACTTGACCGTTTTCTATAATAAGAATAATAATAAAAAACTGTGTGTCATACATAAAAATGAAACACTGGTTGTCTATGATGAGAATCTACTGCTGTTTAGATTTTGCAAATCTTCAAATTGAAATCATAAGTACTGTTTGTATCATATTTCAGTAACGTGCTTATTGGTTACTTTTTTTTTTTTTAAAACTGTTGTAAATAATATTATTTTTTTGATCGCATATGTATTGTAGTTTTCTTAAATAGCATTTTGATAAGTTATATTTGTCTCAACCGTGATTTATAATTTAATTTTAATCCCAATATGGTAATGTCATCCTTCGCTGTCTTATTTTGATATTCCGCACTTTTTGAAGAAGAAGTGTATTTCACTTCATCATCGTTATTTTTCACTTTCATCGAGGAGAGTGTAAATATAGATAACAATATAATATATGTTTTTCTCTTTATTAAGGCTGAATCTGATTTATTAGAATTTAATGGAATAATACTTACTCTAATACCATATCTTAATTTCGTACAATAATCTATAAAAGCAAAAAGATTTATACAATATTGCTAATATTGTTTGTCTTTCGACAATCTAATTCGTAATTATCATGTAAAGTAGATAAGGAGCCTTTATTTTCATTTTATTTTTTTAAAAGAAAAAAAAATACATTTATGCTTCTTTCTCTTTTTCTCCTATACATTTTTAATATTTCCAAAAAAGACATATAGAAAAAAGACAGAGTTCATTACGACTATAAAGAATACATACTTTTAAATAGTATAGATAAAATATGAAGGCTTAGACAAGTTTAAAGTCTTCCATTTTGTGAATAACACGAGTAACTTTATAATATCATTCGATAAAATAACTGATATTGAAATAGGAGAAACTGAAAACACCATTAGAAAGAAAAGAGATGAATATGTTTGGATAATGTAAGTATTGTCCTTTCTCCTCCGACTAACTGCTCCTATTAAATTCTTTTGACCTGTCATGGAAAAGTAAAATGAAACTACTCTTCTTCTAGAAAAAAAAAAAAAAAACTTGTATACATGTAATATAATTTATAAAAGACTTTTCCCTATCCCATCTCAAAGTTTGATAAGTATATGTACTTCAAATGAACGTTATAATACAATTAAAAAATAAATCAAACATTGTACCTATTATTATTTTTTGAAACCAACATATTATTTCCAGGGGAAACTAATCATCAGATAAAATTTAAAAAAAAAAGAGAAACCTTCTTAACAATAATAGGAATATTTGAGATGGTACACTCTTTTTAAGCATGCAATTCGTTTGTATCTAGTAAAAGAATTAATAATATATCGAGAATATTAATATTATGATTCTATAGCATTATGGTTGAGTAATGGTATATTAACTTGCTTTATCCTTTACTATTGTAAAGAACATAATCTTTATCTTTAAGACTGAAATGGATCCATGTTATATCTAAGAAGTAGCTTAGTAATTTAGTAGAGACTCTTGATGGGGACTCCACCTCTCTAATCATATAAAATACTCTAATACAGTATGTATATAATGTACACTTAGATAACATCCTAAAGTATAATTGATTAGGCAAATGCCTCGTGCTATATCTGCTATCAAAGCCCGATAAACGCATAATAGTAATAGTTTGATATAAGAAGATCTAAAATGAATCAATTTCATAAAACTATAATAAAAGTTTAAATGCTAATAAAATAATTTCTTTGTAGTATTATCGATACATATTAAAAATAAGACTATTATAAGGTTTAATGTATTATTGTATGTATTAAAAAAAAAGGACAAATCTTAGAGAATTCTCATTCTTAATACGCATGATTTCCAAACATAATGACATAGTTTCAAAATGTAAAATCGGCAATAATACAATTGTGCGATCTGTTACACGAAATTTTAACAAATTGATTTATACTGTAGAAAAAAAAAATAAAGCTTTTAATTCAAAACACAGAAAAAATAGTTCCCCTTTTTTTTATAACCTTAAAAAAGGTAACATTCGAAATATAACTCATTATAACGCGAAAGAAATAAAGTAAGAATCCTTATAACTTTCCAAATCTCAAATTGTTTCAAGCATAATACAGACTTCTATAAACTGCTTAAAATAATCAGTAACTTTGGAGGAAGATTGTTTTTTCAATATAATATATTCAGTAACGTTTTTTACCTGATGGTTTCATATGATTCATGTTTAATACGTAAAAAATATGCATTTATAATATAATGGTATGATATTTTAAATCAAAATTAAAAACAATTAAGATATAATATGATCGACAACTAGTTAAAGATTGACAGAAATAAAATTATCTATTAATTAGAATTGTAGTATTATGTATATATGAATCAGTTGTTTACTAGTCAGTAAAAAAAAAAAAAAAAAAAAAAAAAAAAAAACTGACATTTAATATGTAATCGTTCTACTTTTTTTTTTCAGCTAAAAAATGTACTTGAAAAAAGTAAACTTAGTTAAGACCACTTCAAACACTTCTTGCATTTAAATGTAGCTTAAAATAAAACAATCATTTTGAGTGTAAAAATTTACATTTAAAGTTAAAATACACTTGTGTTTTAAATTCATTCCCGCACACTTCCTGACTATGAAAGATCTTTGTCTTAAATCCAAAAAAAAAAACTGATTTTTTTTTGTTTTAAAACACTTATCGTTATTTAAATCAAATAAATGAACATATATAAAAAGCCTCTTCTCCAGAAAGTATCAGTTAGTTATTCAACTTAATACTTCTTATAGAACAATGGCACGTAAATTGTTTGTCTTATCTTTAACAGCAGCAGTATTAGCTCTTGTATCAGCACTCCCTGCTCCTTTAGGTTCCCATGATAGTATTGTAGGTACAGCTTCTTACGACAGTGCCGTTTCCAAGTGTATATATAAAAGAGATGTGATTCCCGCTACCACTACCACTGCTGCCGCCGCTACTACCACTACTACTGCTAAGGCCGCTACTACTGCCGCCGCCACCACTACTGCTAAGGCCGCTACTACTACTACTGCTAAGGCCGCTACTACTACTACTGCTAAGGCCGCTACTACTACTACTGCCGCCGCCACCACTACTGCTAAGGCCGCTACTACTACTACTGCCGCCGCCACCACTACTGCTAAGGCCGCTACTACTACTACTGCCGCCGCCACCACTACTGCTAAGGCCGCTACTACTACTACTGCCGCCGCCACCACTACTGCTAAGGCCGCTACTACTACTGCCGCCGCCACCACTACTGCTAAGGCCGCTACTACTACTACTACCGCTGCCACTACTACTACTACTGCTAAGGCCGCTACTACTACTGCTAAGGCCGCTACTACTACTGCCGCCGCCACCACTACTGCTAAGGCCGCTACTACTACTACTACCGCTGCCACTACTACTACTACTGCTAAGGCCGCTACTACTACTGCCGCCGCTACTACTACTGCCGCCGCCACCACTACTGCTAAGGCCGCTACTACTACCGCTGCCACTACTACTACTACTGCTAAGGCCGCTACTACTACTGCCGCCGCCACCACTACTGCTAAGGCCGCTACTACTACCGCTGCCACTACTACTACTACTGCTAAGGTCGATACTACTACTGCCGTCGCTACTACTACTGCCGCCGCCACCACCACTACTACCGCCGCCACCACCACTGCCGCTGCCACCACCACTACTACCGCCGCCACCACCACTACTACCGCCGCTACCACCACTACTACCGCCGCTACCACCACTACTACCGCCTCTACCACCACTACTGCTAAGGCCGAAACTACTACTGCCGCTGCCACCACCACTGCCGCCGCTACCACCACTACTACCGCCTCTACCACCACTACTACCGCCTCTACCACCACTACTGCTAAGGCCGCTACTACTACTACTGCCGCCGCTACCACCACTACTACTAAGGCCGAAACTACTACTGCCGCTGCCACCACCACTGCCGCCGCTACCACCACTGCCGCTGCCACCACCACTACTACCGCCGCTACCACCACTACTACCGCCGCTACCACCACTACTGCTAAGGCCGAAACTACTACTGCCGCTGCCACCACTACTACCGCTGCCACTACCACTACCACTGATGCTGTGTCGACTACTACTACTACTAAACCCTCTAAGAAAGAAAGAAAGGCCTCTAAGGAAGCCGCCAGAAAGTCAAGAAAGGAAGCTAAGAAGGCAAGAAAGTCCTCTAAAGAAGCTGCCAGAATGTCAAGAAAGGAAGCTAAGAAGGCAAGAAAGTCCTCTAAAGAAGCTGCCAGAATGTCAAGAAAGTCCTCAAAGGAAGCCGCTAAGAAGGCAAGAAAGTCCTCAAAGGAAGCCGCTAAGAAGGCAAGAAAGTCCTCTAAAGAAGCCGCCAAAAAGTCAAGAAAGGAAGCTAAAAAGGGCCATAAACAAACCCATGACAAGAAAGCTGCTAAAAAGTCAAAGAAGGCTCATAAGAAAGATAAGAAGCACAAGCACAAGCACCATAAGCATTAAAAAAAGAAAAGACTAATGAACCAATATTTAATGAATCCCTCTATTTTATATATTTCCCTACCCTACTTTGTTTAATTTTAATTCATGTATAATCTTTATTATTATTATTATTATTATAAAATAAAACTAATATAATATTTAACATTCTGACAATAGTTTATTGTTTTAATCTATTTTTTTTTTTAATCATAGTATAATTCCTTAGGGCAAAGAAGTTCAGTTCTTGCTTATTATGTATTACTGTTTTTATAATCATTTGAATTACAAATTTCATAGAAGAGTAATCTTGTATAAGGAAATTATTTAAAATGTTATAATAGCTAGTATAGTTTTTTCTTTTATAAAAAGCATGCTGTATTCAAGCTATAAAAGATGTTAAATAGTTTGTACAACATGATATCACCTTTTTTTTTTCATAATTACAAGAAGCTAATATGTTTCTTTTTTCCTATCTTTCTCTTTCTCTTTTTTTTTTCCCCTATTACTATATAATTGCTTTATTATAAGCAGTTATATTTATATACACATATATAGAATAATAATAGCATAGAATATAAATATATATTCCTTTCTTTCTATTCGTTTTTCTTTTACTTATATGGATCATCACTATCATCATAATAATAACAGTCGACGCAATATATACTCTAACCCTTTTTCTAATAATAACTTATGTGAATATCCAAAGACATTACAAAAACCAAATAAAATTATGTTAGTAGATCATTACAATCACTCTTCATCTGAATTACATCATGATCGTTCACAAGAGATCACTTGGTTATTCTTCAGAGATAATAAATGGGTACCTTTTCAATCAAATAATCATCATAAAATAGAACAAGTATTTACATTAGGCGGTAAAGATATATTTATACGTATTAGAAGAAGAAGAAGAAAAAAAAAAGTAAATATTTATTTCATCATCTTATTTTTATAGGTATTTATGTAGATATTAATGGTAATAGCAGAGTATATTACAGAAATATATAGCAGTGAATTATATTAATGACACGTTATACATTTTTAGATATTAATTTTCCTCATTTAAAAAGTATACGGGTATTTCCAACGAGGATGTATTTATCATATCTCGGTATGAAGTATCGACTCAGTTGTGTTATACAAGGATCATGATATAATAGTTACACTTATATTTAATTATATGTACATGTATGTATTTTTCTTCTTCTTTTTCTCTCTCTCTCTCTCTTTATTATATGTTTAGAATATACCACATACTATATACTTTGTAATTATTAAAACTGTCTATCTATTATATACATATTTACTCTACAGGCTGACATAAGATGCCTGTAAATGATGCCATTAATGCACGTTGGTGTGCAAATTTGGCTTGATATCCACCAGCTTTTACCTGCTTATTATTATGAATATATTCTGTAGATCTATGTAGAAATATATAAATACATCATGCATCCTATTTTAATATAAATATAAATGTATAACTTACGAATCCATATAATTTTCACGCACGGTATATCCGGAGGTATATTCATATTGTAATGCTAGTGGATCAAAATTTCTTGCTTCATTCTCTCTCATATCAACATCTGCTTCCATTGCTGTCGTAATCCAAGAGGGAATAAACAGTTTATTATCTGTCTGTTGTTGTTGCTGCTGCTGCTGCTGGCGAAGAGCAGAAGATCTTTTAAGAGCAGTTGCTTGTCTCGCTTGAATCACTGCTTGAGCAGATTTATTTGATGTTGCAAGTTCTGTAATAATGTCAGACTTTTCTATTTCTTTCATCTTTCTTTCTTCTTCTAATTGTTTCAAATATTCTTCCCTCTTTTGCTCTCTTTCTTTTTTCTCTAATTCATCTTGATAATTTCTATATCTTTGCTCATTTAGTAGTTTAGCTTGATTTGCTGCAATACTTTCTTTATTTTCCATTTCATATGCTGCTATTTTTGCTTCAGTTTCTGCAACATCCACTTCATTCATTAAATTAAATGCTATATATAAGTATATTGTTAGAGGGAGTGGGAAAGATAAGGAGAAGAGGTAAAGAGTTCAAATTTATGTACATACTAATATCTTCTACCATTTCCAAGTAATCATTATATGCCCTTAAACTTGGAAAATCTTCAGCCCTTTTATTAAACCTAAAAATACACTTTAAGAATTATTTTTGTTTTTTTCTTTTAACTACGCACGAAATATTGTCTTACACTCTAGCAGCTCGTTTTCGTATACGAACTTCTTTTTCAACAGCAAGATCTTCAAAAATTTGGGAAATGAATTGGTTCTTTCTTAACACTTGTTGACAGATAGGACAAGGAGCGGGTCCCGCACTAAATAAACGATCTATACAAGATTCACACCTAAACATTGTTATGCAAATTTTACACATGTACATAAATTAATCTTTTCTTTCTTTCCTTTTTTTTTCCACATTATACAAAATCCTTATTTATTTTATCTTACATTTTATGAAAGCAAGGTGACACTAAAAGCTTTAAATTGGGTGTTAAGTATTTATCACTTTTACAAACAGGACATTGAGCATCTTCTTCCTATAAAATGCATAACATGAATCGTTTAAATATATGTAATTTTATTAAGTTTTTTTTTTCTTAAAAAAAAATAAGCAGCTCATACTTGAAAAGAAACAATCGATGTTCCTGTTTTCCCAATCATTAAAGTTTGATTTCTTAACGTATTTGTCATTTATTAAAAAAAAACAGCTATACTAGAAAGAAAAGAATTGTGTTGTACCTATCTTGTAAGTCAAAAAATAAAAAATAAAATAAAATAATAATTATTTAAAAATAAGAGAATTTAATTGGGTGGAATGCCTTAGCGTCACTTTTTTTTATATACATGTATTGGTATATTGTCTGTGTACTTTTAAATACATTTTTTTTTTTTTTTTTTTTAAAAAAAAATCTTATTTTGTTCTCGTCTTGCACATTAATAAAATAACTAAAAATGTCTATGCTAGATAATTTAAAAAAAACACGAAAGAATCCCATCTTTTTGGATGAGAGTGAAGACATGGATGTTGACAATATGGATTTTCCTCTTCCTACTGAAACACCTGGATCAAGTAGCAATCCCTTAGGAGGCATGCCTGATATGGCACAACTTCAAAAAATGATGCAAAGCCTAAATGCGGGTAGTGATAGTACTCAACGCCCTAATGCCCCTTCTACTACAAGAGATCCCGGATTTGTTACTGTTGCCTCTGGGCCTAATGGTGTTCCCCGTCAAATGCAGCCAAATGAATACAAGGAGTGAGTAATATTTTATAGTTATCTTTTTTAATGTTATCTTATGTATATATATATTATTTTAGCTGGGTCTGTGTTTATCCTTGTTATATTGATGCTGATAAGACCGTTCAAGAAGGAAGAAAAATTTCCAAGGAAAAGGCGGTCAAAAATCCTCATGCTTACCACATGGCTGTTGCATGTCAAAAATTAGGCTTCAATGTAGTATATGAGGTACAAAATAAAACCTTATATATGTATATACATATACATATATACATGGAGTGGACGATGCAGTTTAGATTAAGCCTTTTTCTTTTTCTTTTTTTTTTTTCTCTTCATTAGGGTAAACGCCATCCTCGTGATTGGGCTAATGTTGGACGTGTTCGTGTTCAATTGAAGAATTCATCCAACTTTTTTATTAATCCTAACATCATAACACGTAAACAATTATTCATAGCTATTGCCAAGTTGATTCCTATTTGTCAAAAGGAAGGTGAAGTTCCAAAGACGATCGTTTCACCTTTGACCACTTTAGCAGAAATTGAGGCACTAGCTGATGAACAACGTAGAGCCCAAGGTCTTCCTACGTTGGCAGAAATGCAAGCACAAAATGCAGCTCAACAACCTCATATTCCTGCTAAACCAAAGAAACAAAAGATTAAATATGTTCGTGCTTAATTAATGTATTAGCATTACATATTTATTACATTGTTTATTATTATTATTATTATTCTTTCTTTTGTAATGAGTGCGCAAGCGCTCCTTTGACTTTTTTCGGAGGAAGAGAGTTGTACAGCATATGTGTAATCATTCCCTATTCTATATAAATATATAAAAGTATTATATTATCTAATACGTTAAATTTAGTCTAGTTAATGTTATGTTATACTTGTATTTATTCTTGATTTTTGATATAAGCCAGTTTCTATAGCATCAAATACATGTGTTTTCAGTTTAATTTGATTCATCTTTTTTTTTTTTTGTTTAAATACATGTTATGCACTGATAAAATGATTCAAATAATAATAATAATAATAATAAAAAAGAAATGTAGTAACAATAAGAATACAATTATGTTCTTTATTTATACAACTATATTTATAACTTGGATTCCTTACGAGCAGCTGTTGCAGTAATAAGACCTATAAACGAACTTAATATGTATACATATATATATATATTTCCTCTGATATATGGGATCATCATTCACTTACCAGAGGGATCAGCTTGAGGATGAAATAAGGTTGTGTGCTTACCCTTATTATTAATATTAAATTTACTTAAATCAATGCCAACATAATGTTTATTAGGTAAAGCATAAGATACTTCAGCAATCTCGGGAAATGTAGACAAAATATGTTGCTGCATCATATAGAGTGTAGCTTGAACAGATGCAGAGTCATCCTTTGCAAATATATCACAAGTGATTTGTTTGATAGCGGCATGAATCGCTTTGTAATCTATCTGTTGAAGGGCAGGCTGCTGTTTGGGATGAAATGTCCATTTACAGTTAATCATGGTCGAAAAGATACGATCCCAGGTGGGTTCCAAGGTGGTATATTGATCAACTAGAAAATTATAGAAGGTGGAACCGGTTGTCTTGAGTACGAGTAATCGATCGAGTCCCGAAGTGATATGAATTTGGTTACCAGCACGGTAATGTTCAACATGGGTGGTTTGAACATCTTCTCCATCGCGATGGAATGCATATGGATGAGCTTGACCATCCACAATGAGACGTGACCATCTGTGTTTAATGATGTCTACAAAGGCAGCAGAGATGTGTGTATATTGTCTCAAAATATGCTCAGTTATCTCTTGAGCAAATATCTCAATATTATCTACATGAGGACTCTTTTTCGCAAGAATGTTGATTGTATTTTTACAGGTATCTAAATGTATCGTTATGAATGATCATTCTGATATATATATATATTTAAGGAAGAAGCCCCACACACTCCCTCCCTCTTTATATATATATATATACAATACCAGTAGTAACTACAACAGAGTTATTCGCCTTTGTATAAGAAGTTTCGATATCACCCTCTAACAAAAGTTTGACCTATTTAATTTAATTTTTTTTTATAATAGTTTATTATTCATTCCTCCTTCTCCCTTTATATATGTATACATATTTATATTTATTTACTGTAAGTTCAGTGCAATGCTGGATATTCTCCTCTTTATAAACTCTTAAGAGGTGGACAAGGTCTTTTCCGTAGCGAGCTTTCTTGAGATAAACATTATCACTATTGGGCATATTTTTTTTTCTTTTTTTTTGAAAATAAATAAATAAAGGAATAAAATGCATCATTAAACTGATTTCTCTTTATATATATATGTATACATATACATCAAAAGATATATAAAATAAATTTTATCTTACAAAATGAAATATACCTGTTGTATAGTTTTTAATCTTTTAGTAATTATATGATATATTTTATTGCATAGTCTGTACTATATATAAAATTATAGATAGTACATGTATTTACATGATTTGATATCTTATCAGTCTATCTAATTTGAATACTTATCTTTTAATGTATACATGCAAATTATATATGAATTTGGGAAAGAAAGAAAGAGAGAGAGAGAAAAATAAGATAAGATGATAAATTTATTTCTAATAATAATAATAAAAAAAATGAAAAGAGAGAAAAGGGAATCTATTATGTATGTTTTAATTGTGAGAAAGAGTAGATTGCACTTGAGAAGAAGTTTCAGTTCTCATAATCTCTCTTAATGCCATCGTAGCATATTGACTTGTACCAAGTGTAAATTCAACTCTCAAGGCTAAATATTTACCATCTAATAATAAGAATAATAGATTAGAACAAAGCATGCATACATATCTATGTATATTCTAATCATACCAGCAACACCAAGAGGTTCAGGCTTGTTTTCGATTTTATCTACATCCGTATTACAAAGTTTTTCTGTAGGATCATTATAACGAATGAAAGACCTATTTTTTTTCATACAAGTATTAAAGACTTGTATTATATAATATGTATGCATGTATGTATGTATGTATCATTTTACCAACTCATATTCTCAGGCTTTGATAACATAGATCTATAATCACCTTTCAAACCTCTAAAAAACGAAAAAAATAAAATAAGTTAGTAATAAATTACTTCTTCATACGTGTTTTTTTTTTCTTTTTTTTAGATCACTTACTCAAATTGATTATCACGCTTTTCTATGGAAATACCATCTTCAGCTGATTAAAAGAGAGGACATTAATATTTCATCCGATTAAAAGTATATTTTTATATTCGTTTTACCCATAAACTTTCTGTAAAGCTCTTTAATTTCATTTTCAGGATATAGAGTCGATCTACCAGGTAAGGGATAGACTACATCTTCAATGGAATATTTGTCTAAATCTTCTTCAGTTAATACCTTGGGGACTTTACGCTATTAGAAAACGAATAGATATATTTAGTTCATTCACTATTATACCAAAGGAAAGAGAGAGAGAGAGAATATATGATGGGTTATTCATAGAACTTACATCTGTAGGGTCACGTCTACCGGCATTATTATTTATAAAAGAGTTGTTCGTATTTTTAGTTTCATTATCGACTAAAACTAAATCACCGACCATAGGCTTACTAGTACCAAAGAGTCTTACACGTTCAGATACTACCCTGTTCCAAATGTAAGATTGATATGCATGTAAATACAAAGATAACATGTTTCTAGGTAACTATGTAAAATATATATGTATACATTTATAAGTATTCCGTTATAAAGCAAAAATTTGTTCGTTCGTTTTTTTTTTTCATATAGATAATTACACTTTTAATAGCTTTGGCATGTTGATTAGGATTATTTGAATAAAATTGAAGAAGTTTACGTTCAGAAAAAGCTCTCTTGGGTAATATAGCAAGAGTAGCTTTAGCATCTTGGGTCTCTTCCCAAAGAGTTCTTGCCCGATGATAATCTTCACGCTCTAATTTATACATACATGCGTATTAAAATTCTCTAGTTAATAGTATTATATGCATATATATATATTACCTCCTTCACGTGGTCTAAGAATTAAATTAGATGCTTCTTTGTAATCTTTCTTAATAATAGCACATCCAATAGTATGTGTCAAAACAGAGCTTGTACCAAATCGTTGCATGCCAAAATAATTCAAGAAACCATTATTTTTTAAAGATTGTAATGCTTCCTCTAATTCAGCTTCAGTAGCACCTTGAACATCTCTAAGGACAATTGTAAAGTAGTTTCCACCAAGGTCCCCTAAAGTTAATCCATTTGACACAAATCTAATAGAGAATGATAAGAAATTATTGATATACATATATATTTGTGCATATTATCCATATTTACTTAAAATCACCAAGATAAAGACCACTTTTATTTAATTCTTCTTGAACTACCATAATACGTCCAGGCTTTACACCTTTCATTGTGAGCGTTTGAGTCGTGATGGCTCTTGCATCTTTTATACCTGCATAACCGAAATTCTTGACATTTGCACTAGATATTTATATAGTGTTAAAACTTCAAAATGTCTCATGCCTCTCCCCTCTCCCTCCTTTTTTTTTGATATTGCAACTCATAACTTACCCAACTTTTTTAGAAATAATATTAATAGCATTCATAGTATCAACACCCATTTTTTGCATACTTGCTTGTAAGTAATGACCTCCAAGACGACTCCAATCAATAAATTCTATCCACACGCATATTAGGGACAAATCTTGTATATATAAAGATGAATATATATATATATATATATATACCTTCATTATATTCTCCTGAAGGCCATTTAATAATAACATGACCCTCTTTACCACGACAATAAACTTTAGGTTCCAAATGCCCATTAACAAGTCTATAAAAAAGCACGCGTGTATCCTTATCAGCCTATTAAATATGTAAATTAATATACACGTACATATATGCCAAACTAGGGTAGAAATATAGTTACAGGCACTGTTAAAGTGGCGTCTGTATTTTCAGGATGATCAAGGAAGGCACGAAATGTTTGAGCAAAATCTGTACCCAGAAGTTTAGTCACCTCTTGATCAAACACATCACTAGGATAAATTTCCATCTTTTCTTCACCCTAAATAAAACATCAGATTTACTTTTATGTCACTAGATTCTTATTATTTATTAGTTACTTTACCTCTAATTTTGTATTAGGGGGTTCAAATGAAGTAAGATGGACAATATTTTTATCCATATCAACTTCATTTACAAGAAAATCTTCAGCTCTAAATAAAAAAAAATATATATAAATATATAAAATAATGTATCTCTATTTATTAATTTACACTATTTTGTGTGTGTGTGTGTGTTATTACCTGTATTTTAAGATACTATGGAAACCTTTCAAGTTGGGATTAACATAAGCTATTATACCAACGTTGGTTTCTGTAATTTTGATAAGCACCTCATCTTCATCAGAATCAATTCGCTTTCTCTTGATTTCACTGTCAAATGAATCATCCGAATCTAAAGCTCTTTTGTTCCTTTTCTCTAAGGATTCAGTAGATTTTGAAAATAAATTTCCCATTTTTTTAATTATTTGGAGAGAAAAAAAAAATAAAAGATCGATCAATAATGAAGAAGGGTTCAAACTTTTTTTTTTTTTTTTTTTTTTATGGGCATATTTTATTAATTTTTTTTTCCCTATAGTTTCTGAATTTAAATTTATCAGGTAAGCAATTTTTCACTAATTTTCGGGAATCCAAAGCTTCACAACTTTAACCTTATTCCCTTTTTTTTTTATTTTTTATTTTTTTTTGTGTATGCATGTATAACGTGCTACTTTTAAATCTTATTTTAATAATATAATTTTTAATTAAGCACAGGGTAATGCATATATCAAAATTGTCTATACTAAACCGTCAATAAAGAAACCTCTGCGGGATCGAAAATAGAAAAGGAGAAAGTGGAATACTATGACACATTTAATGAGGAGTAGAGGGGAGGCATCTTTATTCTCTTGATTGTAACAGTCAACAATAGTAGTAATGTAAGTGGATCAAGTTTATAATAAAGGGATTGTACCCATAATTGGCCAAAGAAGTATGTAAAGACACTATGTGCCCAGTTGTCGCTGCTGGAAGATAATTTAGAAGCAAAGTCAATAATACGTTTGGAGACAGTAATGTATTATCATGCTTCTTTATGAGCAGTCATACAGGGATGTGCCATTATTATAGTTTTTTTTTTACGTGAAATTAAGAGCGAAGAAATAAACAAAAAAAAATATATACATATATAAAGTAAAGCTAAAAAAAAAAACGTGTTTGAGACAACAAACTTGTTATCCTTAACGAGCAAATACAGAAGAATGTTCTCAAGCAGTTAAGCTCTTGGAAGAGAAATGATAGTCAGTATTATAACATAATGTACAGTTCTGATAGTAAACTAATATAGTTCTGATAGTAAATGAATATCAATAATAAAATATAAGTTTGTATGTCTATCAAAGATTAGAATGATAAACAGTTTTTTTTTTTTTTTTTTTTTTTTTTTTTTTTTTTTTTTTTTTTTATTGAGCCGTTGCTTAGAGCTGCAGTATCTCATTTTAACCTTGTTATCTATTTGAAAATAATGACTGGTTTTCATTATTATTATTATTATTTTTTTTTTTTTTTTTTTCATTCAGAGAGGTGCAAATGAGAAGAGCTAATGAGCAGAATTAGAAGAATATAACATATAAAGAAATGAATGTTAACAATAGTAAGCTGTTGTAATCATCCTTTATTTTATTTTGCTATTATAGTTGTAGCCTTTTGTATGATCAATAATGTTGTTGTTATTTTGTTGTTGTACGCATTATAAATAATATAAAATACGCGGTATAAAAAAAAAAAGTATACGCATATTTTTTTTTTTTTATATACATACATAAATAAACATATAATTTAATTTATTGATCATGGGCATTACATGGTAAATCAAACAAATGTATCCTTTATAAAATATAATATAATATGTGCATATATATGTATATGTGTATAATTCTAATATACACTTTTTTTTTCTATCTCTCTCTTCAGTCTTGTTCGATGGAAAAATGCAACAGGCATGCGTGATTTTACATACATTGCAGAACATATAACAAAAACATTACATGGCAAGAATATAGGACCTTGGTCACTTTCTTTTAAAGTATTTCGAGATGTAGATTCAACGATGAATAATAATAATAATGCTCGACAAATGACATTAAAGGATAGTAAATTATTATATCAAGTCTCACTTGCTCAACAACCACGACATGTCTATTGTATGGTAGAAGGTAGTGTAGTGGTTGAGGCAGAAAAGGAAATGGAAATTATTCTTCCACGACTTAAAAATCTATGGCAATTGAGACAGAATGTCACGATTGAGGTAGGTTCCTTTTATAAAATAACATCTTTCACTCTATTCATACATGTATGTATGTAGGGAACAAGTTATGAAATAGGGGATTTTACTTTAAGAGTTGCGAATATTTTATTAGGATCAGCGTATAAAGGATTATTATTAGAGGTAAATTAGTTTATTTATTTTATAACAGTGTGTGTTTATATTCATGATTTTGTTGGTGTCTATATTAGATTGATTACCATCCTTGTTCTACACCAAATAATGCACGTCAATTATTTCAAGAATTTGTAGAATCCATTGTTCCTTCAACTGCACAACTATCTTGTGAATATGAATATAATTACGAGCAAGTAGGCCTAAGTAATTATGAATTTACAATAGCGCATACAAGTTATCAATATATGCAACTATTCAGAAATGATGGTCTTTTCTAATAAATAAATATGAATGTAAATGTAGACATAAATACATGTGTGTGTGTGTGTATGGGTGTAAAAAAAAAAAAAAAAAAAAAAAAAAAAAAAAAAAAAAAAGAGAGAGAGATACATGTATACCCTCTTCTTCCCCGCCTTCCCCCCCCCCTCTACTATAAGCATAAATTATTTAATACAAGTAAAAATAATCATCTAATTTTTTTTCTTTATAATTCAAATTAAATAATTAATAATACTTTCTTTTTTAAAAAATAAAGTGGAAAATAAGAATAGCTACAGAGCAAGTAGTGATCATGATAGATCCCTTCAAGATAGAGGCATCAGATCCAGGAGCTATAGGAGTAGTAGTAGCAGAAGGAGTAGAGGCAAGAGAAGTATGAGTTTGAGAAAGCAAAGTAGAAGTAAGGTTGCCAACAACTGAAGCAGAATAATGAGTTAAACTAGCAGAAGAAGTGGGTCTAAGGGGGGAGGAAGCAGTAGTGATGATAGTAGTCATATTAAGTGAAACAAAAGGTTGAGTTACCACAACATCGCCAGTAGTTTTAATAATGTTAAAAGCACTCGAATAAGAAGAACCCCTTTAGAAAGATAATTATTTATCATGAGTACGTTTTAAGGAATGAATACACATAATTTAATAACTTACACAGCACCTTTAGAATCCGTGTAATCTACCTTAAAAGCAAAGGTAGCATTTTGAGGAAGATTAGTAGGAACCTATATGAATTATGTAACATATTAAAGAGATAAACTAATTTTGGTTACAAACCACGCTATTTCATTTTATTGATTTTTTTTTTTTTTTTTTTTTTTTTTTTTTTTTTTTTTTTTTTTTTACCACCCAGTCATATTTATCATCAGCACCATGAATAGTGAAATTATAGCCTGTAGAATCCATGATAGCAGCATGAGTACCGGTAAGAAGTGTGACTTTAGCAACACTCTCAGTTCCATTTATCCAAGCTATGTATATTAAATAAGAAAGAAATATATATTCAAGTATATCATTGCTTACTAATGGTAGCACTATCATTATTATATAAACATATAAGTGTATGTAAACAGATAGGATTAAATTATTATATTCTTACGTTTGACCTGCAGTAAAAGAACTACCGACTACAGGATTAGTAAAATAAAAATAGCTATTATCAGCTATAACAAAAGAGATAAACACTATGAGAAAAGCTATAAGTAAAGTAGCCTTCATTTCAAATGTATGTAGAAGAAAGTAAACAAAAAATAAATCGAGAAAGAAAGAAGAAAGATAAAAATGAATGAATAAATGAATGAATGACCTTTTTTTTTTACTAAGGTCTTGTTAAACAATAATAGTAGCTTGTGCTATGGAAATAAATAAATAAATGAAAAAAGGTAAATAAAATAAATCTTATTGTTCACCACTTTTATTACCCCTCCCCCTCATTAAATCAAAAAAAAAAAATTTTTTTTCCGCCTTTTTTTTTTTTTTTTTTTTTTTTTTTTTTTAGTGGGTTCCTGAACTTTTCAAAAATCAAACAGGTTTTTTTTGGATTTCGATAAAGAAGTGTGTGTATGTGTGTGTGTGTGTGTGTGTGTGCATGTGCATGTGCGTGTGTGTATGAGGCTGGGAAGAGCAGGGACCAAGATATATTTAACAAGTACATATTTACTTTTATATAGTATAACAGAACATACTTTATTTAAGATAGTATTAAAAAAAGGTCAGTGCTTTTTTTTTCTACTTTATTATGGGAAATTCGATTACGTGACACTCAATTTAATCTTGAAAAAAAAAAAAGTTATATCTTCTATTGTGAAACAAAGTGGATAAACTAAGTTGTCAAAAAATAAAAATGCAAGTATACAATGTAAAACGCGTAACTTATTGTTGTCAATTTAAGGTTACATATGTATATCTTATATAACGCCATATTATGATCAATATGCATTCTATATATATAAATATATATATATATAGATATATCTCCTATATTTTGTTGTATTGACAACAAAGCTTATATTGTATAATATGAAACTATCACATGTTTAATTATAATGTATTATTATTGCATAAATGAATTACTATCACTATTATCGTTGCGATGATCTTTTCCATTTTATAAGATAAGCCTATAATCCATGTTCTAAAGTGACACTGCTGAAATGAAAATAAAAAAAGTAGTCATAATAAAATATATCCTTATTTATCTTCAAAATGACAACAAACAAATAAACAAGTAAATAGATAAATAAATAATAAAAACAACTATACTAATTACGGAAATTATTCCGGCTCAACTTATAGTCATCGGTATTTAAAGTTAGATGTACATATAAGTATATTATTTGTTGTGTTATAATGGTGATTGTTGTCCAAAGAAAGAAAGAAAGACTATAATAATAAATAGAATAGAAAAATGTAACTAGAATTTGAAAATTGTTGTCCTTGTTGTTGTATTAGTTTGTATTTCTTCATACAACAACAACAACAACAACATAACAACAGCTACTAGTATAACATCATTTTAAATTTAAACACCGATAAGTCAAAATAAAATAAAAAAAAATAGCTTTATACTGCTTACTATTTTACTTTTATTACTATGACTACTAATAATACTAATAATACTAATTATACTAATAATAATAATAATAATAATTTATTAATTAATATATTAGCAAACAACAAAATAAAAAGTAATAGAAAAAAAAATGTAGTCAATAAAATAGTATAAAAAAAATAAAAAAAAAATGTTGTTATGATAGTTTGTTGTGATTACTATTATACTTGCTATAAAAGTTATTTTATGATTGTTTTTGATTTTCTTTAAATAAATAATAAATAAATAATAATAATAAAAAAATTATTTTTTTTTTTGTTGTTATTGCCTTTTCAAGACCCAACCAAAATAAATTCTTATATAAATAGTTCCTCTTTAACCTGGAATAATTTTTTATTTATTTTATTTTATTTTATTATTTATTTTAACTATCTTTATTTTTTTTTAAACCTTTCTTCATAATTTATACCAAAAACAAAATATGAATGGTAAAATAAGAAATAAATAATTCCTTATCGTCATGTATAAATGCTAATATCTATTTTTTTTTATACTTTATTAGTCGCAGATTTACTTAACCCTTTAACACCTTCAATAAATTATAATAATAAACGTTCAAAATCTATAATTCCTTTATGCAGACATAAACAAAAACATACATCAGATCAACAAATTATTGGAAAACCACGTAGTCGATTTTCTGAACGTGAAGATGAAATTATTCGTCAAGGTGTTGCTCAAGGTTTAACTTGGGGTCAAATATCAGATTTACTTCCTCATCGTAAACGCGCTACTTGCTTTAATCGTTATAGAACATTACAAGGTGTACGTAAATCACGTAAATTAAGTTCTTCTTCTTCTTCTGAAAGCGATTCATTATCAAGTTCCCCTTCTCCTTCTTCTTCTATGAGCCCTCCTAGTCCTATTTCTTCTCCATTTAATCATGGTCCTATCACACCTCCTACTTCAAATTATAGTCATTTTAATCATCATCAATGGTTCTCTTCATCTGATATCATCTATGATAAACAACTTTATCCTACAGAAGATCATCATACTAGTTTCTCTAATTTTGTCATGAAAAAATCTCATAAAATCTCTTTACCCGCTTTACCACCGTTTCATCCATATTCAACAACTACCTCTAATTCTATTCGTTATCATTTATAGAAAAAAGAAACAAAAACAAAAGCAAAAACAAAAGCAAAAGCAAAAAAAAAAAAAAAAAAGAAAAGACCTCCTGGTTCTCTTCTAGTACATAATAATGACTGCTTTATCTCCATGTGTATGTGTAATGTGTATGTACATATAATATACATACATGTGTATTTATTCTTGTATAAATGTATAATATATCCTCCATTTGTTATTATTCATACCTTTTTGTAATAAACTTTTAATTTCCTCTATACTTTTTAAATGTCTCTTTTACTTTATCGCCTTCTTGAATGGCTTTCATACATTGTTTATCAATCTTGACATGCTTTTCACAATTTGAAACGACTTGTTCGATGCTTTCTTTAGGAATACATACAACACCATCTAAATCACCTACAATGATGTCACCTGGATGTACAATGGTAGTTGATATTTGAATAGGAACTTGTATTTCTGATGGTCGTACGAAGGCATTCTGGGGGAGAATTGAATGTGATTTAGCAAATACCTGAAAGAAAATTATTATTATATACGTATGTACGTGTCCTGTGTAATCATACCGGAAATTTCATATCTCTATGTTCGTTCAAATCTCTTACTCGACCATCGATAACAACTCCTTCACAACCTATCACTTTAGCTCTTGTTGACATAAGTCCGCCCCAAACAGCATTTTTAACATCTATTATTATTATTATATGAATAATAGGAAAGAGGAGAATTATCGTAAACTACCTGAGGGTGCTGAGATGACAATAACAGATCCCTTATAAGCCGAATCCACCTATAGTATATATGTATATATATATATATATATATATATATATGTGTGTGTGTGTGTGTATGTGTCAGTGTCAGCGTCAGTGTAAATACAATATAGTATGATTCATCTTTATACTTTACAAAGTGATCTTTTGGAATAGGTGATATTGTATCTGTCTTCTTTACCATCTAAAATAATAAATAAGTTTTATATTAAATGATGTCTATCTCTATTCGTTTCCAAAAAAAAAAACCTTGACTGTATAAGCAGGTCCAACAATACGTGTTTCACCTTCACAATAAGTTGGAGACCATAACTCAATATCACTTAAATATCCTCCCCAAGGCTCAAATCCTAATCTTATCATTGCATCCGCTATCTTTATATACAAATATACATGTTTATGATCATTATTATAAAATCAGTTTAATTTTAATCATTTTTCTTTCTTTCTTTTTTTTTTTTTTACTTCACAAGTTGAAAACTTTCTTAATGCATTGATTCCTTCTGTCATTGTCTTCATTTATTTCATCAAGAAAAGAATTCGAATAATATTAAAAATAACAAGAATAATAATAATAATAATAAATTTTGAATCATGTGATTTTATTCATTATTTAGGATGGTATTTTATTTAGCCCATTGTCTTTGGGCTTTAAGCTTTTTATAATGTTTCTTTCCTCCACTCGTCGTTCTTTCTTGCACTTCATTATATTTACGCTTATAATATTGCTTCAATTCATCATTGGCTATCAACTCGTCCACGATTGTCTGTTTTCGTTCCTTTCTACTCATACGTGCTGAATAAAATTCGGTAGGACCTTCGATAATTGTACCAATTTGAAAATATTTAGGATCAGGTCTTTTACCCATTTTCTTATAATGTCGTTTGCGATCCAAAATATGTCGCATCTTAAGTATTTGTAAATCTCGTTTCACTTCTTCTGTTATCTCTGCTTTTGGCATGTCAAACCATTCTTTACCTGTTGTCTTTTCTCTTTCCTAGAGATAATTTAATCAAAAAATGTATAAAAATATACATGTATAAATATGTATATGCATTTATCTATATCTATCTTTACCGCTTGTCGTTCTTTCCTTGTCATTCTTTGTTCTTCATCTTTATTCGCCTTTAAAACAACCGTTGCCCTTGTCGATGGTTTTTCATTATCGTCCATCAACGCCACTATCTCTGGAACAAGCTTAGTACGGCCTGATTCTTCTTTAAAGTAAAGTTGCTTTTTAGTTGTTATGCCAACATTTAATTTAGGAAGTTTCAAATTATTCACATCAAGATGATCCTTATTTGTTTCTTCATCAAGTTGAATCGTATCCTTTTGTTTGGAACAAAGTGCTTCTTCTGCCTTGTTTAATAATTCATCAAGATCAACTTCGTCATCGGAACTATCACTTGATGATTCGGATGAAGAATCTTCATCTTCGTCGTCGTCATCTTCGTCGTCATCATCTTCATCAGTTGATGACTCGCTATCATCTTCATTTACTTTTTCTGCTATTTGTATAGATTCTGCATCCTCTTCTTTTGATGTTGACTTCTCTTCCGTAGTTTGATCATCATCAGCATTTGTCTGTATTTGTTCATTTTCTTTCTTGTTCTTCGATTCCTTTTCTTCTATCTTTGCTTTATTTTCCTTTGGACTTGACTTTTCAGACAATGGATCATCTAGTTTGGATGCTAGCTTTTCAACTTCTATTGCAGACAAATTATCCAAGTCAATTTTTTGTTGCGTTTTATTCTCGAGTTGTCTTCTTACTGAACGTGTTATTCTACCAGCCATTTTTCTTATTCAAAATAATAATTTATATGGATATATTGAACTGAACCCTTTTTTTTTTATATGTGTATCAAACAACAACAACAAAAAAAAAAAAAAATCTTTAAAAAAAAAACAACAACAGTCATGAATAAGTCACAAGCTACTACAACTATTAATTTTTTTTTTTTTTTTTTTTTTTTTTTTTTTTTTGAAAATATTTAAATAAAGGAGCTCTTATTTTTTGCCTTTTTTTTTTCTTTTTTTTTTCCAAGGCACTTTCGAAGCTTTTTGTGATAATCTCAACATGTCTTGAAAAGTCAAAGAGGAGCCAAGATCTTTATTTTATATTTATATATTTATATAAAAAAAAAAAGAAATGAAAAAAAAATATATATATATATACATATTTATTCTATTAAATACATATTCTATATGATATCTTCTTTTTTTTATTATTATTATTTATTTGTTTATTATAAAGAAAGGAAGAAAGAAAAAAAAATTTTTTTTTGCCAACAATTATGAGATAGAGGTTGCGTTGCCATGACTACTTGAAACGTTGTTATTATAATGACTATTAATGTTGTTGTTATTATTAAAGTGAATACTTGTTGGTGTTATCGGTAACACGCCTCCTGGACATAATTCTTCCAATTTAGCATCAAAAATTTTCTACAACAAAAGAGTATATGTGTGTTTTAGCTATATAAATAAAAAAAAAAGTGGCATGCCTTTTTTTTTTTTTTAATAATTACCTGCATTTCATTAGCATCTTCGTATACAAACGATCCTTCTTCATTAAATATCCTTGCATTATTAAACATTAGATGGAAATCATCTCTAAACTGTGCGATATTCTTATAAAAAGTAGAATGAATACGTTTCTTAATCATATTCATTGATATCGGGTTTTTGATCATTGTATAATATAATGGATAATCACGTTTACTAACAAGATCCATAAACAATTCACTTCGACTACGGTAGGTTCTATTTTCCCAGAAAAAAAAAAGATGAATCAGTCGATTAGTTATACCATCTTCTATTTAAGGATATATTTATATAAAAGAATCAACTTACTCTTCATCTTCCACAGTAGCTTCTTCAACTGCCTGATAACATGCTTTAAATACCTTTGTTAGACTCTCTCTAATATGTGTTGGTAAAGTATCAGGTTTATTTAATTCTGTATCATTTCTACCACGTTTACGTTTCTACCAAAAAAAGGATATACATATATATCAGTTTTCCCTCCCCATTATATATGTAACAATAGTATCACTTACATCAAGTTCACTCTTCTTTGGTCTACCTCTCTTTCTACTCACAGGTTCCTCAGAAGCAACACTAACACTTTCTTCACGTCTACGTCGACCTAGACGTTTTGGTTCATCTATCATAGGCTCAGGTTCACCTAACAGACGTGCCATTCGCTTCTGTCTCCTCTTTTCTTTCTTGGCAATCAGTTCTTCTAAATCAACATTTTCATCTTCAAGTGCATTTAGCCATTGTTCTTCTGTCAATCCATCATCATATCGTACCGTCTCTCTTGCACGTTGTCCACGTCCGAAATGATGTTGATCCTCATCTTGCGTAGGTAAAGGATCATCATTTAAATAAATGTCAGGTAATTCATCCTCTGTAATTAAACGTTCAGGTTTACCACGACGTCCTAACACCTGCCAAAGTCGTTTATCATTTTCTTCCCTTTCATCATCAAGACGATGGAAGACCTCAAGATCGGCTTCACTTCTTTGAAGCATCTCATTCAACTCTTCATCATCAATATCTTCGTCATCACCATCATTATCTTCATCCGCTTTATCTTCCAAAAGTGATCTCAAGAACGCCTCTCGGTCTTCTTCTGTACTACGATTATCGAATTTACCTGCTTGAATGACTTTACCATCAATATCAAGCTTGAAATTGGCTCTGGCCAAGATATTCTCCTCTACTGAATTGGTAGAGATCAGACGGAAGATACGAACCTCCTTTGTTTGACCAATACGATGAGCTCGATCTTGTGCTTGAAGATCTTGATGAGGGTTCCAATCAGAATCAAAGATAATGACTGTATCTGCCGTTTGTAAGTTCAGACCAAGACCACCTGCACGTGTACTCAATAAAAACACAAAGTAAGGTGAATCCTCTGCATTAAATAACCTTAAAAGTTCTGAACGATCATCTGCCTTTGTCGAGCCATCAAGACGCAAGTAAGAAAAGCCCTTCCAGTTTAGAAAATCTTCCATAATACTCATCACTTGTGTCATCTGGAAGAAGATCAAGACTCGATGACCTGTCTCCTTTAATTTAGGAAGCATACGATCTAACAATTCAAATTTGCCAGAGGTTCTATAAAGTAATTCGTTGGATAAGCCACTTGGATTAACAACCGATTCCACTTCTTCAAAGACAAAAGGATGATTACAAATCTTACGTAATTGCATGATCGTGTTATTAAGACCCTTTACACCTGTTTTACCCTTCACAACGTCTGACGTGTAGAGTGTACCGTTACGCTTCATTTGAGTATAGAGATGAACTTGAAGAGGAGATAATTTACATTTAATGACACGCTCTACTTTATCAGGCAATTCAGCTTCTACATCACGTTTTAAACGTCTTAATAAAAAGGGACGAAGCACCTTATGAAGACGTTTAATAATCAAAAGTTGTTCTTCTTCATTTAAACCAATCTTATCTGCTACACCTTGATTATTAAAGGGTGTGTTGAACCATTCCTCAAAACTTTTTACACTCTTGAAAATTTTAGGTAAAATGAAATTAAGTAAAGCCCATAATTCTGGTAAATTATTCTATATATGTATGTAAATTTCGAAAATCAAGCAAGTCAAGAGAAATTTAGTTTTGGTGTTTGTTTTTCCTTATTTTTGCCTTACCTGAAGAGGTGTACCAGTCAAAATAAGTCTATAACGGGTATGATAATATTGTCTAAGAACGACAGTAAGTTTAGAATTGGTGTTTTTCATACGATGACCTTCGTCTACAACCATATGTAACCATTTCACTTTACTAAGAACAGGTCTATCTTTGATAATATATTCAAATGTAGTCAAAAGGACTTGGAAATCATTATAACGAATTTCATTTTGAAGTTCTTTACGTGTATTAGGAGGTCCCTTGTAGACAATTGTCTTGACAGAAGGCGCCCATTTCTCAAATTCAAGTGTCCAATTGGTAAGTGTACTATTAAAATAAGGGTCAATTTCTTTTTTTTTTTTTTTTTTTTTTTTTTTTTTTTTTTTGTTAAACAAGTAGGAGGCATAATGCGATTCGGGAATAACAACTTACGATAAAGGAACAATAATTAAATAAGGACCATTTTGTCTTTTCTTTTCAATTAAATAAGTAATCAAACTAATTGTCTGAATTGTTTTACCCAAACCCATTTCATCAGCCAAAATACCATTCAAATGATTGTTATAAAGTGACACCATCCATTGCAGACCTTTTAATTGATAATCCTTTAATCGTCCACCCACCAAGATATCAGGCTGAGTGACTTCTTCCTTGATACGATGTGTAACCTGGAAATAATCATTCTTGGCATCGGGGTCATTGGCTGCCATATCGTCATCATCATCATCATTATCCAAGCTGAATGAACGATCTTGTCGATGATCGTTTTGCTGTTCTTTTACAGCCTGAGTTAAAGAATCCAAGAAGGCACCTGTTTGTTTCAACAATTGTGTTAAACGAGTATCCTTGGCCTCATCAATCAATTTCATGTAGGCTTCTTCATCATCATTCTTTAAAGCACGAATACGTTCTTTAGAGATACGTTCAGCCCGTTTCTGTTCCTCCTTCTCAATATGCTGATGATATTGTAAAACAGCACGACCCAACTTATTCTGTTTCGATCTCCAATTGGCTTGTGCAGCAACAAGACTACGACCGTGATCACAAATGGTTTGAAGGTAATCCAAATGCTTTTGCTTTTCACGATGTTCACGATCTGTACGTTGTTGTCGTTCAATTTTTTCTGTCATACGTGCCTCACGTAATGATTGTTTCTTCATACGACGATAGGCTAATCTATCAGCTGAGGTTGCAAGTGTGGTTGAACGTTTGAGACCAGCCACAATCTCCTCTCTCAATTGTCTTTGCTTGTTTAACAGACGTAATGCTTTTAGCTCAATAATAGCCTTTAATTTAATCGTACCTGTTGGCTTACGAATTTCCTCTTCCAACCTATTCACCGAATCATTCAAATTGCTGGGTAAATTTTCAAGTTCTTGAATGCGATGTTGTATACGATTTAACATGCGTCTTTTACGTTCCGAGATAATGGAACAAGGGTCGAGGCCGATTGGTGTAATGCTTGGGATTAATAAATGCTGTTGACGTGAGGCATGTGTAAAGGCATTAATAGGCTTTTTCAATAAGTCGTAAGGTGATGCATAAGCATTATATTCAATTTTCTGTTGATTATTATTATTATTATTATTATTGATAGTTGTGTTGATTTGGCCGGAGGGAGCAGAGGAAGACTGAGAGGGAGTACCAGCAGCTGTAGTCGTGACAGTGGTACTAATTGTAGAATTACCTATCCTATTTCCAGCAACAGCAGCAGCAGCATTCGAAACACCAGAGGTTTGAGCATGATCTATATTGTTTGTAGTGATAGGATTGACATTCAAAGAGGATGGTGGTTGACCTACAGGAATCATACCCTCCATAGAAAGTGCTGTAGTAGGAGTTAAAACAGCTTGTTGAAGATGAGGTGGTAAAGCCATATTTTTTGAAATAAGTTTATAAGCTAAAATCTGATGTCTCAAAGCAGCTAGTTGAGTCTGAGTAAAAGCTGTAGGCATATCTAAAAAATCAATAAAATTTTAATTTTTAACATGAATCATCTTGGTTTACTTTATATCCAAGTCAATTACCATGCCCACTTGTAATTGGTGAAGCAATAGTTGAAGAAGGATTAGAAGAAGCTACTTGATCTATGTTCATACCAGGTCGCATTTGCTGTAATTGTTGTCTTTGTTGTTGACTATTTTGTAAATTTTTCAGAAAGCTCATGATCTGAGCATATTCTGGATTATTATCTTCCTTGGCTCCTTGAGATTGAAGATATCGAACGCGCTTTCATATCAATATAAGAAAGAAAGAAAGAAAGAAAAAAAAAAAGAAAGAGTTAGATTAATTGTTTGATGAAATGCTTTCTTTTTCACATTATTTTAGTTGGCTTCATATTCTACCTGAACAAGGCTCTGAAGCTTTTCTTTGTTAAAACCACCCATTGGATGGTTTACTAAAGAATTCATTTTCTGAATTTTGAATTTTGAATTTAATTAAATTTCTAATGGTTTTATTTAATCGTTTAAATAATTAAATTTAGATTAGATTAGATTTGTTTAAATAATTTTTTTTTTTTTTTAAAACTTGTGGAAAAAATAAAATACCTTCGTTACTTAAAAGGTTTTTCCTAAAAAGAAAATACACAATAAAAAAAAATAAAAATAAAAAACCAAGAAATGATAAAAAATATGTGGTGGATACATATTTAATTTTTTTTTTTTAGACTGTGCAAGATTTATATAAAACGATACTTTCTACAAACACCCCAATATGTCTAGAATAATATTCTAGCAATTTGATTGGATAATTAAAGAAATCTTTTTTTTTTCTTTGTTTTGGATCCAAATCAAATGAAGTTTTAAGGATATTGATTTGAGGCCTTAGTAAACATCAGATATAACATTTACCTATCCTTTATCATTAATAATAACCTCTGTCAATTCATTCAGTCTTATAAAATTTATGCTGCTTGTTGATCTGGGGTGCTGATGAATGTGTGACTTTTCCTATATTTGTTTATATAATAACGAGAGAAATCATCTTCTTTTAATTTTAACTATAAAGAGCTCAAATAGTAAGAAATGAAGACTTTCAAACTCTTTTTTACAACAACAACAAAAAAAAGCAATAGAAGGAAAATAGCTTTAAATACAATAAAGAGCAGTAAATTTGTTCTAACTATGTTATGGAAGACCTTTCCAGTTTTTATATCAAAACAAACTACCAAAATCTTGTCAAATTCGAGACTGATGAAATAGCAATAGATTTGATTGTTTATGAATAGAGTACAGTCTATACATTCACTGAATATAATTTTAGCCTAGTGATAGTACATTATTTTTACAAGTCTTTTTTTTTTTTTCATCAATCCGGGTAGAATAAAAGCATACATCTCAATTACTGATTCTGATGCATACAATATAGAAGTTTAAAGGCGTTCAACTAAACAATATCACACGTTAAGCTGGTTAAGAATCTTGCCCACCCATTGTTGTTGTTTTGAACTAATTACTGAGTCCTCCCATTCTTCCATAATACTGTCTTGATCACTATTATTTTGACTCCTTTTTCTCCAACAATAAAATTGACAAATTGACAAACTTGAGTATCTATTAACTGAGATTTAAAATACAATGTTGTATACGTCACCCTTACATTTTTTTGTCTTTTTTGTCTTTCATTTTTTTTTTATTATTTTTTTTGTTGAAATAACTCCTACTACGCCCAAAGGAAGAAAGAGAAAGCACATTTTTTTTTATTATTTTATTAATAAATATATTTTCTTCCCATCTTATTTTTTTTTCTTTTAATTAAAAATAATAGCCCTTCTTTTTTCCATTTAATATTTTATCTATATAATATTAAAAGATATAATGACCGCTGTTAGTTCTGTTGCTGATGTAGATGCATGGATCGCACAACTTTCTGAATGTAAACAATTACCAGAGTCAGAAATTAAGAAATTGTGCGACAAGGTATTATTACAATATTTATAATTCATTATGCTTCTTTTTTTTTTCATTTAATGCTAAAGATGAAAAAAATAAAATAAAGAGAAAGAGAATGTGCTTATCTTTATTCTATTTTATTAGGCACGTGAAATACTTACTGAAGAGTCTAATGTTCAACCTGTAAGATGTCCAGTTACTGTGTGTGGTAAATGAAAGAACGTTATTTAAAGATGAAAAAAAAACACTTATTTAAAATTACCCCCCAAAAAAAAGGTGACATTCATGGTCAATTTCATGATTTACAAGAACTTTTCCGCATTGGTGGTAACTCGCCCGATACCAATTATCTATTTATGGGTGATTATGTCGATCGTGGATATTATTCAGTCGAAACTGTTACATTCTTGGTTGCTCTCAAAGTAAGATATAAGGACCGTGTTACCATCCTTCGTGGTAATCACGAATCTCGTCAAATTACTCAAGTATATGGTTTTTATGATGAATGTTTAAGAAAATATGGAAATGCTAATGTTTGGAAGATGTTTACCGACCTTTTTGACTATTTGCCTTTAACTGCATTGATTGAAGACCAAGTAAATGAGACTTACTTTTATATATACAACTACATCTTTTTTGTTAAACTTTATTCTTTTCTTTTTTTTATTACTTAGATCTTTTGTCTTCATGGTGGTCTTTCCCCTTCAATTGATACATTGGATCAAGTTCGATCATTAGACCGTGTTCAAGAAGTTCCTCATGAAGGTCCTATGTGTGACCTTTTATGGTCTGATCCTGATGATAGATGTGGTTGGGGTATTTCTCCTCGTGGTGCAGGTTATACATTTGGTCAAGATATTGCAGAAACATTTAACCATAACAACGGTCTTACATTAGTAGCAAGAGCTCATCAACTGGTGATGGAGGTAGTTAACAAATTCATATAAATTTTTTTCTATAGATGACTTACTTTTTTATTATAGGGTTATAATTGGACTCATGATCGTAATGTCGTTACCATCTTCAGTGCACCTAATTACTGTTATCGTTGTGGTAATCAAGCCGCTATTATGGAGATTGATGAACATATGAAATATACATTGTAAGTAGATATGAAGTATGTTTATTAAATTTTTATTCATATACATCTATTTTAGCCTTCAATTTGATCCTGCACCTAGAAAAGGTGAACCTCATGTTACCAGACGTACTCCCGATTATTTCTTGTAAAAAAAAAAAAGAAAAAAAAATAGGTAAAAGAGTGAAATCTATGTTCTCATATTCTTGAATAATTTTTTGTGTGTATAAAAAAAAACACCTAGTAACTCTAACAAATATTACACATTATATATTATTTTTTCTTTGATTTTATGTCCTTATTTTTTTATTTTTTTTTATTTTTTTGTAAAAATATATAAATATATATTCTATGTAAAAGAAAAAGATACACATGTAAGAGAGGGAATTACTATTATGTAAAAAAGAAGTTCTATAATTGATAAAAGGGGGAAGGAAGGGACTATTATGATTTCATTAATACGTGTTTTTAAAGTAATTTATAATAATGAGGATCTGTTCTCAGCGGAGCAGCCTATATTGTTTCACAAATCAAAATAATAGGAACCAACAAGTTGTTACAACCTGTTTAGATTCCCTATATAAAAACTCGAATGACACATATTAAGAGTAGTCCACTTTTATTAGCTGTTATCATCATATGCAAGCCTTTTCTTTCCCCTTATACATAACTTTGAACATGAATGATATGATAGTTAATAAATATAAATAATTTATTATTTTATTTTATTAGTTTATTATTTTTGATTTACCGGCTGTTATATCATTTTTTTTTCAGTTTCTTTTCTTTTCTTTTTTTTTTTTTTTTCTTTAAAGATTATCATTATGGTAGTCAATGAATTTGAACCTGATGACGTTTTAAGAGATTTAAATAGAAAATTTGCCAATGTTTCTTTAGAAAACCAAATTGATGATACTGCAAAAGTAGTATTAAATAGTAACGATGTAAGCTATCTAAGACAGTAGATAAAGTAAAGGAATTAATTGTATAAAATAGATTTATGAATGTAGAAATGTACTTTTATCCTCAGATGATTACCAATTACGTCAAATTGCTATAAAGAATATACGAAGATATCTTACGCAAAATATTTCACTAAGTCGAATTGAAATGGTGTTTGAACTTGATATTGACGAAATACTCAAGACTATTTTGGAGACTCCCGGTTATGATGAGTTAAAGGTAATCTCCCCTCCCTCCTTTTTTTTTTTTTTTTTATTTATTAATTAAGGATCAAACTAATTAAATTACTTTTTAAAGTATGAAGCTGCTTGGATTATCACCAACTTGGCTGTAAGTAATATAAAAATATAAATGTATAAATTGGGCTTATCATTGATTCGTATTATTATTACTGTATCTTTTTCCCTCTCCACATCCTTTTCCTTTTTTTTTCTTTCTTTCTTTCTTTCTTTTTTTTTTTAAAAAAAAAAGTATGGAACAAGAGAGCATACAGCAAAATTAGTTGATTCAGGTGTAATTAATTCGTTAGTCTATTGCTTTCGAAATTCAGAAAATTTTAGAGTTAAATCACAGTCTGCATGGGCATTAGCCAATGTGTCTATTGAATCACCTTCATATCGAGAACGTATGGCTCAAAGTAACTTGATAAGTGACATTGCACAAGCGTTGACTATTAAATGTGAAATTGTCTATAATAAATTAAATGCGGAGCTTGATCAGGAACAGATCCCAATCGATGAACGTGGACAGATTAGATGTAAAAGTAAAGAGGATAGCGACGATGTAAAAGATCTAACTTGGTCTTTGGCAAATATATGCCGAGGAGGATTCAAGACGATTGAACATTGGGAACAATATTTAGTAGCAGTCAATGCATTTTCTCAATGTATTCATTTTGATAATGAAGAAATTTGGACTGAAGCATGGTATGTCTATTCTATGTTATTTATTGAATACATATATCTTATATGGCAGATATATATATATATATATATATATATATCATTTAGTTGGGGATTATCAAGAATTCTTAGTAATATGTACAACTATGATCCATTTTTTCATTCCTGGAATTTACATCCTCGATTATGTCCAAGATTGGTTAATTTATTAAGGTAAGTTAAAAATGGCTTCATGTATTTGAAATGTACTTAGAAAAAAAAACATCAATAGAAATCAACCTTCTGATGCTATTTTACCCGTATTGCAAACTATCAGTAACTTTTCTTCTGGACCTAATGAATATATTGAAATTTTACTTAATGCAGATCTTTTAAATAATATATGGTGGTACTTGTCCCCTGATACAATACCACAGTTACGTAGGAATGCCATGTTAACTATTTCTAATTTGGCAGCAGGTAGTGAACAAATGCTACGTAAAGTGGTTTATAATGAGAATATTATGCAAGGAGTGATAGCCCATCTCGTTATACCTGGCCATATATATTATCCAGAAGAACGTAATTGGTTTTCATCAGCAAAAGCAATTAATCCAGAATCTAAAGAAGAATGGCGAATACTTAAAGAAGCCCTTTGGGTTTTAACAAATATCACCACATTAGCTAATGATGATTGTATTTGGTATATATTTATATATAAAGTCGAAGCATTTATGATGATACTCACCTTATTTACTGGTCATTTTTATAGTGCTTTGTTAAGAAGTTATCCCAAATTAATCAAGCTGTTAGCTTCATTATTATTTTTCTCCAGATTACCAGAACCTATTATACTAAAGATAGTTGAAACATTAATACATATTATTGACCGTACAAATAAGATTGTTGAATTAACACCACCTGTACAACCTATTCCAAGAAATCATTATGCGGAAGAAATGGTAAGAGAAGATATTATACCTGCACTTCGCTTTTTATCTCAGCATATAGATGATCCAGCACTTTCATCACAAATAGAGCTTCTTAATGAACTTATGATGTCTAGCTTTCCTCAGCACTATAATTCAAATGATCATCTTGCAGTCACATTTGGATTATCTTCAAGAGGAATTCAGTTAGCAAAACCTGACGTTAGACGTATAGTGCATGGATTTGAAGATGGTGACGTTCGATTGATTGAAGATGCTATTGTTAGAATACAACTTTAATCCTATTATTCCACACCACTCAGACAGAAGAAAAGAAAGCAAAAAGAAAAAAAAAAGAAAAAAAAAACTCGCTAGTTTTCATGTTTACCCCTTTTTATGATACACGAATAATATTTTCGCTCGAAAAAAAAACATAATAATAATAATAATAATAATAATACTAATAATAATAATATATGTATATTGTATATATGTATTGTGAGTCATTAACTATAATTCCCTTGTATTTATATTGTCTATTATTCGATATTTAGCTATATTTAGTTATTCTATTTAATACCAAAAATAAATGTCTGATCTGTGCAGCAATAGTAGTCTGTAGGTTTGTTTTTTGTTTTTTTTCAATGTATAATTTGGTTAGCCCATCATATAAATAGGTCAGTCGTAGTGATCCTATGATTACATAATGGATATAAAGATGATTATATAAGGAAACAGGGTTGATACATTATTTCTTCGTTTTATTATTTTTATTTTTTTTTGGAAAAGAAGAATCCAAGGTAGTCTGAATCACTTCCTCACTAGGTACATCCTCTAATAATCTATTCACTGACTTTGGAGCCCAATTTGATGTAAATACATTATAATTGATTCCCTTTTTCCATAATTGATTTGCAGGGAACATATCGATGCAAGGAATATATCGCAAAAGATTTATATACAGTCTTCTTTTTTCTCGAGGACTATAGCATGCATCTGTAATGACCGAATCCTTACTATGTTCATCCTCATCGCACAAGTACTCCAAGAGACTTGGTTTAGACGTCATGTAAGGTGATTTTGGCAATCGATAGTTCAATCGAAGGGCGATTAAATCTTTATCAAAGGGCTTTATTGTTACTCGAGGATCCAAGTGTTCAAGCAGTTTGACGGCGGGATGAATAGGAGCATAAAAGTCATCCCACTGGGGACCACCCGTTTTAAGTGTAGCGCAAGCCATAGGATGAGATTCGGGGGCACCCGCTTTCGCTTCAAGTTCACATAAAATCTCAAATGGTAAAGGTAAATGCACTTTATCTAAAATCATGGATCGATGTTTCCATAATAGGTTTGCTTTTCTGCCAACATGCAACGGCTTATATTGAGGGACAGGCAATTCAGGCTCTACCTTCTTACCCAAATGCCGAGTGACTAAAGCACATAGTGGTGGACATAATTCAGGAGGAGGTGCTGTACGAGGAGCATGAGGTACAAAAGGTTCAGATTGGATCTTTAAATTATCAGGCTGATGTGCATTTAAATAAGGCTACAAAAGAAAAAAAAAACACCAATATTGAATATAAAATGTATAATGCTTTCCAAGAATTCTTCTTACATAAAGCAATCCATGTCGTGTTTTCCCTTTTACACCATAAACCTCTTCAAGTATATTTAAAGCACTTTTAGTATGACCTCTGTTTGCTTTTTCTAATCGATGTAAATGCTTTAATGTTAAAAGTTAAATTTATGTCATTACATGTGTTTGTATGTATGTATGCATGTATGTATTTTGTATGATTATTGTTGAAATTTAATCGTATTTACTTTTCTGCCTTCTCGTATTTTATATTTTACTCTTTTAATGTCTTCACATGTTTTGTAATCCTTAAATGCTCTCCGTGCTCGATTCTTTATATACAATCTATTTCAAAAAAAAAAAATCAACTATCGAACATTTTCTCATTCAAATTTAAATTACCGTGCTCTGTCATCAAAAAAGATAGATGCCTCTGATAGTATCTTTTTATAAAAGGATTTAATATAAGCTTTATGGTTTGGTAGAAACATAAACAGGTACAACCTTGTTATTTATTAAGGTGCAAGTCACTATAAGCTAACAGGAAAAAAAAGCTATAAAAGGAAATTTTATTTGTAAAAAAAAAAAAAAAAAAAAAAAAAAAAAAAAAAAAAAAAGAAAAAGAAAAAAGAATGACTGAAACATGAGCGCATTGTTGCCTACTACCATTACGAAGAATGAAGCTGTCACGTGTGTAATTTTATAATAACCTGATAATTGATCATTACATTAAAAACCTTTTTTTTTTCTTTTGTTTCTTCCTTTTTTTTTTATCTAAGCATACATATATTCTAACAATGTCACAACAACAGCAACAAGTGCCTACTTTAAAATTATTGCTTATTGGTAATTCAAATGTAGGAAAAAGCTCTTTACTTTTACGATTTACAGACGACACTTTTTTACCTCAAGAAGAGGTTTCTGCTACTATTGGTAAAGCATTCAATGTATAAAAAGTCTCGTTCTCTTTGTTTCCTTTTTTTTTTCTTTGTTAACTTAGACTTCAATTATTATAGGTGTTGACTTTAAGGTTAGCATGATGGAAGTTAATGGGAAAATGTATAAATTAACTATTTGGGTACATATACATATAAATATATGACAGCAATAAAGTATGAATGAATGAATTAACTGAAAATAATCATGCTAGGATACTGCGGGACAAGAACGATTTAGAACCTTAACATCATCGTATTATCGAGGAGCACAAGGAGTTATTCTAGGTAAATAGATAAAATGATATGTGTGTATGTAATATACAAGACTAACCTAGTTCATAGTCTATGATGTTAGTAATAGAGAAACTTTTGATGCATTAAATAACTGGTGGAATGAAGTGAATACATATTGCTCAAGTCCTGATGTAGTTAAAATGATAGTTGGGAACAAAGTTGATAAGGAATCATCACGAGTTGTAACATATGAAGAAGGAGCCAATTTTGCTAAAAAATTATCTACCTTATTTGTAGAATGTAGTGCTAAAACCAAGGTAGGCGTTAGACAAGCGTTTGAAGAATTAGTTGAGAAGGTATATATATATATATATATATATATAGAATCAAATATTAAAACATAACATAGTCTAACATGTTTGTATCTATTTTTATAGATAATTGAAACACCAAGCTTATGGAGAAAAGATGCTAATTCTAATTCAACTATTAAAACGCTTAATAATGACAAACAACAAAATGAATCAAGCTTATGCGCCTGCTAAAAATATGTTTCTTTTTTTTTTTACAATTACTACAATAATAATTCTTTATTTTTATTATTCTTTTTTGTTTGCTACAAAAAAAAGTATATTCATTTACTTTTTTTCTTCTTTTTATATATATAAATGAGCGCTCAATATCATAGTCTATATACCAGTATATAGAGAGAAGAGTAATTTCATATAGAGTAAGTAGTAAGAACATAATTTAAGAAGCATAATTGGTGGGCCCCTTTCTTTTTTTTTTTTTTTTTTTTTTTTTTGAGAGAGAGAGTTTTCCAGTCTACATGAGATGGGGCCCTTTGATACAACTTTGACTAGTATGCGGTCTTGAGGATACTGAGCTTTATGGCTATTATCAGCTTGAATATGAATAGCAACTGTTGCCTTCGTTGTCTCACATGTTGTGTCAAGTCTTGATCGTATTTTTTTTTTTTTTTTTTTTTCGAGGCAACAACACCAAAAAAAAAAATCAGCTTTTGTTCATTTCTTTTTGTATCCTTTTCTGATTGATATCTATTTGATGAACAACTATATTTTGCGTTAACATACAACTATTTTTAATTATGATTATTTCATATAAAATAAAAAAGATACCTTTCCTAGTGATGTTTGGAATTGAAGGCCTCTCGTCTCCTTCAGAGAAGTAATAGTGAAACTCTACTTCATAGCTGTGTCTATATTAGAAGATATACACTAACATGTATATGATAAACAAAAGATGAAGAAGAAAAGTAGTTGAACTGTAAAAAAAATAAAATAAAATAAAAAAGATGTATACATTTATATATATATTTCTTGTTACAGCAAAGAAAAAAAAATCATGACACCAAAAAGACCACACGTGCTAAATAGGTCAAACTGATCTGATAAAATGAAGAGAGAGAGAAAAAAAAAAGAGTACGTATGATTAAAAGGACGAGTCTTTATTTTTATTTTAAGTTATAAATAACGTACATCATCAGCTTATTTTTTTTTTTTTTTTGTACAAATGTGAGTGAATAATAATAAGCTCATTTGCTCAAGATAGTTTAGGAAACAAAAGACAATATAACAGTAAGAAAAAATAAGTCTCGGTAATAGTATATTTTTTTTTTTATCATGGTGTGATATTTTAAAGTGATTATGAAAATGTATACAGAATAAACATAGACTCCTCATAATGAAGTAGGTTTGAATTTATTATATTATCTGCTGATATAAACGAACTTGGAGATTAAGTGTAACCTTGAATATTTCATATTTTGCTACTAAAGTATCAAAACTGTTTACATAATAAAGCGACAAAACTACAGCTATAGTATAGATTAGTACTGCTTCTGAAACTTAAATGATCACTATTTCCCTCGTACTATTCTTATTTCTTAAGAAACCGCATAAAACAACAAAAAAAAATAGTTCTATAAATCGAAAAAAAAAAGTTATTGAAACAAAAGGAGGTACATCATATGGTCAATGTAATCACATATTTATTTACTCTTTAAAAAGGTTGTGAATACAAAAAAAAAATTATAATTCATATAGTTGGAACTGATTAAGAGAGTTTCATTACCACTTTGACTAATTCATGGAAGGTTACTGTAACTCGAGAATCCTTCATTTCTTCTTTGAAACAAGCTAATCTTACTCTCTTCCTTTCTTTATAAAGTCTTTCTTAAAACTTACTATTTTTTTTTTAAAAAAATATACATTTTTGTATTCTATATTGGAACATATTCCATCCCTAAAGAATGATATCTTTTTCGAATAGATATCTTACAAATTAATAAATTGTTATCAATTGCTCAATCATAGTCAACTTCTCCTGTCGAAGCACAACAACACACAACCACTGTTTTGCAGAAGCTTCAGCCCTTAGGATAAATTATCAACCTGAATAAAGTCGCTTCTTACACTGACCCAAACTCTTAAACACCTCAGATACCTATTGGATACAGTAAATATGACGGCTTAATTACCAAGGGGGAAAAGTTACGGAATCTACATCGCTCGATCCAACAAACCTATCCAAACTCCCAGACGAATACACAGTTTAACGATGCGGGTTTAGGCGACTCTATTTGCATTGGTGCCAGCCCGAATATACACTCAGCACCTATTTAGAAAATGAAAAACTAAACTATCCGATCGATGATGACCAGCTCCAGCAACTTCCAATATCTTGTATAAACGAACTGAAATAGGATTTTTTTTTTTTCGAAAATTAGGGCAATACAGCATAATAAAATTACTACATGCTCATTAATCATTTTTATTTTTATTTATTAAATAAATATATACTCAACAGATCAAATGTATTATAGACTGTTTCTAGGATCAACATAATGTTTATCCTTTCTAGAACAAGAAGATATATTTTTAAATATAATGCTTCTTTTTTTTTTTTTTTTTTTTCTCAATATACTTTATGAACTGGTCTGGGCAATTTAGTATGTAGGATACTCGTGCTCATTTGAACTTTATAAATTATAAGATATTAGTTTTAAAGATAAGCAGTACAAGAAAGGTATGTTAAGTACATTTGATGATCAATTTAGCAAAATAATACATATTAACAGTCTTGAGTTTGGACATATTCATACCTTTTAGTATATTTATTTATTTATTCATTTGCAGCTAATACATGCACTTTGAGTAAGATAAATTATTACGCGTACTTGGTGGACTTGCAAATTTATTTTTATAAATTTTGTATTTTAGAACTTTATTCATCATTTTCTCTTCACAAATGTAAATATACTTAATATGTGTATAGGCAGAATTATCATAGAAATGCATTATACGTTTTATTATCACTATTTATCTTATTGGATTAAGTTACGTGTTTTACAATCATGACAAGTACTGCTGATCATAAAAGCATTGAATCCATTGACAACAAGCTTGACAATAAAAAATAAATGGATTTTATCATCTGGTACAATTGTAGAAGTACAAATGAAATTCTTTTGTTTAAACTGTACTGTTGAGCATCCCTCTCACAGTTTAATACTGGATACAGCAGATAAATGCTGGGAAACAGTGTTTAATGAAAAGGATTTAAAGGAAATTAAAACTTACAATCTGAAACCATTGGCTTCATTACCTTCAAAGATGGAGGAATGTATTGATTCTTTGAAGCACATTACTGACTTGGACGAACTATATAAAACCTTGAAGCAGCAAGAGCTTCAACCTCTGAAAGAAAGCCAGCTGGAATGGCTTCAATCCTCTCTCTATAATGCTGTCAAACTTTTCATGTTCAACTATTTCCCGTTGACAGATCAAAGTGAGAGTGATATATTGAAACGTTTGGTGGTGTTTTATTGACACTGCATTTGATGATTCAAAAGTGATTTGTAGAAGGTAATAAGACCTGAATTTTATAACATTATATAATAGCTGACTTGACGATTTTTTTTTTAGTGGTGAGAAATCAAGTCTGGCCTCCTCTAGTAGCAGAAATATAGGTCGAACGATAGGCGGTGTAGACAAAATTCTGTGGCCGAAAGTTGGACATGGTATTCAAAAGAAATTCTGATGAATATGGCTTAACAGAATGTAGCCGATTTTATCAGTTCAATGATACAAAGCAGTTGATGGATGGAGGATCCAAAATGCCTAAAGTGAAGAAAGACATGTTTGTAAATTTGACCAACTCTTCGCCTGATAAAGTACGTGAGATAATCACTGTAGGCTACCAATTGTTGGAAACCAAATTCATTTTACTTACAATGGATTCCCCGGCTGGTGCTGTATGTAGAATTAGCCATTTATATCCTTTACAATTTCCAGATGACGCAGAACTCATCACTAAACAACTACCACAGATTTTAAAAGTTGTTTATAAATCACGTTTAATAATGGAAAATGCAAGGCTGCTCACATTGGATAAAGTCATAGCATTCGATTTTGGCGAAAGTGGTCCTATCCACTTGTCAAAGTCGATGACAAAACTAACAGAAAAAAGAAAAAAACTTAACTTGTAAATAAATATATAATTTTTTTTTATTGTCATAATATATGTTTGATAACTGCTTCAGTGTTTTCTTAAGATAAAGTTTTCATCATGTCGATTCTTTCAAATAATTGTACAACTTTTATTCATATCTGTTATTCATATAAAGGCGTATGAAGGGCTTCTTATTTACAGATTTGAAAAAAAAAAGGGGGAGGATGTTATATAGGCTAAAACTGAAGCCAGTGAAGAACTCTCAATAAATGACTTTTCATAGTTTTTCATCGTCTGTGTTATCAACATCGGCATTCCAGTAACAAATGTTGGAGCATTTGCGAAAAAAAAAAGGACAAAATCAACAAAAACGGTCCAAGAAACTTAGTATGTCCAAATACTCAGCCATCTTTTCTTTTTATATGCCTTACAATCTACAAAACTTAAATGTGCTGCTCAGTTTCCTTTCTCTTCTGCTTTTACAACAAAAGCCATTGATGATAAGTCCTTGCTCATATATATGTATATGCGTTTATCTAGAAAGTCCATGTATAAAGCATTTTCAGCATGGCTGTGGTATTTGATATATGAATCTATTTAATTTTAGAGAATAAGAAATGAGTCCCCTTGAAGTCCTTTATGAATATGATGGGATCAAAAAATGATTTTCATTATTTATTGGGAAAGTCCTTTTTATCTGATGAAATTGTATATTAGTTCCAAAATGCTTTCTTTTATTTTTTTACCGTATATAAATATCTATAAAGCATATAACCGGCTAAGATAAATTATCCAACATATCATAAAAAGCATCTTGATTGTCCTCCAAGTCAATAATGATGAAAGTGTTCATAAAATTAAAAAAAAAAAAAGTGATAGTTATTCACGTTTTTCGAAATTTTTCAAATGCTGATGAGGATGCCCATAGTACTGATATCTGCCTTAGAGATATCTACTTGAGGAGTTAAAGACAAAGCAGTAGACCGAGTCAAGCCCCATTGTTCCATAGTAGATAAATAAAGTGAACGATGTAACTAGTTTTGAGTTGTGCGCACGCTTAAAAAAGGTAAAATTTCGGACGTAAAAAGTTGACAAACAAAGATAAAAACTCACAGGGAGGATATTTAGCACAAAAGGCGAGGTAAGTAGTGATGGGACACATACAAGGATTAGCATAAGATTTAATAGCAAATGATTCAATAATACGTTGACGACCCCATTTTACTTTTGGATTGTGAGATTCAAGGAAGAGAATCACAAAAGCCTGTGATGGAACGTATTAAAGAGAAAGAAAAAAAAAAGAGAAAGAGAACAAAGGAAGTATAGTTTGAGACTTGTTTATTCAATGCAAAAAGAATGATATAAAGACTATTTTGTGTCTACACAATTGCTTGTATTTACACTAATGAATCCTGAAATCAAAGAAATCAAAAATAGCTGTCAAAAGAACATAAGTCGTGAAACAGTGTTAGTATTCAGATATACAAGTCTTGTTGACTCAGGAGGCTGATTTATATGGATTATCTATTGGGTGAAAAAATTTATTGTTTGACCTGAGCATAGGCTCCTGATGTCTTTTACATCTTTTATTTTATTGGATCAAAGACGACCTGAAGAACCCTTTATCAAGGTTATAAAAATATACATGTAGAAATGATACGATGTCTTATAGTTAATACATCTAAACAATTGGATGTCATCAAGTTTTATATTATTTACATGATGTTATCTACAGTGTTTTATTTCATATGCAGGCTTATAGCTTATTCTGTAATATGTAACTCATCTATTATAATATTACTTATGCTTATATCCAGAGCTTGTTCTATAACATAAACAATATTAGCTTTTGGATAAAGTAAAGGTAGAATTCAGACATTTATCTGTAAAAATCTAAATCCTTTAGCCGAAGCCAAAGAAAACTGTGTATGAGATAGTGATATTAAACCTGAAAAAGTGAAGTCCAACAAGAAGGACAACAGTAAGGAAAGGGTCCAGTATGTCAGCTAAGCATATATATAGAAATATCATTGATGTTTTCAGCAGCATTTACATCTCGGCTCTATATCATCCCGCAGCTCTGGCAAGCTGGGACGCTTATTTAACCCGATGTACGCAAGTGTTATATTTGCTTGTCGACATTCAAGACACATCTAGTTGTCAATGTTAGCAGCTTGCTTATCTGTTTCATTCATTTTTTTTTGAAACTGATTAGGACAATACAGCAGAATAAAATTGCTACATGCTCATTAGTCATTTTTTTATTTTATTTTTATTTTATTTTTTTTTAAATAAATATGTATTCTTTAATCGTATTTTAAGGACATCCAATCAAAAGTCGCCAAATCCAAGAAGAGTTTAAAAATTACTAGAATTCTATTTTCTTTACATTTTTTCTTTTAATTATACAATACATTCCTTCATTCAAATAAAATGGTAACAAATATACAAATATAATAAATGAATAAGAAGATTGCATTCCAAACATATAACTATTTATTATATTATTAGGCCACTACACCTACTCTTCGTCAAAAGAATCAACTTTATAGAAATAGATCTGCTAAGGGAGTAGTAGCTACTAAAGCTGTAGAAGTAAATAAAAACCCTTCCTTATACTATAAACATAAATGAATGACTAACATCATCACTTAGAAATCAAAGATAATTCGTAAACCAAATTATTCATATTGGGCAATTGGCTTGATTTGCTTTGCATTATTTGGTGGCAGTAAGTTATTCTAACTTTAGTACTTTTCTTTTTATTAACCATTGTTATTATAGTTCTTCTTCAACTTATCGATCTTATTTTTTAAGTAAATTTGTATATAAATTAATAAAAATGTTGCACATAATAATTATTCAAAAGAAGAATTCTATTTCCTTTATTTTATTCATTGCAATTGTAACCATCATTAATAGTAGATTGGTTATTATTCTTAGTTACTTCATCTCAAAGTATATTTTGATTTAATAAAGCAAAATTCAATTCAGCTGGATTCAAAGTTATTTATCATAAAGAAACAACAGCGACATGAGTTTGTATATTATTTTGCCTTGTGCTATTGTCTGATTGGTTCTAATTCTTGTGTAAGATTCAAAATTGAAAATCATAAAGTACATGTATCCAAAAAGAAGAAGAATAAAGCAAAATAAAACTAAAATAGAATATAAAAATAATGGTATTTTATAAATTATTGAGCAATGTGTCTATATATTTACGATATCAGTCTAAAAAGATACGTAACTAATAAAGATAAGCAGTCATGTGATGAAGCACCCTAATTCCCATCAAAGTTACATAAAAAGTCTGTGCATTGTATAAAATGTGGAATCCATTTTTAGTTACAAATTAAATTACAATACAATTTTTTTTTTTTTTTTTTTTTTTTTTTTTTTTTTTTAAATTATTATTATCATTATTTAAGCTCCAATAATGGGTCTTCGTCGAGATTACTTCCTTGACGATGATGAAGAATTAGGCAATGCATCACAACAACAGTCATTATTAACATCAACCCATAATAACGAAATAAACGAACAAAGCGATAATGACTCCTATCTTTATTCTAAAGAGGATTTTCTTGATGATTATAGTTTCCAAAAAAAGGTTTCGTCGAGTTATTTATTAGATATTCATGTGTATATTTATTGATATAAATACATTGCCCCCCTTTTTTTTCTTTAGGGATTTAATTGGATCTATGTCGGCTTTTTATCTATTCTAGCAATAGCTGGGATTTTATGGTCTGCTTCTATTGTTAAGCTATTTGCAGAGCGTAAGTGCTATAATTAACTTTTTTTTTTTTTTTCCTTATAATTCACTTTTGTGTATATCATTAGTACTATTTTCGGAGGACCAGGAAATTATTAATGGATCAAAAAGAATCCAATTTGATGATATTTTTGATAGTTCCTTTACTGTTAAAAAGACAAATCTTGTTTGGGTTGAGAATGGTATAGATCGATAGTATCTACTTTTATTAACATTTAACTAATAATGTCTATAGATCCTAGAGATGGTATTTATACGTATCGAGATCCAAATTCAAACGATATTTTATTAGAATCAATTGAAGATAAAAAGAGTCAAATATTTGTTAAAGCAGAGGATCTTGTATGGTACATGTAAACGATTAAATTCATTTATAATTCATTTCTTATTTTATTATAGAAAACAAAAGAAGGAACATTGGATGTAGAGGCTTTTACATTATCTCATGACGCTGAATATTTATTACTTCAAACAAATATAACTTCTGTAAGAATGTATACATATATATATATATATATATTATGTATTTGTAGAACTGGTTGTATTTATATTTTATATTATTAGCAATGGAGACATTCTGCTTTATTTAACGCTTACATTTATCATGTATCAGACAAAAAAATTATTCCCTTGTTAACTAATAGCACTTCCAAAATAGCTTATGCAGTATGGAGTCCTACGAACCATTTATTGGTAATATATACAAATAATGATTATAATGAACTATGACTAATAATCTATAAATTGGATAGGCTTATGTATTAAACAATGATATTTACATAACTGATTTAAAACAACACACACGAGTTACCTTTGATGGTTCTGCTACTGTATTTAACGGTGTTCCTGACTGGGTCTATGAAGGTATATAACATACATAGTTCGCAAAGATTAAGTTCTAAAAGATTAGTATATACATATATAGAGGAAATACTTGCTTCCAATTTTGCATTATGGTGGGCACCTGATTCTTCATATTTAGCGTTTTTAAGATTTGATGAAACCAATGTACCTGAATATCATATGCAAATGTACACTACTGCATTGAATCATACAGCTTATCCTGACGAATACAACATACGATATCCTAAAGCAGGTTCACCTAATCCTCTTGTATCATTACATGTTTATTCGCTTGCCAACGATAGTATTATCACAGTAACTGAACCCACTTCTTCATCTGTGTCCCACTATATAAATATTTTACAAAATGGAGACCGTAATTTTCATGGTTTCAAGGAAGAAGAAGATAGATTAATTGTCGATGTTGCCTGGGCTACCTCAAACAATAGATCACATCTTTTGTTTAAACAAATGAATCGCATTCAGGACCATGAATTGACAGCAGTTGTCCAGATTGATCACAAACACATTAATAACAGTACAGTCAAATTGATAAGAGAATATAAACCTAATGATGGTGGTTGGATTGATGTAGCTCAGTCAATGGTCTATTTACCTCCTACTACGAAAGATCAAGAAATAGAGAATATTCTATTTCGTTATTTAGACATTCTTGATAATGAAGCTGGATTTGCTCATTTAGCGATTGTCACTGTCCTAAATAAGAATCAGATGATTGAGCATCAAATCTCTTGGTTAACTACAGGAGAATGGGAAGTCATATCGGGGACAGTTGAAGTGGATGTGAATCGTCAAGTTATGTAAGTTATATACATATTTGTTTGAATTAGAGTTGACATAATAAATTTGTTTTTTCTTTTTTCTTTTTTTTTAACAATATGTAGACATTTTATTTCAACCAAAAGATCACCTTACGAACGTCATCTATATAAAATATCATTAAATCATCATGATCCTACCTCTACAATCACTTGTATTACATGTCCAAAGGATCCTGAAGAACATGCTTATTATTCAGCTTCCTTTTCTCCTAAATCAGGCTATTATATTTTAAATTATGAAGGTCCTGACATTCCAAAAACAAGTGTGAAGAAAGTAGATGATCCTTTATTTGAAACTGTATTAGAGGACAATAATGATTTAAGGAATATTTTAAAGGACTATAATTTACCCAAGATGCACATGAAAACTATATCGAACGAGGGATTTGGTAAATTAATAATAATATACATGTATATATTTATATACATTTTAACAGAACCATGGTATACTAAAAAAATAATGATATCCATGTATATACATATAGAAATGGCCTGCATGGAGGTAGTCCCTGCTGATTTTGATCCTCACAAGAAATATCCAGTTTTATTTCATGTTTATGGTGGTCCTGGTTCACAATTAGTATCTTATCGATTTGATTTAAGCTGGCAAACCTTTGTTGCAAGTCAGTTGGGGATTATTGTAGTAACGGTAAAGTTTCCTCCTTAAAAAAAAAAAAAAATAAAACAAAAATTAATTGAGATATATAGGTGGATGGTAGAGGTACTGGTTTTAGAGGTAGAAAATATAGAGTTAGTGTTAGAGGAAAATTAGGTGAGCTTGAAACTATCGATCAAGTCAATGCTGGAAGGTATATTAGTATATATATATACAACTCTTTTTATTCCCATAATTGTATGTTTAACTTGATTATTTTATTTTTGTTAGATATTGGGCAAAATTAGATTATGTTGATGAATATAGAATGGCTATTTGGGGCTGGGTAAGTTAAAGATTTATACATTAAATAATATAGTTATTCATTTTATATAGTCTTATGGTGGCTATATGACTTCTAAAGTAATCGAATCAAATGATGGGGTATTTTCGACTGGTATGGCAGTTGCTCCAGTAACAGATTGGCATTTTTATGGTAAGCTATAACAAAACATGATCTTGTGCTTATATATTTACGTTATAAATGTATATTAGATTCTGTTTATACTGAACGTTATATGAAAACTCCGGAATTGAATCCAGAGGGGTATGAACACAGTGCAGTCAATAATATGACTGGTTTCAGAAATGCCAAATATCTCTTAGTACATGGCACAGGGGATGATAATGGTATAATAATATATACAAGGCAACACACATATATGTATATATTTAATGATATTTATATATATATATATATAAAATACTAGTTCATTTTCAACATACTGCTGTCTTGATTGATAAATTAACTCTGGAAGATATTCATAGCTATCGTGTACAAATTTATACTGACAATAATCATGCGATAAAGTATCATAATGCAAACAAAAATGTATATTATCTATTAACTGAATTTTTAACGGAAAGGTATATATAATTGTAAAAATAATCTTAAAAATATAAAATTAATTATTTTATTTTATTAGTTTTGGTGGACAGGAATATAGACATATTTATAATGAAATGAATGGTAGATTTTCTGGCCCTTTATCAGAAAACGACTAGTATAATTCATTTGCTTATATTTATATGTGTTATGTATATAAAAATCACGAGATATAATAAATTGTAAAGCTGTTTATGTGTATTAGAATTGATATTCTTTAGTTTTTTTTTTTTTTTCACTGTCCATATTTCAATATTGTTCTGTACTTCAAATTTATGGACTCAACAAAGGAGCCAATTGTCTCGAACAGAGCCTCTAATTTATTCTTAGTAATGATTAAATGACATATAACTAATTGGCTCAGTCAAGAGCAAGTTAATAAGCTGTTTATTTCATATAATCCCTGTGTACGTTATTAAATATGTATGTATATGTATACGTGTATGTATTTTAGCAGAGTATGCATCTTTGACCTTCTTACTGTGTTTTTTTTTTTTTTTTTTTTTTTTTACTTGAGCAGGCTGCAATATGCTTTAATTTTATAGAAATACTAAAAAAAAAAAATTATGCATATATTTGAAAATCAGTATTATTGAGGTTTTTTCTTTTTCTTTTCTTTTCTTTTCTTTTTTTTTTTTTTTGAATTCTTTAAAAGAAAACTCAATAATATGCCGTTAGACGAAGATGATGATAGATTGCACATGCTTGCTTCAGAAGATGATCATCAAACAAGGTTTGATTACACTTTACACAAAATATAATGTTTACAAAAAAAAAATATAAAACGAGTTATCTAGTTTGTTACCTTCATCTAGAACTCAACATAGTTTAACAAAGTCAGAGATTATTCAAGGCATGGCGAATAGATTCATGTACTCTAAATTCTATATTGGACTTTATTTAGCCTTAGCTATTTTAAGTTTTGTCTCTATTATTATGGTAAGGTGAAACTGTTAGATACCCAATGTTATAAGCAACTAACAATGCTTAATGCCCATTTTAGTCTCTGAAGGAGAAATGGTAAGTCTTTTGTCTAAATAGAAATTTTACCTTTTTTTTTTTTTTTTTTTTTTTTTTTTTTTTTTTTTTAACACTAATGTCTCAAACTTTAGTCCTTCTTTGTTGTTTATAATCTTTGAAGCAATCATTAATGCAGCCATGATTATCGAAGTGATTATAAGATTATTAGCTCTGGGTCGAGTAAAGTTATATAGAATATATGAAATAGGATTGAATGATATTAAATCTACACATTATAATAGAGATACTGGAGATCGGTTTGGAATATCATCGATGTTATATTGGTTGTGTTATGCGCAGTGACATTGATTGTTTTGACTACAGGATGCTCCATAGAGGAAAGGAGTGAAGCTATATTTGATACTGTTTTATTAGTTATTCGTAATGGATTTCAGTTAATCAGATTATTTATGATGCTTAGAAAGTGAGTTACTTGTATTGTGTATAATTGAAAAGTGAAGGAAGAACTAAAAGATTTTTATTTTATTTTATTTTGTGGGGGGTGGGGTGAGTGTAGAAATCAATATTCATTAAATGCTAGATCTACAAGAATTGATTTTGATGATATACCTGATGTACAGCGTGAACCATCGTTAGAATTCACAGCTCTGGATCATGATAGAGGATTAGATGAAAGCTTTTTAGATGATGAAGACTCTGATATAGATCAACATCAATAAGAATCAACTTTCATCCTACTGCCTTTTAAGAGTGGTATTATTACCGAACTCAAATATATATATTCATGTATAGATATTTAACTTTATTTTCCCTCTTCCCCCTTCAAAACATTTCTTTCTCTCTCTCTCTCTCTGTTTTCCTATTTACGTCCTTTCTATTCTATGTATTATATTTTAGTAGCTAATAAAAAGATAAGCACCTTTTTTTTTTTTTTATTTAATTCATTCATTCATTATAACTACAGGAATTTAAAGAGCAGCAACAAAGACTTCATTAAGCTTATTTTCAGCAACAGCCTTTTCAAAGGATTCGCGAAGAGCTACAAGAGCTTCAAGAGTAGTATGCTTGGCAAAGATATCATCGAGTTTAATCAATTGAGCATCTACTTCTTGAGGAGTAGCAGGAGCTGCACCAGCAGGTAAAGCATAGTTGTTCTCTTGAAGGATAGTTCTCATGTTCTTCTTTTCTTTTCTAATATTCTTCTTAGCCTTCTCCTTTGCCTTCTTGGCTTCAGCAGAAGCAGCCTTAGCTTCAGCAGCAGCCTTTTCAGCAGCAATTCTTTCTTCTTCAGCCTTCTTAGCAGCAGCCTCAGCAGCAGCCTTCTCAGCTTCAGCTCTAGCATTCTTCTTGGCATTTCTTCTCTTCTTTTCTTCAGCCTTGAAGATGGCAATACGAGGATCCATACCTAAACAAGTATCAACGAGTTTACGAAGACGAGCATTATCTTCCTTCTTAAGTTGAGCACGTTGAGCACGATTCTTCTTTTCTTGATAACGTTTGTCATCACGGTTATCGGAACCTTCAGCACCTTCTTTATCAAGCCATTCAAAGGTTCTCCATGAATCAAAGTTATAAAAGAAGTCATAGAAGCCTTCGACTTCTTCTCTGCTAGAGTTGGCATCACCAATGGAAGGAACAGGTTGCTTGTTAGAGAAACGAGCTTCACGTTCAAAGACAGGACGCCATAATTCGTAAAAGTCACCTTTAGTCTTGGCAGTAGGAACGTCTTCTTCAAGATATGCCATACCAAAATCAACAGAGTCATATTGACGACGTGTGACGGGGTTCATTAAAGTATCATAGGCCTTGGCGATACACTTGAAGAAAGCATCGTCATTCTTATCTGCCTTCTTATCAGGGTGGTGCAAAAGAACCATACGACGATGAGCCTTCTTGATTTGTTCTTCAGTGGCCTTGTAACGAAGTTGGGTCAAACCAAGGATGGCATAATTATCTTGTGACTTCCATTGAGTGGGATCTTGGTTGACTGTATTGATATCAACATCCTCGAACTCGAAATCAACCTTCTCTTCCTCAACAACTTGGTTAGCCTTTTCTTCAGCTTGATGACGTTCATCTTCAGAGAAGGTACGGTTGTGGGTCTTTCTACGGGCATGAGCAAGGAAATGACGACCGACGGGTTCAATAAGACGATCAGTGGTAGCTAAATTAAATAATTAGAGCGCGAAACTTTCATAATAAATGTGTATTGTTTGCATTTCTTTTCTTCTTCTTCTTCTTACCACTCAATTTGTTATGAACAACATAAGGTTGATCAGCCTTGTATGAAGCAGGAGGAGGAGGAAGTAAAAAATCGAGAGTCAAAGACATGTTAATAAATTAACTTTATTAGAAGGAGGAAAAGATATTTTTCTTATGAGTGTTATTTATTTATTTTTTTACAAGCCACTTGACAAAAAAAAAAAAAAAAAAAAAAAAAAAAAAAAAAAAAGAATTATAAATTTAGTCTCAGAACATAATGAAATAGTGTTGTTCTCTTTTAAAGAAAAAAAATTATGCCTAATAAAAGAAGACTTAGTAATGAAGAATCTGAATCAAGCTTAATAAAAATAACAAAGAAGAGGAGTAAAGGTCACTCAAAAAAGAAAAATAGCACAAAAAAAGTTAAAAAAACACAGTTGAATGGTAAAAGTATAAAATAAATATGAACCTATTTTTTTTTTATATAAATACATACATACATACAAATGTAAAAAAAAAAAAAAAATAAAATAAAATGCATCTTCATATAAACAACTGTTTCCAAGATGTTCCTGAAATAGATGACAATTCAAGTGATATATCCACTCAAGTCAGCCAAGACTCTAATAATACTGAGATACAACAACAAGAAGAGAAAGCAAAAGATGATAATTTTAAAAAAATATTAAATAGCTTACCTAATGTATATCCTTTGAAGATTCATAAAGAAGATATAAAATTAAATATTGAACCCATTGAGGACAAGGTGTTAACGGCTACAAGAGAAATAACTTTCAAAGGCACTTATAAAATTATACCTATTACCTGTATTTGTATCATTACAACGACAGGGGATAAAACAGTCTACGAACAAAGAAATCAACATGAATGGAATATGTCAGAAAAATTACGGCTTTGTCGAAATATGGCTACTTATTTAGGTCAATTTAAGGCAGATCCTATTGAGCTTAATATTGATTTCTTAAATAATACCATTGCTGAGAAGAAATTACCTGCTTGGTTTTTTATAAAGCCATATTATGAATTAGGCACATTGAGGCACTATTTGAGAGAAAGGAAAAAGAAAAGTAGTGTCATGAAAGCTTCATAAAGAAAAAAGAAAGAAATTAACTACACTATTTAGGACTTGAGCTTGAACCTTTATATGTACTCCAAATGGCTGTCACATTATTTTCAATATTAACTGATGCACATAGTCAAAATATTGGACTTGTAGATATAACAATGGACTCTTTATATGTAAATACAGATGGAGGCCTCTATTTTGGTGGATTTAAATCCTGTGTTTCATTAGACCCTGAAAGCTTATCTAAACAAAAGGATTCCTTCGATACTAGTTCAATAAAGTGTCCAGGTAGGAAAAAGAAAAAAAAAGGGGGAGACGAATCAAACAATAACTGGGTTTAATATATATATATTCTCTCTATTAGAGATAAAAATCATTAAAGCAGGAAACTATATGAAAGAATGCGATGTCTTTTTGGCCTGTCATGTTTTACTTCAAGTAATACAAAAAAACTTTGGACAATACACACGACTATACAAACAGATTTTAAAAGCAGAGAAAATAGAAATTTTGAGGGAATACTTGAATCCAAAATTTAAATTCCTTATACCTGTGCTTGAACAAGGCCTGTGCTATCGTTATCAAGATAGACCTCCTGCATCTGAATTACTAGTTGCTTTTGAATCTATGCGTTATAATGCTATTAAGACAGCTGCTGAGACGGAACTTTAATTGTGACTTTTTATTTGCTAATTATCTTATAGGTTAAACCTCAAGGGGGGGGGAGGGGGGAAGGAAGGGTCTATCCCACTTAAGCTTGTTCTCTCCTCCCCCTTTTTTATTATTATTATTATTATTGTCATATAATCACTTTTGCATACACCCCTATTTATTTTATCCAATAAAACAAGCTGAAAAATATGATACCTTTTACACCAAAATTTAATTTATTAAGCAATCATGGTAATTGAAAAAAAAAAGATGATTTTTTATAACATGTTAGAAATTGACGTCAAGATCTTAGTTTGCAAGCGAACTTTACAAAGACAAAACATTATTACGATGACGAGATATTATTCAAGTCATATAGATGAAATGATAGAAAAAGAGTCTCTTGATAATACTGTTTTAGAAAGGCCAGGACTATCATCACAAGAAGAAAAAAGAGAAGAAGAGGAGGAACAACGATTTTACGAGATTGATGGCCAACAAACCGAAAATCCGACGATTAAAGCAAACGCGCCAAATAAAGCAAAAGAAAATCATACAAAAGATTTCAAGAGATTATTAGAAAATCTATTTGTTCCTCGTCTATCTAAACCTCCTACTCAATCAAAGATTAGACATCTCTCAATACCATTACCAGAATATAAGAAGAAGGGAAATAGTCAAACTGAGAAAGCTTTGCTCAATATGGTAATTCATCAAACCAAGATCTATAAACCCAAGGCGACTCTTCCCCGTAGTATTATGAATTCCATTTATGGTCCTGATTCAAAACAATCACCCTATAATAACAATAACGAATCAAGTTTGGGCTCTTCACCTATCCTTAATTTCCTTCATCAGGAAGATAAACAATTTAGTTATGGAAATGATTCAGTGAGAAATACAGCATTCAAAAACTTATCAGATGATGAACGTATTAAATTAAAGGAAAAGGAGATGCAAACTATTCAAGCCATTACAGAGACTAAAACATCGAGCGAATTATTAGAATGTGTCCGGAAGGAAATTAATTTATCTGATGATACGGATGAAGTAACTAAACGATATCCTTTATATTATCCTAATTTACTTGTTAAGGCTATTGAACATGCTATATCATCAAGGAATGATCCTTATCTAGCTTTAACTATATTCGAGGAAGCTAAAAATAAGAGTTTAGTGAGTTACATTTTTGGATGTACAACGCCTGTCTACAATGCAATTCTATCATTACGTTGGAATACGTGGCGTGATATCTATGGCATGTTAGATTTAGTAGAAGAAATGACATTAAATGGTATAGAAATTGATGATAATTCAAGAAGGATTATACGTAAAGTTGTGAATGAGATAGAGTATGAAGGCAATACAGGCCTTATAGGTGAAGACATCTTGAAGGAAGAAGAAAGTCAAGAAACAATATCTGCTGGTCTTTATTGGAATGCGGACGAAAGACGAAATTGTCATTTATTAACTGAATTAGGTGGAAAATGGCTTATTGCAAGGCAACATTCAAAACAAGCAAGATGATGGATGAAACTTGTTGAATATCCTGTTTACTATTTTTTTTTTTTTTTTTTTTTTTTTTTTTATTTATTGGTTAAATAATAATAATAATAAAAAAAAAAAAAATATGCCGAATTAGGTTAAAACCTTTTTTTTTTTTGACAGTGAATAATAGGAACGTCAATTTTAATTTGACTTTTTTTTTTGTTTTTTTTTAATTTGACAACAGCCTTGTATTATTCTCTTCCTTTACTACTCTTTTAATTTATTTATATACATATCAATGGTAACAACTCGTCGTACTTCTAAAAGGCTTTTAAAGAGAGCCAAGATTGATGAAGAAGGTGCATCTACTAATGCTGAAGAAAGCAAAATGAATATAATTAGTCAAGACATGGAACTAGACAGGTCTGAATCTGATTCTAATAATGTACCTTCAACACCAGAAGACGATGATTTTCAGGATCCAATTCCAACACCCATCATTCCTCTTCGTCTTTCTTCAAGAGCAAAGGGGAAACAGGCAGTAAGATACAAGACTTCTGTTAGTACACAAAAAAGAACTTTGCGCAGTAGTAGCATAAGATACGACGAAGAAGAGAATAGTTCCGATCATACTGATATTATCAATGATCCTATTACTAATAACAAGTCTGATATTCAGTCAAGTAACTCGTCTTCAACATTAAATAATGATGAAGAACAAGTACTACTATCGTCATTGTCGTCTGATTCTGAAGAATTGAATTCCGCAGCAGCACTTTCTTCTCTTCCTACACCATTGGCGGAGCTTGATTCTGATTCGCAGCAAGAAGAAGAAGCAGAAGCAGAAACAGAAACAGAAGCAGAGTTTGAGCTAGAACAAGAGAATGATACGAATAGCCAAGCTTCTGAATCAGAGAGTGAACAAGAAGAAAGAGTAGTAAGACATAATAGAAGAAGAAATAGAAGAATTCCTCATGTAAGTAAATAAAATAATTACATATACTTTATGTTATATTTAGAAATATTTGTAGTACATGAAAACACAAGCAAAAGTTATAAAGCAGCATAAAGAATTAGAAACTATTTGGGATGATCTTGAACAAATTAAAGCTGAAAAAGTAGTTCCTATTGAACAGCCTTCTGAGTTAACTTTACAACTTTTACCTTTTCAAAAATATGGCGTTGGTTGGATGCGTAGACAAGAAAAGATGGAAACTGTACATATAATGTTTATTAGCATTTCTTGTTCTTTTTATTGACTTTTGTATTTATAGTTTAATGGTGGTATATTAGCTGATGAAATGGGCATGGGTAAAACAATTCAAACAATAGCCTTACTACTAACTGATAAAAAGAAACCTAATTTGGTTATTGCTCCTACTGTAAGTAAACACACACACACACATATATATATATATACATACATACATACATACATATATAGTACACGTTGAATCTATATATTTACATATTACATAGGTTGCTGTTCTTCAATGGAAAAATGAAATTGAAAAGCATACTAATAATGCTCTTTCTGTCTTTGTCTATCATGGTGCTAATAGACCAAAGGATCCTGAGTTCCTCAAACAATTCGATGTGATATTATCTACTTGTATGTATATACATTTCAATAATATATAATTTTAGAACGAAGCTAACACTACAATATGTAGATTCTATTATGGAAACATCTTTTAGACGTCAAGAATATGGTGTTACCAGAAAAGGATCAAATAGTATTTTTAAAGAAAAGTCTGTATTACATAGAATTAATTGGCATCGTGTCATTTTAGATGAGGTAACATTAAGAGTAAATGAATAATTTGAATGCATTACTTATTATTTTATTTTTTTAGGCACATAATATTAAAGATAGATCATGTAATACTGCTAGATCAGTGGTAAAGTATATAGATACAAATGTAAATGTGTAAATTTAGCTAAAGAACTTATATTTCCCTTAAATATATTGTATAGTTCCACATTAATAGTAGATATAAATGGTCTTTAACAGGTACACCTCTTCAGAACCGTGTAGGCGAATTGTATTCTTTGATTCGTTTTATGCAAGCAGGTAAACTATTTAAAATGAAAAAAAAAAATTTTTTTTTGTTAACATATTTGTTTATTTAGATCCATTTGCTTATTATTATTGTAAGCAATGTCCTTGTAAAGAACTGAATTGGAAATTCTCTAATAAACGAACTTGTGATTCATGTGGCCATACTCCTATGAATCATGTTTGTTGGTGGAATAATGAAGTACTTAAACCAATTCAAAGTCAAGGATATTTAGGCGATGGTCGTATAGCGCTTAAAAAGTTAAATTTATTATTAGATAGGATTATGTTAAGAAGAACAAAAATAGAGTGTGCTGATGATCTTGGCTTACCACCTCGATCTGTTATCATTCGACGTGATCTCTTTAGTGAAGAAGAAGAAGATGTGTATACTTCTTTATATTCTGATGTAGCTCGTACTTTCACCACTTATGTAGAACAAGGCACTGTATTGAACAATTATGCTAATATTTTTGAATTATTAATGAAAATGCGTCAATGTGGTAAGGATTTATATACAAGAGATATACGAATTGTAATATATATATATTAACATTTCCTCTTCTTTAAGCGGATCATCCTGATCTTGTCACAAAGAAATCATCAGATAATAAGCAATTAGTGTGTATGCTATGTAGCGATCCTCCAGAGGATGCAGTTAGAGCAAATTGTAAACATGTCTTTTGTAGAGAATGCTGTATTCAGTATTTAAATAGTTTTGATGACCATGAAACAAGTGAACGACCACGTTGTCCTTCTTGTTTTGCTGATTTTTATGTTGATCTCTCTCAACCTACTATCGAGATTGAAGGTGATAATATGGGTGAAAATGCCAACTACTCTAAATCAAGTATTGTTAATCGTATTAATATGGATAAATGGAGAAGTTCTACAAAGATTGAAGCTCTCTTTGAGGAACTTTCTAATTTGAGACGTGAAGATAAGACAATCAAAAGGTAAAGCGAGAAAGGATAAAAAAAAATAATATATATTAAAAATAATATCTATTTATTTAGTATCGTATTCTCTCAATTTGTTAATTTCTTGGATCTTGTATATTGGAGACTGTCTCGTGCAGGTTTTGAATGTATTCGATTAGATGGCACAATGACTCCTGATCAAAGAGATGCTGCTATTCAACGGTAGTATAAATCTAACTAATATTACTTTTGTATATCTTATTCATATTATTATAATGGATAGATTTATGACAAAGCCAACTGTTACCGTCTTTCTTATTAGTCTTAAAGCAGGTGGTGTTGCTTTAAATTTAACCGAAGCTAGTCGTGTATTTATTTGGTAAGTTTAAATAAATATAATAATTGTTATACAATTTGAATTAACAAAGCATAAACATAGTGATCCTTGGTGGAATCCTGTAAGTTAAAATAGAGTTTATTTTAAAGACATATAATCATATAAACTAATTGGGATTTCTCTTTCTCTCTAATATTTTTTTTTAAAAAAAAAAGGCTGCTGAATGTAAGTTTAGAAGTATTAAAAAACTAGCTTTTGTTATCACATTAACTAACCTTTTTTTTTCCTTTTTAGTACAAGTAATTTTTTTTTTTTTTAAAAAAAAAAGGGGGAGATTAATTTTATTAACCTTATCTTATTTTAGGCCATGGATCGTATTCATAGACTTGGTCAACATAGACCCATTCGAATTACAAGATTAATCATTGAAAATAGTATTGAAAGTCGTATTGTTCAATTACAAGAAAAGAAACAAGCTTTAGTTGATAGCACTGTTGGTAAGTGTATAGAATGAAAATTTAATGTTTACACAGAAATTCTTATTATTTTCATTTTTTTTTTTATAGGTAAAGATTCAAAGGCTCTTGATAAATTAACGGTAGAGGATTTAAGATTCCTTTTTGTAATGTAAAAAAGAAAATATTAGACTTGAATAAATGATGTAGATTTTTTTTTATTACATAATTTATTTTTACTCATAATCATGTGAAAGATAAACAAACAACAAATATGGAACACAAAAAAAAAAAAAAAAAAAAAAAAAAAAAAAAAAAAAAAAACTTCAGTTACAGCTTTATTTTCTTCTATATTTGTGTTCTTTTTCTTCTTCTTTATTACTATTATTATTGTAAAAATATGTCTCCTATTACAGTTTCTGAAAGTGTCTATCCAGCAAAACAAGGTGAAGGTGAAGTAAGACGCTCAGTTTTGAGTTTGGAAGATTTAGTAGACACGCCTGCTCAGGGAGTTCATACAGTTTATGATGTGTTACAATACTCTGTTAAAAAACGTAGTGAGCAAAATGCATTAGGATATCGCAAGCTAATACAAACTATAACAGAAGAAAAACAAGTAACAAAGATGATAGATGATAGTGGCATTGAAGTAAAACAAAAAAAGGAATGGAAGTATTTTCAACTCTCTCCGTATCATTATGTCACTTATGCTGAATTATCGAAAATCGTTCATGACATTGGTTCTGGCTTGATTTATTATGGTTTAAAAAGTTCAAAATCCAGGATAGAAATATTTTCTCCAACAAGGTAAAAATAGATGATACAAATTATAGCAGTCTGTGTAGTATTCATAAAATGTGTAAAAAAAAAAATATATATAGTATGGATTGGATGTCTGTTGCACATGGCGCTTTTACACAAAATATGGCAGTTGTAACGGCTTATGAAACATTAGGTGCAGATGGTTTACTTCATTCAATGAATGAAGCACAAGTAGATGCTGTGTTTACAACTGCTGAGCTCTTGAAGACAGTAGCTAGCATTTTATCTAAATGTCTTCATAAATCTTTACTTCTTATTATTTACACAGGTGAAGCGAAAGAAGAGGATCTTGCTTCCATTCATGATATCATTGGGCAGGAGGATCGTGTGATCACTTTGGATCAGCTTAAGAAAGTAGGTCACGAAAACCCTAAAAGGGCAACTAAACCTGGACGTGATGATTTATGCTGTATTATGTATACCTCTGGCAGTACAGGGGTTCCTAAGGGTGTTATCTTGAATCATTCAAATATTGTTGGTGCAAGTAAAGAATTTATTCTAGAAGAAATATAGATTAAAAAAGCTTAACTATTCCTTCTTCTTCTTTTTTTTTTAAAAAATATGTTTCTACTATCTAGTTGCAGGAGTAGATACTTTACTGGGACATTGTATTATAGGTGGTGAAGATACTATGATGGCTTATCTTCCATTAGCCCACGTTCTTGAATTTTTAGTAGAAAATCTTTGTTTATTTTGGGGCGTCACATTAGGTTATGGCTCTCCTCGTACATTGACAGATATTTCAGTACGTCATTGTCAGGGAGATATAAAAGAATTTAAGCCCTCTATACTGACAGGTGTTCCAGCTGTATGGGAATCGATTCGTAAAGGTGTCTTGAACAATGTAGCCAAAATGAGTCCTACTAGTCAAGCCATTTTCCATCGTGCTTTTACTACTAAATCTTGGCTTATGGAAAGAGGTCTTTCTACAGGATTTTTAGATTCACTCATCTTTAATAAGATTAAAGAACAAGTGGGTGGTCGTCTTCGTTACGGTTTAGCCGGAGGTGCTCCTGTTTCATTAGAAACGCAACGCTTTCTTTCTATTACTTTGGGTCCCATCCTTAATGGATTTGGTATGACTGAGTCAGGTAATGTTAAAGAAGAATATGTATATATATATATATATATATACTATAATATGTATTCCAAAAAAAAAAAAAAAAAAAAACTATAAATGCAAAATAATTTATAATTTATATATATAGTGGGAATGTGCTGTATAATGACACCTGATAATTTTAAATATGGTGCAGTAGGTGGGCCTGTTCCTTGTTGTGAGATCAAGCTAGTGGATGTTCCTGATGCTAATTACGTAACAACTAATCCTGATAAATCTCAAGGTGAAATATGGGTACGTGGTTCTTCAATTGCTCAGGGGTACTTTAAACAAGATAAGCTGACAAAGGAAACATTTACAGAAGATGGCTGGCTTAAGACAGGTGATATAGGAGAATGGAATCCTGATGGTACCTTGACTATTATTGATCGTATCAAAAATCTTGTGAAATTGAGTCATGGAGAATATATTGCGCTTGAAAAGTTAGAATCAATTTATAAATCGACGATGGGCGTCAACACTATTTGTCTCTATGCTGATTCATTCAGTCCTCGACCCATTGCAATTGCCATGCCAATTCAAGCCCATCTTAAACAATTGAATGCTCGAATCTATGATGACAATAATAATAATAATAAATCATTTAAAGAATTATGTCAAGATCAAGGAGTGAAAGAGGCATTTTTATTAGAACTTCAACAGCAAGCAAAGAAATCAGGACTTGGGCCTGCTGAAACGATATATGATGTTTATTTAACTCATGAAGAATGGTCACCTGAGAATGTAAGTCTGTCTGTCTGTCTATATGTCGATTTACATACATATTATTATATGATAGACATACATACATGTATATATGTATATTTATTTAGCTTATTTTATCTAGGGCCTTTTGACAGCTGCACAAAAATTAAAACGTAATGTTATTCATCAACATTATAGAGAACAATTAAATGCTATGTAAGGTTTTTTTTTCTTTAACAAGTATTTATTATTAGGTAATTCTGACTAAATATATGAATATAATTTTAGGAATAAGCTTCAAAAAGTCTAAAAATATATCTGAATAAAGATAAAATAGTATTATTAACATACACACGTGTATATAAATAAATACATATCTCATCACATTATCTGAATTACAATAATAAAAAAGAGGCTTTTGATAATCATTTTTTAGTACTTGTTTTGTCTGTGCTTTATATACTTGTACTCTCTCTCTTTCTCTCTCTTTCTCTCTCTTCCCCTCTTACTCCCCCTCTTACCAAAAAAAAAAAAAAAAAGTACTACGTTATACACTGTATGTATATCGTTGTCAAAATAGGATAAATATGGAAGAAAAAGAATTATTCACCAAGATAAATAATACTATAAAAGTAAAAAATGTAAGGATATATTTTAAAAAAGCAGGAGAATCAAAAGAATATGCATCTTTATATGAATAATAATAATAATAAAAAAAAGGTGGGGTAAAACAATAAAATGCAGAGTAGTAAATGATGAAATATACATAAAAATACATTTTATAAGATTAGATCCTGTATAGAGAATATACACATGTTTAAATAAATCTATTATAGCGATAACTATCTTATTTTTTTCTTCAATAATTGGGGATTTGTCTTTAAACTTTGTCTTTTTTTTTTTTTTTTTTTTTTTTTTTTTTTTTTTTATACATCGTAAGATAATATGTGTATACATATATAAAAAACGTGAAAATTATTAGTATTTACAATTCATAATCTTGTGATTTTATTTATTTTTTTTTTTAAAAAAAAAGAGTTTTATGTTGTATATGTTTGATAGGTTACTTATCATCTTTGCTATCATAATGAAATGTCTTTATTACATTATGTAAAAGTGGAATTGAGTAAAGAAGTTAATGTGTGTGTGTATGTAATCTATTTTACAAACCTTATTTTTTCTTTTTAGTCGTCTTCTTTTCCTTCTTCCATTTACACATACAATACAACAAAAACAAATAAACAAAAAAGAAAATAATATAATACTACGTACTTTTATATGCATCCTGACTTTGGTCCAATTGAAGACAAGTTATATTAAATAAGGAGGGTAACAATATACATATTTGTATATAAATGTATTTGTATGTATTCATATATATTATTTCCTTTCTTTCCTATTCGTTTCTCTATATTAATATATTACCTACTTTTTATAACAAAACTCTTTAAAATAAGTATACATACATAAATATAGCATCATATAGAATAGGTATGTGATTTAGAATGATCAGTTTTAATAGACACATGCATATAATATAAATTATTATTATTATTATTTTTTTGGTTGGGGATAAAGGGGTAAAGAATGCAAGAGAAACAGACATGAAGAATATATTATGTATACATAGATCTATACTTGTGTATCTGTATGTAAATATGATTGATCTCTAAATCATATATTTTGTTTTGTTATGTTGAAAATGTAAGGGGTTTTCTAATATATACATGTATAATTATTTATATATAATACATATACTTATTTATACACATACCTTTTTTTTTTTCTTTTTTGGCTGGTTGAAATCTAGTATCAAATCCCATTCCTTTTTCTTTTCTTTTTCTTTTTTTTTCTTCCTTTTTTTTCTTCCTTTTTTTTTTGCTATATCTTTATTTATATACTTTATACTTTGATTATTGATACAGACATACGGATACATAAACTTGTAAAGTACATAATATTGCCTTTTTGTCTTTTGTTTTCTTCATTCTACAATATTTTATTTTCGGAATCATATTAAAGTAATTCTACTAATACTTACTTTTATTTTACTATATAGAATAATCAAATTCAACTTTTATTTTTCTTTTCTTTTCAATCCTTATAAAGGAACAATCATCTCGCTCTTACAGACTATACACTCTTTCTCTTTTCTTTTTTAGAATGTTGGCTGAAAAAAGACCTATGAAATCTATAATTCTAACTAAAAAATATTCAACAACTGAGAATCAATTTGGAATGACTAGCAATGATCAATTTGAATCAAATAAAAGTGAGAAAAAGCGCTCATCTTGGTGTAAATCTGAAATAAAGAATCAAGCTTCTAGTAAACAAGATCAAATAAACGATGAAAGAATTGATTTAATTCGAAAGGATTTGATTCAACGCGCCACAAATCGTTTCAGACGTCGTCAACTTGAACAAAATCTTGAAAATTTAATGAATCAAGTTGTTCAATTACAAACTCATTTACAAGTATTACATTTGGATGCAACAGCAACTAGAAATACGATTGCTAATTTAAGTATTGATGATAACACTAGCATCGATGAGGACTTTCTTCTGTCTACAGAGCCAGATCATTATCTACAATCTTATGAAAACAATTGTCGTATTGGTAGATGTATGGATAGACTAGAAAAAAGACTAGAAGATCATCGATTATCTCTTGTTCATATTCAATTCGATAATTTTAGTAAAGATGAGAATGATCATATGAAAGAAGAAATTGAAAATTTGGATAAATCTAATACTATCATCGTACAGAATAATGTAGATCAAGAGTTGAATAAATATAGCACTATAGGAATGAATAATAGTGCTACAGAACAAGACCTCAAATCATCATTCCCCTCACCCTTTTTCTCTCCTACCCTATCTCCTTTTTCAGTTCTATCTTTACCTTCGCTTTCCCTTGTATCATCTATTATCGGAAGGGCGTCAAGAGCTTCGAGTGTATGTGAAAGTGTTTCGACTGATATGACACGTAGTGATTCTGTCGATAGAAATCAAGTCCAGCTTGAAGCTAAAAAGAATAATTTGTCTTTTGACGAGCCACTTTATGTAGATGACCCTTTCTATGATCTAGCTGGCAATCGAAGCTTTAAAGCTGGTAGTTTCTGTGGCAGTATCTATCATACTGATACTGAAAAGCAGACACCAGACCTTTTATATTCAATATCTAACACCAGTAATGAAACCTCTGAAGTTCGTTGGAGACATCGTAATCAAAATCGTTATCAAAAACATTTAGAGCTTAAAATACAGCGACAATTATACGAAGAACAACTAAAAGCAGTATCAACCAATACTTTTGAAGCTAATTGTCATCCTTATGACAATAGATCTATTATTGACGATGATGATGATATGTCATCTATTCCTTCTATCCCAAGTCTTTCTAACCCAGACATGCATCGTCCATCAGATGCAACTACATCAATAACGAGTCTAAACATCAATACAAAATATACTAGCAAAGAGGATGACTTTTATGATCATGTTAGACGCCATCCCTTATCGCCTGTCACGCCCCCTCCTCATATGAATACTAGTTTTTTCTTTGAGAATCATCTAAAACAACGACGACAAGAGTATCCTACACCATTGAACATATCTCATAAGACTTTAAGAAATGATGAAAATGAAATGAATTTGACTTTTAGACCAAAGATTCTCACAAATGATCATTACGAACCAAAAGAAATAATACCTCAACAACAACAACAGCAGCAAAAACAACCTTTTTTCCATAATAAATCACCAAGTTCATCTTTTCATGAATATCGATATTTACATACAAATTTGTATCCTCAGCAAAATACCCTTGATGAACTAGTCACTTACTTGGACGGCTTAGGGTCACATTATAGTGATAGTATTATAAGCGATGGTTTTCACTTGCTTAATAATTTACAGGATTGTAATCAACCCTTCTCTCAGGCTCTTATGACTGAGCTTCGTGAGAGAGACCACAACCGGGCTCATACATCATTTAAAGGATTTAATCCTTTGACTATTCTTAACCATCTTTTACCACTTTTAAATCCTGGATTCTGGTGTCGATTCTACTACAATTTATTTTATAACATGACATGTACTGGTTTAGAATGGTGTCATTTCTTAAGCATCATAACTGGTATATTCATTCGCAACCTCTTGAGAGGACCTGGATCATTACAAGAAAGAAAAATTATGGTTTGCTTTGAATCTCCAATGAAAACTTCCCTTTGAGAATCTTTCCTTATTATTATCTTTCCTTTTTTTTTGGTTTTTGCTTTTACTTCACAAGTTTGTGTTTTATTATACTCTCCTTATTATTCAAGCTTTTTTTCATATATAGAACTTTTTTTTTTCTCTTTTTTATTCTACAAAGTATATACTGGCCAATATATGTATATATAATTCAACAATGACTTCCTCCCCACCCCTTTATGACACACACAATATTTTGTATGAACCCAACTTTATCTATTTTTTTTTTTTTTTTTTTTTTTTTTTTTTTTTTTTTTAGTCCTTGTAATTTCCCCATTTATGATATGTATAAAATTACTGCCCCATTTTTTTTTAAAAAAAATAAATAAATAAATAAGCTTAAAAATCTCAAATTGCTTACAAGACATTACATAGGTGAAAGGAAAAAAAAAAGTTGATATATTTGTTGGCTATTAGAGATTAGACATATTATGTAATGATAACAATTAAGATATAAAACATTCTGATGTATCATTTTCAAACTTTTAATTCACAAAAGTAACAGTTTACTTGCACGCCCATTACTTTGAATAGTTAAAGGGAAACTCTCCTCCCCTTTTTTTTTCGCAAAAAAAAAAAAAAGTAATATTGTATGATGTATATCTTAAATGCATGTGCTTTAGAGTGACTAAGTGGTAAAAGCTCTCCTCTATTACATTCTAATAAGGTTAAGGTTTGATTGATCATTGTGAGTGCTAAACTTATTTATGATTTTAGATACGCCATGACGATGATGGTATAATAGTATATTCAAAATTAATGTATGATGGCAATATTTCTCTACTTGGGATTATGAAATCATCATGATCATTCGTCTTTCCTGTCTGTTTAAACGGTCCAGAATATACATGCTCATGATCTTTCTTTGTTTCTTTTTTTTTTCGCTCTTAAAAACAAATAAATTGTTATCCCTTCAACATAGCTTCTATAATGAAGAAAAGGAAAGTGTGAATTGTTCTGTATTAGGAAACGCGATAGTCTTTCATCTACACATGTATTTGACATAACTCTTTCAGAAATGGCATATTCAATAATGAAATCGCCATTCAGCTTGCTCAGGCATTCTTTTTAATAAATTGTCCTTTAGTGTGTATGTATGTATGTATGTGTGTGTGTGTGTTTAATGATTTGAACATATGTATTAAATTTGTTTTCCTATTGTTTCTCTGTTTCCCAGCTTTTTATTATACAATTGATTTAAAAGAGTGTTGTATTATACAGATTTTTAAGCACATCAATCTTCTTGAAGGAGAGGGTTAGAGCGAGAGGGAGAGGAAGAGGGAGAAAGAAAGATAGCAAAATTCTGCGGATAAAAATGCTCTATCCAAATGATTTCTTACTCCTGTTACTTTACTCGATAATAATTTACCTAATTTTATTTCAATATTGGTATTTATCGTGTACATAGCTTTAAACCTATGAGCACTATGCTGTCCTCCTTTTTCCTTTTTCTTTTCTTAAGAATATATAAATATATATTTTTTTAATAAATCAGATATTATACTTCATTGCCAGTAAAACGAAAAAAAAGGTATATACATAGAGTATGTACTAGTTCAAGTTAGATTAGAGTGTTATTATACTTGTTTATTTATTTATTTATTTTTTGCTCTATCATGTTTTATTAATTACTCAGTATCTGTTAAATTATTTAATAAGTAGACATAGAAAATCCTATTATAAACAAGTAGCATAATTTATTTAAACTTAGTTATTAAATCCCCTCCCCCTCTCCGAGAGTTAGTTCATTTCTAGTCTGTTTTTTTTTATCTATAGTAGCTTCGAGGGTTAAGGCGTACATACAAAATACTTTAACAAATAGCCTTCTTTTATTTATTTATCTTTTGCTGATAAGAGCTAAATTGTAGGATATACAAAATCAAAGGGATATTTATACTTGATAATTTTTATGAACCTTAGTTTCTACGTTAGTAATAGCCTTCATAATTTTTTCAATAGCAATTTCCTTGTTCTTTTCAGCAGCTTCACGAATTTCCTGAATTTTAGCCTCAGTTTCTTGATCAACTTTACTAAGACTTTGATCCGATTCTCCAGAATGCTATATCAAAAGTTAACCAAAAAAAATATATATTTATATATATATATTTTACCTGTGCAACAAAGTTTTGATATTCAATATTCTTTTGAGCCTTAAGTTCTTCGATTTCCTTAGCTGCTTCAGAACGAGCATCCTTCAAGCGTTGTACACGGTCTAAAAGACTATCATTAGAAATGGCATTCATCTAATATAAATATAAATGTTTACATTGTTTAGCTTTTTGAACAATCTTGGCAGCTTCACGTTCAGCATCCAAAAGAGTATTAATACCTTGAGAGTTAGAAGTGGACTACAAAAAAATAAAATAAAAGGGTTAATTCGTCTCTAATATTATAACAATTCATATTGCCTTTTTTGCTGTTATTAAATAATATAAAGCACATCTACGTAAATATTTCATAAATGAATCCAAAAGGCTCATTAACATGTATTATGCAATGCATTTATATTATAAGTAGGTAAAAAAAAAAACCAACAACAACAACATTCAACTGTATACAGTATAATATATTATTCTTTAATAAGCTAATTATACTTACCATGACTAGTAATGTTTAAATATGAAAATAGGTGTATGTTTATATAAGTATAATTGTGTATATATATAAAAGAGAGTCGCGATATAAACGAAGTGATAACTAGGAAGGGGGAAAAAAAAAAGGCAGAAAGAGTTTCAATAAACTTTGAATCTCAGAAATATTTATCCAATCAAATGTGCGCATAGTATATTCAGCTTCTCGGGGAGGGCAAACAAACTTGAGTTGAATCAAAGAAAATAAGGAATCCTCCTCTTTTATTGTCTCTATATAGCAGCCATGGTAAATATAAGAATCTATTCATCCATCCATCCATCTATCTATATACTAATCGTATCTATTTATAATATAGTCGCACAGGTATTTATCAATCACTTAACAATATAAAAAAAAAGAAAAAAGAACAGATGTTAAATCTACATCATTTTTGGAATCATTGATCATCAAATGTTAATTTGATTGACGATTCTTGCTCTCTCTTTTTTTTTTTCATTTGTTATTTCTATACGAATATAAACTAATCATTTTATTTTCATTTTCATTGTTAATTTACCAACTATAGAAAGTTTGAGGGTAAGCCTTTATTTATTTTTTAAAGAGATTCCAATGATCTAATTAAATATTTTTTTTTTGATTAGCTCCCCGTCACGGTCACTTGGGTTTCGGCCCCCGTAAGAGAACTAGATCTCACCGTGGTCGTGTTAAGGCTTACCCCAAGGATGATGCTAGCAAGCCCGTCCACTTAACTGCCTTCATGGGTTATAAGGCTGGTATGACCCATATTGTCCGTGATCTTGAACGTCCTGGTTCCAGTAAGTCATTTTTTTTCTATAAAAAAGAAAGTAGTATTAGTTGAATTGAATCTAACTTATATTGATAACTAATAGAGATGCACAAGAAGGAAATCGTCGAAGCCGTTACTGTTATCGAAGCTCCCGCCATGGTTGTTGTCGGTGTTGTTGGTTACGTCGAAACTCCTCGTGGTCTCCGTTCTTTGACCACTGTCTGGGCTGAACACCTTTCTGAAGAAGCTAAGCGTCGCTTCTACAAGAACTGGTACCGTTCCAAGAAGAAGGCCTTCACTAAGTATGCTCAAAAGTATGCTGAAGGTGCTAAGGATATTGCTCGTGAACTCGAACGTATTAAGAAGTACTGTTCCGTTGTCCGTGTCATTGCTCACACTCAAATCTCCAAGGCCAAGCTCCACCAACGCAAGGCTCACATCATGGAAATTCAATTGAACGGTGGTTCTATTGCCGATAAGGTTGAATGGGCTCGTGAACACTTTGAAAAGGAAGTCACTGTTGGCTCTGTCTTCGAACAAGATGAAATGATTGATATCATCGCCACCACCAAGGGTCATGGTTTCGAAGGTGTCACTCACCGTTGGGGTACCAAGAAGTTGCCTCGTAAGACTCACCGTGGTCTTCGTAAGGTTGCCTGTATTGGTGCCTGGCATCCTAGCAGAGTCATGTACTCTGTTGCTCGTGCTGGTCAACGTGGTTACCATCGCCGTACTGAAATCAACAAGAAGATTTACCGTATTGCTCATGGTGCTGATGCCAAGTCTGGTACTACTGACTACGACTTGACTGAAAAGCCTATTACTCCTATGGGTGGTTTCCCTCACTACGGTATCGTTAACGAAGATTTCGTTATGATCAAGGGTTGTTGTGCTGGTTCCAAGAAGCGTGTTATCACTCTTCGTAAGTCCCTCACTGTCCACACCAAGCGTTCCGCTTTGGAAAAGGTTTCCCTCAAGTTCATCGATACTTCTTCCAAGTTTGGTCATGGTCGTTTCCAAACTGCTGCCGAGAAGCATCAATTCATGGGTACTCTCAAGAAGGATATCTAAACTGTTTTTATTTACAAGCCTTAATAAAAGTCTCTTTATTATTTAAGTTTGTTTTATTATTCAACTAAATGAAGGTGTGTGTGTGTGTATTAGAGAGAGAGAGAGAGAGAGTTATAGATAGGAAGGTTTTATTATTTACAACTACAGAACATACAGATGCTTATTGTCATACACAAAGAGGGCTTTTTTAAAAAGTCATTATTGGACGGACGATCAAGTGGTATGCATAATAGAAGCCAAAGCATAAAATATAATTCTAGTAAAATAGGCTTTCTTCATTTTAAATGATTTTCTTTGATCCACAAAAGAAATATTCATATTCATATTATTGATGCATAATTTTAGAATTATCTCTTGTTCCTGTTCCTGAAATAGACTATGAATAATAATCGTCTTTTTATTTATTTATTTATTTATTTTATTATGATTATTTGTATAAATGTCTCATTTAAACTAATAATAATACTTTAGAAAAAGAGTTTCTATAATTATTCCTAAAAATAGAAGGATATTACTTACTAGTACTACTGCAACTGATAAAAAAAGTATCACACAAAATTCTCATCATTGATACTATAAAAGTGCATAATGTGAGCTTATTATACTATGTGCATTGTAACTCGATCTCTCTCACTCTCATTCCCTTACTTACTCACTTACTCACTCACTCTCACTCTCACTCTCACTCTCACTCTCTCTGTGTGTGTGAAGTTTTCTTCATATCGGTGCTTTCCGGATTTGGAGTGATTTTTTTGCATAAAAGTCAGACTATTTTTTATTTATTTTTTTGTTTTTGTTATAAATATTTAGTTTTTTGTAGTTTATAGTTTCTTTCTTTTTTTTCTTTTTTCTCACACACACACATATATATATACATATATAAATATACATTTATATACATATATACGACACATACACACACATACACACACATACACACATACACACATATTATTATTACTATTATTTTTCTTAAAGTAACAATGGATTGTTACTTTAATAAAGAAGACCAAATTAAAAATACTGTATTTAAACAAAATAATAATTCAGTGCCAATAGACCTTTTTAAAAACCAAGAAAACAAGATAATGTTTCCCTGGCAGCAGCAGCAGCCTCCCCTTTCACCTCCACCTTGTCATCATAAAGAACTTCCTCTTCTTTCTTCTCGACCTAATTATTTTTCAACCAATCATAGTTGGCACCCTCTTTGGACAACTACTTCTTCTACCTGGCAAAATAACGATGTTCCAAAGAGAAGTCGCTCTATATCAGCTAATACTGCGGATGATTATTTTCTATTCAAAAAAGACAATGACTATTCTTCTTCTTCTACTACTACTACTACTACTGATAAATCATCATTTAAAACTCCGTCTACAACAGGTTTCATGGAGAAAAATTCTATTTGGTCATTTGAAGAACGTCGACATTCGATTGCTGTCATTCAACCACCCCTTGTTAGACCTATCACTCCACCACAGCAAGTGAATCAATTAATTCAGCAACTACAGCAACAGCAACAACAAATTGATGAATATTTCAGTCCAACAACGGCTGTTATCGATGTCCAATACCTTGGAAAGGGAATCTCTATTCAACAATTAGATAAGAAATCAATAGTTTATCAAATTCAATTCAAGTCAAACTATCAATTCGATTATTTTTATATTCAACCTGAAGATACTTTAATGCGAGTCCAATTAAATGACATGGTCATTGTAGAAGCAGATCGAGGTTATGATCTTGGTAGAATTATTCATATTTTGCCACAAAAGTCATTGCCGGATCATGTTCACAATCTGAAGCGTATCTTTAGACATGCTAATTCTGCTGAATTATCTACTTATGAATTAAAGCGTCAGGATGAAGAAAAGGCTTTAATCATCTGTCAAGCGAAAATTAAACAAAAGAATCTAAACATGGAAGTTGTAGATGCAGAATACCAATGGTAACATGACTTTTTTTTTTTAACTTCCTTCAACGTAATCATTGCTTTACTAATTAGCTTGTATATATATGTATTTATAAAGGGATAGACGCAAATTAACATTTTATTTTAAAGCCGATGAACGAATTGATTTTCGTGAATTAGTTCGTGAATTATTCAAGATCTATAAAACACGTATTTGGATGTGTGCTTATTCTTCAACATCGCCAACTTCATCAACCTGTACACCTATTTACTCTTAAGTTTTTTCTTCTTAATACCCGTCATTTATAATGATATGTATCACACATGTATTTAGATCTATTGCATTCTATATAAAAAATTGCTTTATAAAAAAGAATTGCTATTTTTCTTTTTCTTTTTTTTTTTAAAAAAAAACAAAATAAAAAAAGAGAAAAAAAAAATAAAAATAAAAATAAAATATTTAGACAAATATGTTATGGTAGTTATACATGCTAAACATCTCTCTTTCTTTTCTTTTAAAGAAAAAAAAAAAAAAGATTAATTAACAAAATCATTCATTAAAAGAACCCTTTATTCATATTAATACAAAATAGAAGCTAATAGAATATTTGAATTTTATTTAATCAGCAAGCGCAACATAAAATATTATCCCTTTTTTTTTTTTTTTTTTTTTTTTCTGCTAGCATTTTATAAATGTCAAAAATTGAACAGGATAAAGCCCGATTAAGAGAATGTTTATTAGAAGCACATCAACTAGTAGGCGAAAAAGTGGAAATTAAACAAGAAGGTTTAGAACCAAGATTTTTTATTAAAAAAAAATAGATCATCTAATTCTTGTAATGTGTAGGATCGATCGAAGACACACTGGTGACTCGACTTCAGAATCTAAATTTGACATTTAATGAAAAACAACCTAGAAGAGCATTTGTAGAGGAATGCTTAAGAGTATTATTAAAGACACAAAATGCACTATTAGATGTGTGTGCATCAGAAGGTAGAGTCTTTGAATTGATATGGATACCCTTTGTTTGCATAAATAGATTATTCATTTTTTTTTTAAACAGAAAATGAGAATGATAGGGATTATTTAGGTGTAAGAGATTATAGATTAATACACACATTATTACAAGTCATTATTTCATGGGGATTCTATCCTTGTTTCTTGCCTGGTGTAGGTGTGCCGTTATCAAAAAGAGTGAAATCAGGATATACAAATCATGGTATATTGGATAATGATAAGTTAGACACATTTTATTTAACTTGAAGCTATTCTTATTTAGAATTATTGGCAAAAGATGAAAAGGATCAAGAAGAGAACACGAAATCAATATCAATAGAATGTGTTCGTTCATTATTAAAGTTAGTAACACCACTAGTAGATTTAATTGCTCAAAGTGAAAAAGTACCGAAGAGTAAAGAATATACGACTGTAGCTTCTATACTTGTGAATCGTCATTTACCTGACCTTTATGCGGCTTTATTACAATTGGCTTATGCACCTGCTTCATCTTTTAAACAGACTACAACAATAGCAAATAGCAGTATAATGCCAATAACGCCTGGAAACATGATGATTCAAAAGGTAGTTAACGATCAAACATTAAAAAGAGAAGAAAGAGATAAATGTGCTCGTATGTTTGTATGGTTATTTGATCGATCTGATCTTTATCGTACCATGGAATCACTTATGTCTCTTTTGGGTGCTTCTTCTTCTTTACATCCAGTACCAAACTGGCTTCGTACTATATGTGGACGTTATTTGTCACGTATTTTATTGAAACCAAAAGGTGTATCCATTGTATTAGAATTTACAATTGGACAAGTTGAACAATGTACAGTATGAACTCTTTATTTTATTACTATTATTCACTTTTTTTTTTCTTTTTAGTGCAATTAACGCAATTAGAAAGTATTTCAAAATTAATCTTATCTGTACCTCAACAAATGGCAACGATCGAAAGTTATTACGCAGTTATTACTCCACAATTACTTGAATTACTTGAAAGAGAATCTGTTACATCACCTACATGTCAAGCAGTGACGTTTATTATTAGTCAAATTATTGCAAAACATGCAGGTCTTGCAAAGACTTATATTGTAGATAAAATCATTGGGCCCCTTTTAACTGCATGGAATAATGATACTACTACTACTACTACTACTACTACAGAGTCTAATAATATAGATCGTATCGTATTATCTGAAAATGAATTATCAAAGTTATTGAATACACTTCATCGAGTTCTAATTGGCGGAGAACCCTCTCCTGATATACTTCAAACCTTTTTAGCATCTTCTATACCTTGTCTCTATTATTTATATGAATTTACTGTAAAATCTAAATCAGGTTTAAGAGAAATGACTTTGGAACTTTTATCAACTTATTTTCGTATCACAACACAATCAGATGCTATTCGTGAATTAAAACATATTTTATTTGATAAAGTTGAATCAAGTAGTACACGAATTGCTTATTTTGCACCAGGTCCCACAGGTGGCGTTGTACTACGATTAAGAAAGTAAGTTTAATTTTTTAATTTTAATTTTATTTTATTTTTTTTGTTTAACCTTCCCCCCCCTCCCCTTAAAAAAAAAAAAAAAAAAAAAAAAAAAAAAAAAAAAAAAAAAAAAAAAGGGAGCCAAAGTTATTAGGAGCAAATGAGCTTCCAGTGGATGTAAATATATTGATGGAATTTTTACAAAAGATTGAAAATGAAGATTTATGTGGGGATTTCTTTATCTTCTTGTTAAATGAATATTCTTCTTTACAGTCAAGACGTATAGCAGATCCTAAAGTGTAATATGTATACATCTTTAGATATATGTATATAAAACTAATATGTATATAAATATATAGAATGTTATTAATTCTTCATTTAATTATGGGAATGTTGGATTCAATTGGACCTACCATTCTTGGAAAACCTGCACAGATTATATCTTTTGCAAATAATATTATTGAAGATCATTTAGAGCGTATGATAAAGCCAACAAAAGAAAAAAAAGAAAGTAAAACAGGTTTTCCTGATATTGCTAATATTGTAAATCAAGAAGAACTTGAAGATATACATGATGAGCAATTTTCAATCGAAGATGATTTTGAATCCTTAATTTTAGCTATTAATTTGCTAAGAGCTGTATTACATGGTAAAATCAAAATAATAATAATTCTTTATATATTGATACGAATTTTGCTTTATAGAAAATGAAGAGTTGGATAAACAATCAGTACAATTATTAAAATCCTCGGTAGAACCTTTAAAAAAGTTAGAAAAGTATGCTTTTGAGCCTGTAAATGAATTGTTATTAGCAATCACATCTTATTTATCCATACAAAAAATGGATGGGAATTCAAATAATGATAAGAAATCATCTTTAGAAGCATCTAAACAAAAATACCGCGAGGCCATGAAATCACTTCAAGATGACTTATTACCCATTCGAGCTCATGGTATGGGTATATTAAAAGAAATGGCTTTAGCCAAGGATCCACTTGTATCCTCAGGTGAAGGTCTAAATGAACTGTTGGATCTGTTTATTCGCTTAGTCCAAGATGAAGATAGCTATATTTATTTAAATGCTGTGAAGGGTCTATCAGCTATGACAGATGCTTATGGAAATGAAATTATTAAAAAGCTAGGTGATATCTACAAAGATAATCAACAAAAATTAGATAATCGTTTACGAATTGGTGAAGCCTTGTTACAAACAATACAAAGATGTGGTGATGCTTTAGGAAAATATGGTATGGTAAAAAGAAAAATCCATCTCTTAATGGGACTCACTCACTTTCTTTCTCTCTCCTTTTCTTATTGTTAAATAGTTCATACACTGATTGAACCATTAGAAACAGTTTTAGTAAGAAGACAAGAAGATAGTCATCTTCGAGTATCAGCTTTATCTATCCTTAGTATGGCCTGTCAAACATGTCCTGTTGCTCTGTCTTATCAAATGAGTGAATTGATAGATTGGGTTTTAAACATTCTAGAAATTGAAAAGAACGCAGAAGTGAGACGTGGTAAGTCACTTATTTGGATATAAATCATTATTATCTAATTAAAATCTTTATAATTAGCGGCTACGGTTTTGATTCTTTCCTTATTTAGAGGATTAGCTTCACAAACTTTATACGATTATCCAACAGAAAGCCTTAGACGAACGTATAGAACTTTAAGATATATTGAAGAGACAGATACTGATGAATTAACTCGATATCAAGCGAGAGTTGCTTTAAGTGATTTAGATGCAATTATGCGTAGTGAGATATTTAAAAACCAATCAAGTCATAATGTCAAATATAAATAAGACTTTATTTTGTTTTGTTTTTTATCATGTATGTATATATAAAAGGACAGTATATAAATAATAAGCTTATAATATGTATATACATATATGCGTGTATATGTGTATGACATGATGTTTTATACAGATTCAGTATATTATACATGCTTGCTTGTTTGCCTTTTTTTTTTCTTTCTTTTTTTTTTTAATGGTATATAATGAGTGGATTTGTTGAGTACGTATACAATGTAATAATAATAATAATTATAATAAATGTCATAAATGTTTCGACACTATTGTTCTATATCAGATAAGAATTCTCGTACATAATGTGATGACCAACAAGAGAATGTTAATAATGCATAATTATCGTAAATAGTGTCGCCTTCGTTGTCGTTCAAATTTTTCTTTAAATTTAAAGATGACCACTGAGAAGGATGTACACCGCTTCTAGGACAATCGCTCTATATAGAATAAATGTGAATGATTTATTATGTGCACTATTTATGATGAACATACACTGTGTCCTGGCATCCATTGACCACACAACTCGCAAGTAGCAGGGCAATTATTGAATAAAGGAAGCATAATATATAAAAAATAATAATAATAATAAAAAGGGGGGGGGTAAGAGAGGGGGAATGCTACGGATTTTTATAAGAAAAAAAAAAGGTGTGTGTATATGTATGTATGTATGTGTATATGTCTTTTTTTTTTTTTTTTTTTTTTTTTTTTCCTCCTTGTGTGTGTGGGGGGAAGGGAGAAGGGGAAAGGAAGCAATCATAGTACATTTAACTGTCCTTTACCATATTTATATTTTACAAGATAAATCTACATATTCAGATTTTCACTATACCTTTTTTTTTTTTTGTTTTATAAACCAAATTTTATATTCTATATTTGAAATGATTTCGAATATCCTGATTTGTTATACTTGCACGTTTAATATTAATAGCCTGCATATTATTTATAAAGATGTGCTATAATAACTTGCGTGATTGAATCGACATTCAAAAATATATATTTATAAAGATATATTTATTTTTCATAGTTACTCTTTCAATATCCTTTTTTAAATAGAATGCAAGATCTTCAATATGAATAGTTTAAATGGTTCCTGTATCTGTTCATTCATGTTTTTTTTGAAATAATAAAATACTAAAACCTATACAATTACTGCAAGGCATATTAGTAAGATTTATTTCAGTCAAGAAACTTTGGACCCTCTTTCAATTCACTCAACTAAAATGTATGTATATATTTTCGTGTATTTACAGATATTTATTTATAAAATCAAAATCAAAACTCTTTGCATTGAATTTCTTATTTTTTTTTTCATCCTATCATTCTTTATATATATACATGTATATAAATATATATAAAAGGTACATAAACTATAATCTTTATTTATGATCTATAACCATTGCATTATTTTTAGTGATTGATGAGCATTTTCTTAGTTTATTCTTATGTAGTCTAAACCTTGTATGTAAATACTTAATGCATTTATGATATCATAATAGAAAAATACTCTTTACAAGCATTCTGCTTTCCTTTTTTTTTTTTCTTATTGTTAATCAATAAAGTATGCACTATTTAGTTTATTTGTTAGTAAAAATGAGAATAAATAGACCGAATACTAAGCTTTTTGTGTATTCTTGAAATCTATGTTGCAACAATCTATATTTAAAATATAACTCACTTTTTTTTTCTCTCGCTAGGGGTCTCATCTAGCAGTGATTTTTTTTTCTTAATAGTATTAGTTTAATTCGATAAAATTAATATTCATAAACGTACAGAGATTATCACTATTTTATGAAATTATCAAAGTTAATTTTGGTTCACATGTTGAGACAATAAAGAAAGGTTGTTTAGAATATAATAAACTTGACTGCTTGTAGTGGAACACACACCTGTTTTTTATTATTATTATTATTTTTCATGTCACCACCACTTATAACGGCAACCTTGATATTTATTTTATCTTATCATCATGATCATCAATCGCTTGCTACAAACAGATTAAAGTTTGACATTAGGACTATTGTAGCATAAAAAGAAGTCTAAATAATGTTCATCATATAATCATTTAATATACTCTTAATAATAGATATAACTAGATTAAGTTCAGAATAAATCTTCTTTTATAAGCTAAGACTGTATTATATTCTTAATACCTCTATAGTTTTTTTTTCTTTCTTTTCTCTGATACATAAAATTGATATAATAACATACTATTTTCTCTTTATATAATATTGATAAAAAAAAATTATATTGATAGCTATCTTATATTCTCCTTTACAAGTAACTTTAATAGAATTATAAATAAATAGATTCTTAACAAAGGACAATGCTTATTTTTCTTTCCCCCCCTCTTTCGTATTCCCTTAATTTTATTAAAAGAAAAAGATGTGTTATGGACGCGATGTTAACAATTCAGTAATACCGGAGAGGGTATTCTATCGTATTATTTGACTTGAAAAAAAAAAAAAGAGTCCAATATTATTTAAATATGTTTGTATATTTAAAGGGGATTAACAGCGTTTATGGTTTCAAATAGGGATAGTAGCATACTAAAGGTATTATTATACCTTATTAAAAAATATATATTTATATTATTTGTACAACAACAGAATCGGTAATATGTGAATGATCATGCCTTGTGTTTATACTCTCCATATTATTCAAATAAATAGTACAAAAAAAAAGTAATCTATTATGCAGTATAAATCTTATATTACTCTTTATGGTAGCACACATTGTTTATATAATTCTTCAAACGATGATTGTATCTCTATTATATAGAAACAGTTTCATGCTTTATTTTTTGTTTTTACCCCTGATGGTTCTTAATAAAGATGTCTTGAAAGGCCTTCAAAGGCAAGAGCACCATTTTCATCCAGAGGATTTATTTAGTTATTATTGATTTTCTTGTCATATTTTCACCATTAAGAACACCTTTGCTTGTTGAAAAGGCCACAGATACTTGCAGACTTATAACACCTTTTTAGTTATATACATACAAATATATATATATATATATTTATATTTATATTATTTTGTATAAGCTATGTCTTTCACATATAAATAACATAAACATCAGTTCACAACAATATACTATATAGTGTGTATAAGTTGTATTTTAGAGACAATAGTTTCTATTGAAAATAGTTATTGGAACGTTAAAGGAATGAAGGTAGTTTCACTACTAGAGTATTTTCTAAGAGTTCACAAAAAAAAAAGTTGGGCGCGTAGTATTCATAAGTTATGTATGCATTGTCGGTAACTTTACACAACTCTAAAAAAAAAAAAAAAAAAAAAAAAAAAAAAAATGATGTTTTAATCTAAACTAAAATAATGAATTACACGTAGTGAAATGAGATATTTTATAATTCACAGGTTCATTTAATATTCTAGCATTATTTATTATTAAATCTAACTCCAACAACAAATAAGAGTTGTTTGAAAGTTGAGTCGAGGATACCAAAAGCATCAATATAAATTAATTAATTTCAATTCTGTACCTGAAATCCGAGTATCCAGAACAGAATAATCATCATTATCGTAGTGATAAAAGCTATTCCCATCATAGATTACAAGTAATGCCACAAAAAGAAAAAAAAAATTTTTTAAACTAATTAAATTGTTCTAAAGAAAGGAATGTCGATTCCTAAAAGCTAGAAGCTAGTGATGATTCCACACATATATCGTTTGGTATGCTCAATACTGGGTAATGGTACTATTTCTTCTGACTGTGTAACGAAAGCAAATAAGAGTAGCACATGGCAAAATACTTTTCTCGTACATGTCATTTTATTATATAAATACTTGGACAATAACTCCTCTTCAACACTTGGGATCAGCAAAAGGGAACAAAAAAAAATTTTTTTTTCTTACTAAATTCACTTTATAGATCTTATAGTGTTCTCTTATATTTGCAAAAAAGTTAAACTTAAGATCCAAGTAATGTGAGTTTATGTCTGTTTAAGGATAGTAATAAAAAAAAAAAAGTCAATAAAATCAGACCAGAATTACATCAATAGATGATGGCAAATAAACTATACGAACCCAAGAGGAAGAGTTAGCCTAAGGAAACTAATAAAAGAACTACTTTATATTACTCTATAATATTGATAGAATTTATTATCATTATCTTAGACAAGTGAAACAGAAAGAAGCTTTTTTTTATTATAGAAAATAATTCCTGGTCTAAATCCATTGTTATAAATACTATTCATATAAATGTAAGCTCTCCTATTCTTCTTTTTTAAGTTAATCTAAAGATAATATGAGACAAATTCCAAACAAAAAGGAAATGAATAAATGCTTTATAGTATTGTCGAGTAGCATGCCAACATCATATTACTGTAAAAGAGTGCTTTAATTGAATAAAAAAAAATGTAGGCAAAAAAAAAAAAAAATATTTATTATCTAATGTATAACTTCCATACTAGCTAAATAAATATACATGTTGCTTAGGTTTAATTATTATTTAGTTGAAGATAACTAACTGTGCATGAAATGATATAAATATGTATATTCGTATGAAAACAAAATGAAGGTACGCGAATTTAGTGTGCTAGTTATATATTTATTTATTTATTTCTTAGTGTATGTTAATTTCCAATTTTGGTAACTGAAGTGAATAGCAATTCTTCTTTCAGATGTAACATGAAGCGTTGATTGAAATTAGATTTCTACATGTTTATAAACTTTTTTTTTCTAATCAGATCAAATCTTTTTTATTTATTTTCTTTTATTTTCTACTCATAAATAAATATGCCGGCTGAATGGATTTATGCTAATGGTTCTTCTTGGGTTTCCTTTGATCCCACATGTCAAACTATGATTGAATCGTTATGGACTAGAGGAGGACTTTCTAACTGGATTAATTGTCAATCTTTTGAAGGCCCAATCTTTATTGACACCACAGATATGATTATCTTGTATAATTCTTTTATGTATACTATTGTAAGAAGATTTTATTAACATGGCCGGAACCACATATATTATTTTTTATTAGTTCGCATATGCATTTATAGTTCAATTGATACCACATTTATTTTGGTTTTCTTTATTTTATTTTATTTTATTTTTTTTATTCATAATAAAATAAACACACTTGTATAAATAAATTCCTTCAAATTTCCATTTCTGACTGAATATAGACTATAGATCAAAGAAGTTTAATTTTCAAGTATAATAAATACACGAGATATTATATGCTATGAAAAATAATATATACATTTAAAATAGATGACACATCACTGCTTTCTCTCTGATAAATTATAATTCGAATCTTTTGTTATCATTTTAGCCTTCTATTATTTTAGTATATTCAAAATTGTCATATTTCATTATATCTTTAGCTTGTGAAACCTAATACGGTTGTAACCAATGCATTATTATTCTATCATTACTCAGCTTATGATTACGGTATTTTCGGATGAAAGTGTGACAAGTCAAACAATAAGAAGAAGCTAAAATATATATATATATATTTTGATGAAATAAACCCGCTTCTTATATATTTATTTGTCCCTGCATTTGCTGAAATGTTTACTATTTCTTATCTAGCGTACTGCTTACTTTGGAAGCTAAAAGTGCTTGATCCATTAACGTACATTATCTCTTTTAAAATGAAGCATAATGTAGATAATAATATTCAACATATAATGTCAAATTGGGTCGTTTTTGCTTTTGGCATATTTAAGAAAATATTTTCACGTCTTTTTATGCTATTCCATTCTCTTTCCCTATTTTCCTTCATGAAGTTTAAAAATAAAGTACTTTAAACACAGTGATATTTATACAAACATGTTGAAGTTTAGAACCTATTCTTGATTTACCACGAATAAATCTCTCTCTCTCCTCATCACTAATCCCTTTTCTTTGTTTCATTAAAATTTATTGGCCTTCCCTAAAAATTAAAACGCAGACAACAAATGCGCGTTCTTTCGTGTTATAATAGGCGTCGTTTAACAATTTTTTATTTGGTTTTAAATTATACATATTTCAGATTATTCTTTTCTCCTTATTTAAGATAAAATAAAGAATGAGTTCAGATTCAGATCAAGATTTTAAAGATGATGAATCTGAGGATAATTTCCAAATAGATTCAGGAGATGAGTCTGATGATTTTGTTCCTATCTCAAAGGTTTATTATTACTATTTTTTTTTTTTTTTTTTTTTTGTAAGAAAAAATTATTATATTAATTTCCTTATATATGTTTGTGTAGAGACGTAAGACGACAAAGACAGCCATAGCCAAAGAAACAAAGACTACAGAGAAAAAGACACCTATCAAACGTACAACTGTCAAAAAGGCAGTACCAACTAAAAAAACTGCCAAAAATCCTTCGACTTCAAGTAGTAGTAGTAGTAATAGTCTTGATAATTTCTTTTCAAAGGAAACACCTGCTTCAACCGCAACTACGACGCCTATCATTAGTGATGTAGAAATGACAGATGCTCCAGCTTTAGCTAAAAAAGCACACATTCCTAAATACAATGAAAACAAGACAATTGAAGAAATTTACCAAAAGAAGACTCAGTTAGAACATATTCTACTTCGTCCTGATACTTATATTGGATCTATTGAAGCTGAAGAGCAAGAAATTTGGGTCTTTGATAGTGAAGAAGATATGATCAAAAAGAAGAAAATCAAATATGTTCCTGGGTTATATAAAATTGTTGATGAAATTTTAGTCAACGCTGCTGACAACAAGGTAAGTAACAAACAACTTTTATTGGTATAGGTTATCACTTACCAAAAAAAAAAAAAAAAAAAAAAAAAAAAAAATGTAGATTCGTGATCCTTCAATGAACACAATCAAAGTCGTTATTGATCGAGCAGAAAATTTCATTTCAATTCATAATAACGGTCGTGGTATTCCTATCACTGAACATAAAGATGAAAAATGTTATGTTCCTGAATTAATTTTTGGTCATCTCTTAACTTCTTCTAACTATGATGATAACGAAAAAAAGGTAACAGGTGGTCGTAATGGTTATGGTGCCAAACTTTGTAATATCTTTAGTACTGAATTTATTGTTGAAACTGCGGACAAAGAACGTCAATTGAAGTATAGACAGGTATTCAAGGACAACATGAGTGTAATTGGGAAACCCAAGATTACTTCTAATTCAAAAGGTGAAGAATTCACTCGAATTTCTTTTAAACCTGATCTTGCTAAATTCGGAATGACGGAGATGGACGAAGACTTTGAAGCTCTCATTAAGAAACGTGTATATGATTTAGCTGGTTGTGTTTCTGGAGTTAATGTTTACTTGAACGGCACCAAGATTCCAGTCAAAGGATTTAGCAAATATTGTGATTTATATACTAAATCAATGGAGATTCGTAATGCTGAAGGAAAGAAACCCATCATTAGTGATGGTGGAGATAATCCCCGTTGGGAAGTTCATTTTGCAGTTAGTGATGGACAATTCAATCAGGTAATGTATAAATAGTTATGAATATTTATTGGAATATATATATATATATGTATCTAATGGACATATATACAGATTAGTTTTGTTAATAGCATTTGTACTACTAAAGGCGGTACACATGTAAACTACATTGCTGATCAAATCGTAAAAGCCATCTTACCTGACGTTCAAAAAAAGACAAATAATAAGAATATTCGACCTTTCCAAATCAAGAATCATATGACACTTTTTATTAACTGTTTGATAGAGAACCCATCGTTTGATTCCCAAACTAAAGAAAATATGACATTACGTGCTAGTAGCTTTGGTTCAACTTACAAATTATCTGATAAATTTATCAAGGCTATTTTAACATCAGGGATGATTGATAATATTATCAGATGGGTCAAGTTTAAGGAAGAGGAGCAGATGACAAAGGCGGATACAGGAAAAATGAATCGTCGTTTAAAGATTCCCAAGCTGGAGGATGCTAATTTGGCTGGTGTAAGACCTCATAACAAAGATTGTACTTTAATCTTAACTGAGGGTGATTCAGCTAAAGCTCTTGTCCTTAGTGGCCTCTCTGTCGTTGGTCGTGATAAATTTGGTGTATTCCCTCTTCGTGGTAAACTTTTGAACGTGCGTGATGCCTCTAATTCACAAATCTTGAGCAACGCGGAAATTACAAATATTAAGGCTATTCTTGGTTTGAAGCACAACAAGACTTATACTAGCGTAGATGAGCTTCGTTATGGCAGACTCATGTTGATGACTGATCAAGATCACGATGGTTCTCATATTAAGGGTTTGTTAATTAATTTTATTGATACCATGTTCCCATCTTTACTGGATATTCCTGGCTTCTTGCTTGAATTTATTACTCCAATTATTCGTTGTAAGCACAAGAGAAGAAATGAAGAGATTAGTTTCTTTACAATTCCCGAATATGAAAAATGGGCTCAAGAGAATAATCGTAATAGTGAATGGGTGCCCAAGTATTTTAAGGGTTTAGGTACCTCTGACAAATCGGATGCTCGTAAATATTTTAGTGCATTACAAATCCATGAAAAGGAGTTTCATACTGCTTCTAAAGAGGAACGTGAACTGATAGATATGGCATTCAATAAGAAAAGAGCACTTGATCGCAAGAATTGGTTGGCTGGATATGAACCAGGCATCTATATTGATCATAATGTCAATAAGATCCGAATTGGTGACTTTGTGAACCGTGAATTGATGCTCTTTAGTATGGCAGACAATATCCGTTCCATTCCTTGTGTTGTCGATGGTTTCAAACCCGGTCAACGTAAAGTATTCTTTGGTTGTATTAAACGTGGAAGGAATACAGAAATTAAAGTTGCTCAGTTGGCTAACTATGTTGCGGGTATCACACAATATCATCATGGTGAAGCAAGTGTAGCTGCTACGATTATCAATATGGCTCAGGATTTTGTAGGTAGTAATAATATTAACTTGCTTGTACCTGCTGGTCAGTTTGGTACACGTCATGAGGGTGGTAAATCTGCAGCAAGTCCTCGTTATCTTTTCACTCGATTGACAAAGATTGCACGTTTAATCTATCATCCAGATGATGATGAACTCTTGGATTATTTAATTGAAGAAGATAAGCCGATTGAACCCAAATGGTATGTTCCTATTTTGCCTATGGTTCTTATCAATGGTGCAGATGGTATTGGTACTGGTTGGAGTACAACAATTCCTAATTACAATCCTAAGGATATTACTGAAAATATCTTTCGTTTAATGAATGATGAAGAAATTATTCCCATGGTTCCTTGGTTTAGAGGTTTCAAGGGTGAAATTTCTTCTGCTGGTACTGGTAAATTCACATGTAATGGTATTGCTGAAGTTACAGAGACAGGACATGTAAAAATTACTGAATTGCCTGTTCGCTTATGGACTGATAGTTTTAAAGATAATTTGGAAGTTATGCGTGATCCAAAGGATAAGAAGCCTGAAATTCTTATTAATGTGAGTCTTTTTTTTTTCTCCTTTAACTATAGATGGTTAATCCATTATTTCTCTCTCTCCCTCTCTCTCTTTTTTAGGACTTTTTTAATAATTCTACTGATTCTGCTGTAGAATTCACAGTCGAGTTGGATGAAAAGAATTTAACAAAAGCAGAGGATATGGGCTTACTTAAGGCATTCAAGATTACAAATAGCATTTCCACAAATAATATTGTTTGTTTTGATAAGAATGGTAAAATTAAAAAATATGAGTCTCCAGAGGAAATTTTGAAAGACTTTTATGAATTGCGTTTGGAATATTATGTTAAGAGAAAGGTGAGGAAAAGATTAATTTTTTTTTGTAATATATAGAATGAATCCAATTCATTTCATATATTATTTAGGAATATTTAATCGAAGCTCTTAAAGATGAATATGAGCGTCTTGATAACAAAGCAAAATTTATTGATCTTGTTATTAACAAAAAATTAGTTTATATTAATCGTAAAGAAGAAGATGTGATCGCTGATATGAAAAATTATGGATTAAAACAAATTTATCCTCGTAAGAAGAAGAATGCATTAATTGTAGATGAAAGTGCTGAAACACAACAGAAGAATGAAAATGAAACTGGTTATGAATATCTATTCTCTATCAATGTACGTGGTTTTACTGCACAAAAAGTGATAGAATTACGTAAACAAAAGGATGATAAATACAATGAACTTCAAGAAGTTCAGGGCACACCACCCAAGACTTTCTGGCGTCGTGATCTTGAAGCACTTATGGAAGAATGGGAGGCACTCTTAAAGGAAGATGAACTATTAGCTAAACAAGCTAAACCTCTTGCTACTGCTAATACAAAGAAGAGAAGAAGAGTAGCGAAACCCAAAGCAGTCAAAACTGAATCTAAAGATTAATCATAAAATTACGTGTAATTTCCGGTTTCTTAAAAATACTCTATTATTAGTATGTATTGTATGTTTAAAATAAAGCAATTTCATGCGCATATAATCCTATACTTTTTATTTTATTTTATTTTTTCTTTCTTTTGTTATTGATATTTATAATATATTACGTAATATCAATTTCTTTATTAAAGGGTTTATCCTTATTAGTTTCAAACAATAATCTTAAATTAAATAGAAATATTTGTAAAATTATTAAATGAGGAACACTCTTTTTTTTTGCGACATCATTTTGGCAAAAGGTGTATAGTAAGAAAGTCGAAGAATGTCAACTAAATTTCAAAGGGCGTTAAAAATATGAATAATAAAATTTCATTTCCAAAAAGAAATAAAATAAAAGGTTAAATAATTCTCCTTTTTTTTTTTTTTTTTTTTTTTTTTTTTTTTTTTAATCATTCTATAAAAATATATGACTGTCGTTTATAAGCTTTTCTTTTTTTCGTAAGATTAGATTTATAGATAAATTGAGACATTAATTTAAAGTTTTGACTTTAGTATTTAATAATAATATACATTATAATAAAGTAGTAGCTTTTATTTATTATTGCTATTTATATGTATTATATACATATATAAAAAAAAAGGGTCTAGGTATAATAGATATATACAAATTATATGTACAAAGAGAGAAAGATATTATTATTATATGTACACATTGTGATATAAAAAAGTATATAATTATACAGAATTGTCTAAAATTTAGTTGATACTACTCTTGGTATAGATGATGTAATGTTGGAGCTTGATCTGCTACTAGTAGCGTTATCCTTCTTCTTAATAGAGAAATTACTTAAGAAATGCTTGAATTTGGCACCTAGTAAATGATGATATTTGTGGCTAATTTGTGATGATGACTGGGAAGAAGATAAAGTTATGTCAGCAGTCGTATCATCTGTAGTAGTAGGCGTGGTTTTTTCAATAATAGGAGGATGATGATGATATTCTTTTCGTGGAATTGTAATTGGTTCTACAGTTGCATTTGTTACTATGGTAGTATCTTGTTTATTTGATATTATAGAAGGATCAGATAAAGTTACTGAAGAAGAATAAAACGATTCACTAGTTGAATAACTGTTATTATCCAATTCTTCAAAAATAGGCTGTGTTAGATCGATATCGAAACGTTCAATAAATTTTGATGTATACGACATTGTGGGTAATAAAATAAAACGAAATAAAGATTTAGTTTAAAGAAGAGAAGCCATTATATATATTTATAAAGATAAATATTTTTTTTTTTTTTTAATCGTTACATGTTTTTTAACCAATGTAATTTTTGATTTATAAATAATATGCAAAAATTTAAACTCAAGCATGATTTTTTTTTTTTTTTTTTTTTTTTTTTTACTTTTTTTAATCTACCAAACCTTTCTTGTGTTTGCTTGAAAAAAATAAACAAGGATAGAACTGTGTTATTTAGATTTAACTATACAAGTCATTTTATACATGTATTTATAGTTTAGTTATTCATAAAAATAAAGAGTCGTCTCTTTTTTCTTGTATTTTGTATTCATATTTCTAGAAAAAAGATTTGGGACTTTATTTCCAAATATAGTATTTGATTGTCTTTTGTTTAATCTGACATTTCTATGGAAATAAATTAACCAATCCAGGATTATTGTTACTATTACATCATCGTAACAGCCAAGTAGTGTGTTATGTTTTTGAATAATAATGATAATAATAATAATACATATTATAAATGCATGATTTACTTTACATTAATTAATAATAGTACTTTATAAAATGTGACTTGTTACATATCTTATTTCCTTTCTTACTATTGTCTTTTTTTTTTTTTTTTTTTTTTTTTTTTTTTGTCCTCCTGCTTTATTGGATTAAACATATGCAATAAAATGAATTGATAAATTTAACTTCCTGTCCAATGATTATAAGCCTTTTTTTTTTTTGGCAGCTCTTTTGCTGCTCGTAGTAATAGTAGTCGTCTTCTTTTTTCTCCAATCATAAAATAAATAAAGTAAAAATGAAGTAAAGTTATAATTATGCCTTCTTTTCTCTCTCTCTCCCTCTCTCTCTCTTTTTATTCATTTAACACACGTTATTCGTTCAACAATAAAAATGAAATATATATATTTAGGATGAAACACATCCTAATCAAACTTGGCCTGTAGCAGCATAGTTATTATAGATCTTCTTCCCTCCCCCCTGAACTATTTTAATTTTAATTTTACAACAGTTTCATAAATAAGTTTAATAAAATGGCAGCAACAACACATTGTCATTATTAACAAATAACCCGCTGCTATATTATAAATAGAACCGTATATCTATCTTTCTCTCTCACACACTCTTAAAAAAAAATAGATCTGATTATATATTGCATCAGAATTATAAGCAAATCAATGAATTATTTAGCTCATAGATTGGAGCTTATAACTGGGCTTTTTTTTTTCTTTTCTTTTTTTTCTTCCAACTATATAATTAATTTGAATTATCATGTTTATTTTTATATAAAAGTGCTGGTCTACATGTAAATAGAAATCTTTTTAAATAATCTACAAAATGAAAAATAATATGTATAATATAAAAAACAAGAGTTAAGATTTTAAGGAAATAGGGAAGAGGTTGGGGTAGAAAGGAAAATAAAAGTTGGGAGGGGGATATTTGTTAAATTTATTGAGGATTGGCGTTGTTATTATCGGAAGTGGCACCAGCATCATTTTGAGCAGCACGATTCTTATAAACCATTTCGAAGAGCTTCAAGGAGCTAGATTGAAGATCATCAATCTTGGCCTTAAGTTCTTCAGGGTTAATGCTGGAATCTCCGGATTGAGCCTTCAATGTTTCGTCACGAAGAGCAGTGATCTTTTCCTTAAGTTTATCAGCTTCAGTCTTATCAAGTTGTTCCTTGAAATCATCCATAGCCTTTTCAGTTTCACTCATAACGGAATCAGCACGATTGGCCATTTCAATTGTTTCACGACGAGCACGATCGGCTTCAGCATTAGCTTCAGCTTGTTGAATCATGTTTTCAATTTCATCATTGCTCAAACCAGAAGAGGCAGCAATTGTCACTATTATTATTGTTATTATATAAATGAATAGATTAGTATATGACGCTCATTCATGGACACAAAACAATAGTCATTTCAAATGATATATTAATACTTACAGGATTGATCACGACCTGTAGCTTTATCCTTAGCACTAACATTAACAATACCATCGGCATCAATATCAAATTCAACTTGAATTTGAGGAACACCCTTAGGAGCAGGAGGAATACCAGTCAAGTTAAAGTCACCTAAAAGCTTGTTATCGCGACAAAGTTCACGTTCACCTTGGAAGACACGAACAGAGACTTGTGTTTGACCATCAGCGGCAGTAGAGAAAACTTGGGCTTTCTTGGTAGGAATAGTGGTGTTACGGTTGATGAGACGAGTGAAGACACCACCAAGGGTTTCAATACCCAAGGAAAGAGGGGTGACATCAAGTAAAAGAATATCAGTAACGGAACCAGCCAAGACACCACCTTGAATAGCAGCACCAATAGCAACAGCTTCATCAGGGTTAACAGACTTGGAGGGTTCTTTACCAAAGACACTCTTGACAGTTTCAATAACCTTAGGCATACGAGACATACCACCCACTAAAATAACATCATGAACATCCTTGTTAGCAATACCGGCATCCTTCATAGCCTTTTCACAAGGAGAAATAGTACGGTGAATGAGGTTTCCAACAAGTGATTCGTATTTAGCACGAGTCAACTTGGAGTTAATGTGCTTAGGACCAGTGGCATCAGCAGTAATATAAGGCAAGTTAATATCAGTTTGAACAGTAGAAGAAAGTTCGATCTTAGCCTTTTCACAAGCTTCACGGATACGTTGGATAGCCATACGATCACCTGAAAGGTCAATACCTGACTCATCCTTAAATTCCTTTACAACATAACGGACAAGCTCAGAATCGAAATCTTCACCACCAAGAGCGGTATCACCATTAGTAGACTTGACTTCGAAAACACCATTTTGGATTTCCAAGATAGAAATATCGAAGGTACCACCACCTAAATCATAAACAGCAATAGTAGAATCACCGGACTTATCAAGACCATAAGCCAAAGCGGCAGCGGTAGGTTCGTTAATGACACGCATCACATCAAGACCAGCAATCTTACCAGCATCCTTGGTAGCTTGACGTTGTGCATCGTTGAAATAAGCAGGAACAGTAATGACAGCATGCTTCACCTTCTTGCCAAGATAGCCTTCAGCAGTTTCCTTCATCTTACCCAATACAAAGGCACCAATTTGGGAAGGAGAATATTTTTTACCATTGGCTTCAACCCAGGCATCACCATTGGAATGAGGGACAATTTTGTAAGAAACAGCGGGAATATCAGCTTGAACAGCAGGGTCTTTGAATTGACGACCGATCAAACGCTTGGTAGCATAGACAGTGTTTTGTGAGTTAACAACGGCCTATAAAATTATTCGAAATAAATGTCAGAAAAATAAAATGAAATAAAAAAAAAAAAATTGAGTCATAAAAAAAAAAAGTTCTGGAAATGACCAAGAGGAAAAGACATTTTTCTTTTTTGTCTTTTGAAATAAATAAGAACGTCAATGCGTATTGCATTTTGTTCTATATTCCTCTGTCATTTCTCTTAACTATTATGCCTTATACATCCTCCAATATACACACATGATCATGCTGGTATGTATAGATGTACTATACAAAAAATAAAATAAAAATAAAATAAAGTATAATATTTACCTGACGTTTGGCAGCTTGACCAACCAACAATTCACCGTCCTTAGTGAATGCAACAATAGAAGGAGTGGTACGAGCACCTTCAGAATTTTCAATGACTCTGGGATTCTTGCCTTCCATAATAGATACACAAGAGTTAGTGGTACCCAAATCAATACCAATAACAGGGCCATTGACACCCTGGCTATAAGCACGAGAAGCAGTGGAAAGAACACCAACCTAGTAATGATTATTAATAAGTAACGAGTTTTTTTTTATCAGCATTAAACTGTAGTTTCGAGATTTTTTTTTAAAAAAAAAACTACTTACGTTACGTGTCAATGTAGGGAAAAGGCGTTGATGGGCGACCTTTGACAAGTGGTACATGTTATGAAAAAATTGGAATGAAAAAAAAAAGTGGGGAAAAAAGAAGAGAAAAAAAGAGAATAAGAAAAAAGGACAAAGCTTTTTATATGCCAGGTACCTTTGCAAAAAAAATCTTTGCCGGGGTTAACTTGGACAAAAAAATGAGTCTAAATTTTCCTTCTAATTTTTTCGATTTTTGATTACAGGTTATTTCTCCTCATTAAATCTTAACTAACAGTTGATAGAAAATGCTAGTAAAATGCATATTGTAGCACAAATAAGTGCCTTTTTTTTATTTTATTTTTTTTTTATTTATTTTCTGCATTTATTACTTGCAATAAAAAAAAGACTTTGACATAAATTTTATTGCGCAGTATAAAGGCCGTAGTTTTAAATTTATCTTCAAGGATAAACATTATAGGTTATGATGCTTTTTTTTTCTATTTTTTTTAACCAATCATTTATTACTTACATAAACGAACAGATTTCAAAATTTAATGGAGTAGATGCATACAAAAAAAAAAGGAAAAAAGTGATCTTTTCCAAAGCGAACTTCCTTCACTTCTTCTCCTTTCTTTCTTTTTCTTCTTATCTATTAATCATGTTTATTTACTTTTAAATGAAAAGTCATAATTGTTAAGCAAAAAATCAGGGTATATATTTTCTTGTTTATATACTTGAGCTAATTTCATGAATCAGAAGCAAGAATTTGTTCAACTGTTCTCAATTTTGCGCGTAATTTCTTAAGTTCTTCCTCTCTTTCTGTAATATTCTTTTTCATTCTCTTTGCTGTTTCTATAAGAGGCTCTTTCCAGTCATCACTAAGTATACATACGATTAATAAGAATGTACGAATAGGAAAAAAAAAAGAAAAGAAAAGAATTCAATACTCACTTTTCAATAAGCGTTTCATCATTAATAGGTTGCTCATCATTTATAAGATTAGATATAGCTTGTACTGTTTTATTCATAGGGGCATTTGAAGTAAATTTATGTACTATTGGCTGCTGTTGGTTTTGAGTAGTATTCACTTTAAGAGCCGGTAAAAGGTTATGATTAGCTTCACCATTTGGCGTTTGTTTATTAATAGTATTAGCTTGTATTATTGTTGGAGACTATTTTCCCCTCCAAAATAAAAAGAAAACAATTATAAATAAAAGAATAAATAATGTCATTTTTTTATTATTATTACTTCTTTATTCTCGTGAGTTTTTAAATGACGTTTGTAATTATACTGTTTGTCAAATTGCTTTTTACATTCCTTGTATTCACATGTAAACATTGTTTTCTCTTTTATCTTTGCACGCCAAACCACATTATTTTCATATCTTCGACGCTTGTACAGCTGTTCAGATTTGGCCTCTTCAGACATTTATATAGTTAATTGTATAAGTGAAAGGTCAAATTCCTGAACATCTCAGGTTGTTTTTCTTTAGGTGGTGCAAATAAGACACAATATAAACTAAATTTCAAGGAGGGCGCATTTAGGAAAATTAGTCTAGAAAAAAAAAAGTGCTATCCAATAACCTTTGTGGGCAATAAGAAATATGTGGAGAGCCAATAGTTACTAATTAAAGAAAGGTACAACAACACTATATCTCTTCTACAGGTGTTTAACCTACTAAAATAAGAAAAAAAAACAAGGTTAATAAAAGAGTATGTAATGCAATAACCTTAATTAAAAAGAAGAAGAGAGAGAGGAATAACGTGATTTTTTTTTTTTTGACAGAATCAAGTCTATGCTTACATCATATTATGTTAATTGTCATAAAACGTAATATTATAAATAGTTCCTTTTTTTTTTTCACTTATTCTATAAAAATTTATTACATAATCTATTCATACAATGCTTCCTTGGCATGAATAAGGTTAACTATAGCTTGATTAGATTTAACACTAATGTTCTTTTTATATCCCATTTTACAAATATATCCATTAATATAATCGATTTCTGTAAGACGATTTGCTTTAATATCTTGAAGGGTAGAGCATATGTTTTCACCTGCTTCTTTGTTGATAGCTAATACCATATTCATTAAAGTGTTTACTGATTCACCGGGCAAATCGTCTTTGAAAACATCATAAGCTTCTTCACAAATAGCTCTCATCATTGCAATACCGCCTGGATTACCATTTTTAATAGTGCCTATATTCTTGGACATTAGCAAAGATGCCACAGGATTAATGCAGGCATTAACTATTAATTTCTTATACATCTTGACACGAATTTCTTCCCAAGATAATTGTGCAGCTTGTAATTCAGGCGTCTCAATGATTTTTTGTAATAATTTAGATTCTTGAATTGTTACTGAAGAATGATCTTTAGTTGGAAATTGACCAATACGTAATGCGTCGGGATCCTGATATCCTGAGTGATGACATATATCATAAGAGGCTATACGTTCAACTGCATGACGATTGACGCCTATTAATATTGTAGGAGGTGCTTTATTTGGCCATAAATTGTCAACTAATTCCTCAGCAACACCCATACCATTTTGCAGCAATAGAATAGTGCTCTGTGAAGAGAGACGTGGTATGACTTGTTTTATAGCATTTAAAGTATGATTAGCCTTAGTAGAAACGATAAGAGACTCAATAGGAGGCTTATTAGCATTTTCACCTACGACATCAGCATCGAAACCAGCAATGACATTAGCTTTTCCTTGACAACGATAAGTGATGCTATTTTGTTTATTTTTAAAGTCCTCAAAATGGGACTGTGAACGAAGAAGAAGAGTTACCTTATTCTGATGTGATTTAAGAACAGCACCAATATGACAACCAATGGCACCAGTTCCTAAAATATGAATATTAACCATGAGAGAGGAAGTAAAAGTAAAAGTAAAAATAAAAATAGAAATAAAGGATTCACTTTTAAATATTTTTAATCGTATTTATTTCTCGGAGATTTCGTAAGTTTTATTGAAGACAAACCGACACATCCTATCTATCTATGGCTAAACATGTTACACTTAACAGTGATCTATTTACTGTTATTGTTGCTTTTTTTTAACTATAATAAAAATGTTATATATAAGATAGAATGAATAAAAACTTTAGATGTCTTATTTTGTTGACTGTCATAGTAGACATTTAAAGGAAAAGGAAAAGTTTTGGCTGAATTCGTTGAAATAATTATTTTCTTTTTTTCGGATAGTCATAGATGCTTATAACGTTTCTGCGATATATCCTAGCCTCTGTAATGAGAGATAACAGAGTCAATATTATTTTACAACTTTGAGAGTAGTGTGTGTTATGTATTCTAAATAACTCGATATCTTCTACGACAAGTAACTAATCATCTATTGTCTATTGTACAATATGTATATCTTTTAAGCTACACTCCATATTTGTTTTAAGCACTAGTCGAATAATAGGATAATTTAAATGGTTGTTTGGTTTTAATTCAGATAAAAGTGATGTTTTACCTTGCCTAACTATTTCTTATAAGAGACTGTTAAGCTTAGTTATTGAAATAACATAAAGATATGCTAATAGACATAGAGCAAATAAATTCAATTTATGAGCGTGGGGGTGATATATTTTATAATCTACATTAGGAATAATCTACAATAACTAAACGTCAGTTAATTATTGAATACATTAGATATCTAAGTCTAAACTACACTCAAGCCTCACGCGCATAATTTAGTAAGCTTCTTCATTCATACTAACAATTTTAGCAATCCTTCTTTAGCTGAAAGAAGCAAAAGTTCCCTCATGAGTATATGCTGTAAAAAAAACAAAAAAAAACAATTCTTGTTATGACTATCATCCTCAAATCGTCCCTCTTGCAAAAAAAAAAAAAAAAAAAATTATGCTATTGTAAGCTTCAAATTTTTATTTTATAAATATAGTGTACTTTACTTTAAAAAAAAGCAATTTATATCGAGATATATAACATTAAATAGCATTCTCTTTCTTTTTATATTTGATTCTTCTTTATTGTTATATTTATGGTATCATTATTTATTTTATTTTCTTCTTAGCCATTCATTATTTAACGGTGCGGGCACTATACACTAAATTTTAGCCAATGTAAGGATGAGTGTGACTATTAGTACACAACATTTTCTTTTCCCTTTTTTGACAGATTTTTTTTTTAAAAAAAAAAAAAAAAGAAACTCCTGGAATAAATTATTTATATTTTTTCTTTTAAAAACAGAACGCGTGAATAGATCAAGATGGCATTGCGTGTACCTAAAAGCACTCTTCCTCAACTCTTTAAAGATGGTTATAAAGTAATTTTAACATTCCAAAGAATAAAAAAGATGTTTCTTGTAGCTTTTAATGATTAATATGTACATGTATTATTTTTTGATATTATATTTTAGTTTCAACAAGGTGTAGAAGAAGCTGTTCTTCGTAATATTGATGCTACTCATGAACTTTCTGAAGTTGTTAGAACTTCTATGGGACCTAATGGTAAAAAAAAAAATGAAATTCAATGTATAATTCTACTTTTTAAGAGAATTTGAAATTTATATATTTATATATATTTAGGCCGTAATAAGATGATCATCAACCATCTAGAGAAGCTTTTTGTTACTAACGATGCTGCTACCATCATTCGGGAACTTGATGTTATTCATCCTGCTGCTAAGCTTATGGTGATGGCCTCTCAACAACAAGAGAGTGAGTTAGGTGACAATACTAATTTAGTCATCGTCTTTGCCGGTGAACTTTTACAAAAGGCTGCTGATCTTTTAAAACTCGGTCTTCATCCTTCAGAAGTTGTTCAAGGTTATGAATTAGCTAGAGATCGTGCTTTAGCCATCCTCGAAGGTAATCACATTTGTATATAATGTATGCCTTTTTTTGTGTTCTAACATTTATTTTTATTATTATTTATTTATTTTTTAGAATTATCTATGGATAAGGTCAAGTCATTAACAGATCGCAATGAACTTTTAAAGATTGTTAAAGGCACAATTTCTTCAAAGCAATATGGTTATGAGAGCTTTTTAGGAGATTTAGTTGTTGAAGCAGCATTAAATATTATGCCCAAAAACCCTAAAGATTTCAATGTTGATAATGTCCGTGTTGTTAAAGTGATGGGTTCTAGTATTCATGAATCCCGTGTTGTCCGTGGTATGGTGTTTGGACGTGAGCCTGAAGGCATTGTACAAAACGTAAAGAAAGCCAAAATTGCTGTTTTTACTTGCCCCTTGGACATTTCACAAACGGAAACAAAAGGCACAGTTTTGATTCATAATGCACAAGAAATGTTGAATTTCAGTAAAGATGAAGAAAAACAAGTAGAAAAGATCTTCCAAGAATTGGCTGAAGCAGGTGTTAAAGTTGTAGTTACAGGAAATGGTATCGGAGAGCTTGCTCTTCATTATTTGAATAGATACAATATTATGGCTGTTAAAGTACTTTCTAAATTTGATTTACGTCGTCTTTGTCGTGTTATTGGTGCCACCGCCCTTGCTCGTTTAGGTACTCCTATGGCTGAAGAAATGGGTGAATGTGATGTTGTTGAGACAGTTGAAATTGGTTCTAATCGAGTTACTGTTTTCCGTCAAGAAGAATCAGACATCTCTCGTACAACTACCATCGTCATTCGTGGAGCTACACAAAATCATATGGATGATATTGAACGTGCTGTAGATGATGGTGTTAATATGATTAAGGCTGCTACTCGTAATCCACTTTTATTAGCCGGTGCTGGTGCTGTTGAAATGGAATTGAATAAACGTCTTCAACAAGTAGCTGCTAAAACACCAGGTTTGAACCAACATGCTATTAAAAAGTATGCAGAAGCCTTAGAGGTCGTCCCTCGTACACTTTGTGAAAATGCTGGTATGGATGCTACAGCTGTCCTTTCACGCTTGTATGCAGCACATTATCAAGAAGGTGATGCTGGTTTAAATATTGGTATCGATGTTGAGAATGAAACAGATGGTACTTTAGATGCTAGTAAGGCAACCATTTTTGATTCTTTTGCCTCAAAGTATAGTGCATATAAGTTAGCCTCTGATGCTGCGATAACTGTTCTTCGCGTTGATCAAATTATTATGTCAAAACCTGCAGGTGGTCCTAAGCCTCTTAAGAAAGACGGTCATTGGGATGAAGATGATTAATTTGTTTTACTATAATTTTATTGTATTTAAACATTATATCAATATATACATGTATATCTAAAAAAAAAAAAAAGGGTCCAAACAATGATTTATTAGCTGAGTTATTTTCTCAAAATACGTATTTCTTTTTTTATTTGTTTTTTTTTTTTTTTTTTTTATTTTTACTATTTTATTTTTTTGTTTCAATCGTAATCGGATTATTTGAATAATGTTAAGTGTTTTGCATCTTGTTGCATACGCTGCAACTGGGCTCGCCTTTTGTTCTGTTGTGCTTAGTTTAGGTAAAGACAAAGAAAGAAAGAAAGAAAGAAATAAAGGAAGAAAAAAAAGTGTACATTGTTCGTCATTAACAATTATGCAATATTAAGCATGTGGACTTTATTATCTTGCTGAATTGGTAAAAAATTAAGGAAATTTGGGTTAAAAGATTTTTTTTTAAAAGGTAACAATGTATTAGATAGAAGAGTATTCTGTATACACAAAAAAAGTTATTAAAACGTTGACAATTGTATGTTATTTTCGAGACTAAGTTAGTAAAGGAAAAAAAGAAAAGAAAAGAAAAGAAAAAGTTATATTAAGTTTATATACTTTCCATTTAGATAATTATATCTTTACACGTATTATTCTGGATATTTGATCGTTTACCATTTTTTCATTTGGCCTTTTCAATTTTTTGTCATTGTGTCTATAGTTTAAATTTGAAAACATTTCCCTTTATCAGTTTGACAGGACTTCCTTTTATTGGCAGTTGCAGTAAAATTATATTTATTGTAGTTATTATTATATCTGAAATGTACTGATTTATATATTTATATTAGTACTTGTATTTGCTGATCATTTCTTATGGTTCAAGTATTTCACAACACATTACAGGCCATTTATGGACATTGCAGCCTTCTTTGGTTTATGTGTTTGGTTAGTTCCTTTTGCTTATTTTATTAGTTTGAGTGCTAATGATAATGCATTACCTACAAGTGGTAAGTTTGTATATATATATATATATATATATATATGTGTATGTGTATAATTAACTGAAGAGATTTGGCATATATTGTCCGGGTAGACCCAGCATTTGTAGATGCTATTCCACATCAACATAAACAGGGCTTAATGAAGACGTTATTAAGTTATATTGGTGTAAAAACACAAGATACTACTATGCTCACCACTTCTGCAGCAGATTTCAATTCAACAACAAATACAAATATATACAACCAACCGTCTATGGGTGTCACGTCTAGTATTCATTACACACCACCAAGAGATATCCAAAATAGAAAGACGTTGTAATAAACACAAAAAAAAACTTATTTTTTGCAATTACTATAGAATATAATCATGACTTGTCTATATCAAAGATTTTTCTTAAAAGTTTATATTTTTGTTGAATGAGATAATGTAGAAAAACAGTTCTGCATTCATTCAACTATTCGTTATACTTTTGCTTATTTTCCTTTGTTAACCTTTTATATCCTTGTTTTTTTTCTTGACACTTTCCCTACTCAGTCTAGTCAATAGGAAGAATGTCACGATGTTGAATTAAATTAATCAAATTCATATTTAAAGAGCTTAACTCTTCCCTGCTACTATTCAAACTATTTTGTGTTGACATAAGGATTTATTGTTACGATTAAACATTTTTATTTTTTATTTTTATTATTTTTATAAATTAAAATTTATAAAGCGACCTATGAGCACATAATATCTTTGTTATATTGCATTGCCTAGGTCAGTTCAAACTATGTGGAAAAAAAAGTATCTAAAAATCCTCTTACGGAACAAGAGATAAAAAGGTAAAGGAAAGGAAAAAGAGAAGGTGAGAAAGAAAGGGGAATATTGCTAACAAGTTTAAAGGGACAACCAGTTGAGTAATTTCCTGCCTGGATCAAGAAGTGGAGTGGGGGTAGTTTGTCGTGTATTAAGTAATCCATTTCCTGTAGAATGGTGTACGAAACTGGCCAGCGATAGAGCTGGGCAGAAACATCATGAGATGTTCAGTACTTATGCTAAGGGAGATGATTTAAAAGAAAGGAAAGGGGATCTGCAATTAATTGTGGCAGGAATAAACGGATGTGCATGTGCAAGCATTCAGTGGCGTGTGACCGACTAAAAGTGTACATAAGGATAATATGGACAGGCTTTAGGTATTCCTCCGGGTAACCAACCAAGACGCCCTCGAATGGTTCGACTGTGCTCACTGTGTGTTATGGGTGACCAAAGTATCGGATCAATAATCAGATTGGGGCGGCAAGCGGAAAGCAAAACAGAATGTGTTCCGTCATGTAGTTGTTGAAGACTTTCTTCAAGAAATTCTTGATGATGTTTCCGAAAGGAGCGTTGGTCTAACGGAATGGAGTTGGCGGCACAGAGTCTTCAGTATGGTGTTCGAATGAATTTATACCATGAGTGTTGAAAGCGAAGGCTTGAAGCTCAGGAAGTAATTTAGCGAGCAAAGTATCATCCGGTAAATCAATAGCACGGAAAACGGATTAGACCTGCAGAATGGACACCCTAACCTTCATCGATGGTTGGTTTACCATATGAGGCATCACCTTTACTGATGATCGACTAGAGCCACCAAATATCCGTCTTATGCATGTGTTTTGACAAGATTCCAGTTGTTGGATATCCTTTGTACTGAGTAGACTAATAGCTAGACCATATTCAAGTTGTGATCGGACTATCTACGTGTAAAAGCGAGTAGCCAGTAAACGATTAAATCCCTTGGGGTTAACCCCAATAGATGCCATTTGTTTCATTGTTTGTAGGGCTTTGTTAGTATTATTTTGCACGAGTTTAGCTGTACCTAAGAATCCTCCTGTCTTGTTGTATTTGTACATAACATCATAAAGATAGAATGAAACATAAATGTTAAATATTCATTACACAATAATGTTGTACAAAAAATATCATTATGTCAAACATAAATTATGTTATTTTGAGTATAAAAGATAAGGAAAGAGAAAACAGAAAAGACAAGTCTATGAAAACTCTGCATAGTTTATTAAGAGAAAAATATTATGGAAAAATGACAAGGACTATTTATATGTTTTGCAAGATAAGTGATATTAATAGAAGTATGATTTGGATAAGTGAATACTGCTATAATAAAGCATTATGTGTAAATGTTGTCAGTGTAAATGTTGTCAGTATAAATGTTGTCTCCGAATAATTCTGCTTGTAATAAGATATATTTTTATCTTTAATCTCCCTGAGCTGTCGCTGCTACTAATTATTATTTCTGGGATAAGCAACACGTTAATATTAATTCAAGTGAATATTCCCGCTATAACAATACATGCTACTATTATCATTATCATCCTCTAAGATGTTATTACATAACAATATTCAACATTATAGATGTATATAGAATATGCATGACTTATATAAGTGATTATGTAATTGCATATAAAAGCCATAACCCTATTGAATTCTTATTATTACATAATACAATATATATAATTATTTTTAATGCTCGTATACTCTAACACTGACTGTTATTAAAACTGAATGTAGAATGAATATTATGCTGTGAAGTACAATAAACTAGTTTTATTTGTATAAATAAATGATGGTTTATTTATATTAACTTAGTTGTAAAGACGACTACAATCATAACAGCCATGCTCACAAGATCTCATGCTATATGGTGCCTACATATGCATCGACGATTACAAATGCCTTTGACCGAACCCGACCCTTTGTCCTTCCTCCTTGAATAAGCTGCCAAATAAACAAAAACGCAGGCCACCAATCTCATCAGCTTTCAACTCATCTGTCTTTTCCGCCTGGACGATTTGTTGGCTTGCTATGTGCCTTATACTTTTTGAACTTGACTATCTCCATCATGGTAAACTTCCTCCAGAAACTGCCCCCCTTGGTACGAAACTTGTAAACTGGTTACGTAACTCTGAATCTAGTATTTGTTGATATATCTTGCTTTTCCTCTTCCCCTCTCTCTCTCTCTCTCTTTTTTTTTTTTTTTTTTTTTTTTTTTTTTTTTTTTTTTTTTTTTTTTTTTTTTGTACCCTTTTGCCTATCGAAAGGTTTTTTAGTACTTTTATCCTTTCTCGAACTGACCCGGAAAATCCAATACGCTAGTATTATGTGCTCACATGGGTTGTTTATAAAAAATTTTTGTTATAAATAAAATAATTCTTTAATCGTATTATGCATTCATTGGAGTTTGATAGCGGGTATAGCACAAGGTATTTGCCTAATCAATTATACTTTAGTTTGTTATCTAAGTGTACATTATATACATACTGTATTAGAGTATTTTATATGATTAGAGAGGTGGAGCCCCCATCAAGAGTCTCTATTAAATTACTAAGCTACTTCTTAGATATAACATGGATCCATTTCAGCCTTAAAGACAAAGATTATGTTCTTTACAATAATAAAGGATAAAGCAAGTTAATATACCATTACTCAACCATAATGCTATAGAATCATAATATTATTATTCTCGATATATTACTAATTCCTTTACTAGATATAAACGAATTACATGCTTAAAAAGAATGTACCATCTCAAATATTTCTATTATTGATAAGATGGTTTCTCTTTTTTTTAAATTTTATCTGATGATTAGTTTCCCCTGGAAATAATATGTTGGTTTCAAAAAATAATAATAGGTATAATGTTTGATTTATTTTTTAATTGCACTATAAGTGTTCATTTGAAGTACATATATTTATCAAACTTTGAGATGGGATAGAGAAAAGTCTTTTCTTTTTTTAATGCTTATGGTGCTTGTGCTTGTGATTGTGCTTCTTATCTTTCTTATCAGCTTTCTTTACCTTTTCAGCAGCTTTCTTGTCATGGGCTTTTTTATGGCCCTTTTTAGCAGCTTTCTTGTCATGGTCTTTTTTATGGCCCTTTTTAGCTTCCTTTCTTGACTTTTTGGCGGCTTCTTTAGAGGATTTCTTAGCTTCCTTCTTTGACTTTTTGGCGGCTTCTTTAGAGGATTTCTTAGCTTCCTTTCTTGACTTCTTGGCGGCTTCTTTAGAGGATTTCTTAGCTTCCTTTCTTGACTTCTTGGCAGCTTCTTTAGAGGATTTCTTAGCTTCCTTTCTTGACTTCTTGGCAGCTTCTTTAGAGGATTTCTTAGCTTCCTTCTTTGACTTTTTGGTGGTGGTAGTAGCGGCTTGAGAGGTAGTAGTAGTGGTAGACACAGCATCAGTGGTAGTAGTGGTAGCAGCAGTAGTGGTAGTAGTGGTGACAGCAGTAGTGGTAGCAGCAGTAGTGGTAGTAGTGGTGACAGCAGTAGTGGTGATAGCAGTAGTGGTAGTGAAAATCGCTTTTCTTCTATATATACACTTGGAAGCGGACTTGTCATAATGAGCTACACCTGCAGCGTTATTATTGGAACCTAAAGGAGAAGAGAGTGCTGATACAAGAGCTAATAGTGCTGCTGCTAAAGATAAGACAAATAATTTACGTGCCATTGTTCTATAAGAAGTATTAAGTTGAATAACTAACTGATACTTTCTTGAGAAGAGGCTTTTTATATATGTTCATTTGTTTGATTTAAATAACGATAAGTGTTTTAAAACAAAAAAAAAATCAGTTCTTTTTTTTTGGATTTAAGACAAAAATCTTTCATAGCGGGAATGAATTTAAAACACAAGCGTATTTTAACTTTAAATGTAAATTTTTACACTCAAAATGATTGTTTTATTTTAAGCTACATTTAAATGCAAGAAGTGTTTGAAGTGGTCTTAACTAAGTTTATTTTTTTCAAGTAGAGAAAAATGTTACATTTTTTAGCTGAAAAAAAAAAAAAAAAAAAAAAAAAGTAGGATGATTACATATTGAAGGTCAGATTTTTTTGTTCTACTAACTAATAAACAACTGATTTATATGTACATAATACTGCAATTCTAATTAATAAATAGTTTAAATAATAAATTAATAAATAATTTAAATAATAGCTCTACCAATAATTTCTTGTCTAATAATGATAATGTTTCTTGTATTGGTTCTACTGATATGTTGAATTTTAAATATACAAATGGTATCACTTTTAAACATTCCTTAGATGTAATAAAGTTTAACAAAGGATATGACTTTGATATTTTGTTGGGCACTGATATTTTACCAAAGATGAATATTGGTTTAACTGGAGTAGCATATAAAATTGATAGTGAATTCACACATCCTGATATAGCTGCCAATTATAAAAGAATCTTTGAGAATATTAATATTGATTATGATGGAAAGATTCAACCTGATGATTCGCCTGCCAGTACATCTGAGCAAAGAGCAGAATTCATGAATTATATTAAAGAGACCATTGACAGAAATAAGAGTATTCCTATTACCTCATTTTGTTCCATGCCCGAATCAATTGTTCGTTTACCCACCAAAGAAGGAGCTACTGCTTTTAGAAGACAGTACCCAATTCCGTTTGCAATAAGAGATACATTAGATAAGCAAATTAAAGAATGGCTTGACAATAACGTAATCATTAAGTCCAAAACTAATACCGCATTTAATAGTCCTCTTTTGTTAGTTCCTAAGAGAAACAAAAATGGAGATGTTGTTAAGAACAGAGTATGTTTAGATGTGAGACTTTTGAATCAAATTTTACCACCTACGTTTAATTATCCATTGTCTTTAGTTCGTAACATATTTAAAAATTTAGCGGGAAAGAAATATTTTACCACGCTTGATTTATCCAATGCTTATCATTGTTTCAAAGTTGCCCCAGAAGATGTACATAAATTAAGTTTTACATACGGGGACACACAATATTCGTTCATCAGATCACCATTTAGTTTTTCGATGTTAACAAGTCATTTCTTTTTTTTTGCCTTTCAATCCTATTTGACGGATTAGATTGTGTATAGAATCTTTTGGACGACTATATCATTGCGTCTGAGACGACTGAACAACATATGAAGGATGTAAAATTGGTAATTGACAAGCTTTTATCAGTGAATTTGATTTTAAATCTTGAGAAATGTGTATGGATGCAACACTCAGTTCGTCTTCTTGGTTTCGTAGTTGATGCTACAGGAGCACGAGTTGATAAAAACAAATTGACAGATGTTCAAAATTGGCTACTTCCTAACAAAAATCCTAAACGAGTGCAACAATTTATGGGTTTGATTAATTATTTTAGAGAATACATTCCTATGATTGCACGAGTAGCTGAGCCTATTACTAGATTGAGCAACGCTAAAAACGTTGAAGAGTTATGGATCGAAGAACGAATAAAGAGTTTTAATGCTTTGAAAGAAATTTTGCAATCCAAAGTCATACTACACTATCCTAATTGGTGAGAAAAATTTTACATCGCTACTGATGCATCCCAATATGCTATAGGAGCCGTCCTATTTCAAAGAGACGAGCATGGTTGCGATAAATATATTAGCTTCATTTCTAGTACCTTGTCACTCTCTTAAAGAAGATCGAGTACAACAAAGCGCGAACTATGTTGTCTTGTTATTGCCCTTACAAAATTTAGACAATTCATCTACGGACATTCCCAAAAAGTAACTATATATTGCGATTATTTTGCGTTGATTTATTTAACTACCCAAAAGATTGCTAATCCTATGATAATCGGTTGGATGGAGACATTCCTTGATTATGACTTTGAGGTCATCCACATACCAGGCATCTTGAATAAATTACCTGATTTGTTCAGCCGTTTGTATCCACCTCTTCCTGCAGTTGAAGAAAGTGTCAACAAACTGGTGGGGAGTCGGGATGATAAGAAACTTATTAAACAACCTAAAAAAAAATAATAATAGAGTTGTAAGGAAAAATTATAACAAAGACAAAGTAATTAATGTTCTTGCAGCTAAATTAGTAGAATATAAAAATGAACCTACCGAATATATGACTCCTCCTGAAGAAGAGAGAGATGCATTATTAAGAGAGGTATACATGTTTAGCCATTTTGGAAGTTCAGCCATTGTAATAGAATTATATTCTCGTGGTTTACATTGGTCCAACATGTATGAAGAAGCTAAACAAATTGTATAATCTTGTGTAGAATGCCAAAAACATAACATTGCAAAAAGAGGTTATCATCCTTTGACAAATATCGTTGCATATGCATCATTTGATCATATCGCTATTGATTTAGCTGGCACATTCAAGCCTACGAATGAGGAGCATCTATATATTTTTGTTATCATTGATGTCTGCACCAAATATATTATAATTAGAGCAATCAAAGATAAACAAACAACTACCATAGCTAGAGAATTAGTTTCCTTTATGGGTGATTATGGCATTGCACGAATTATCCAAAGTGATAATGGTAGAGAATTCCATTCACAATTGCTGTCTGAGATCTCCAAAATTCTACACATCGAAAGACATTGTTCTACTCCTTATCATCCACAAGGGAATGGTATTGCAGAGAGTGCAGTCAAGATTGTCACAAATACAATTCGAAAAATGATCAAGTCCGATTTTAGAGACTGGACTTATTATTTGCCTATAGTTCAATTATGTATAAATAAGAACATGAGGTATAAAACACTTGGTTTCCCATTTTCGTTGATGTTTGCACGCAGAGTTAATTTACCTGACGAGTATAACAATCAACAGAGATTCCCGTATCTTAAAAGATACAATGACGTTGAAAGAATTAGAAGAACGCATTGATTACATGAATAAGCTTGTATTCCCTGCCATATTTGAAAGAACAAAGAAAATTAATGAAGAATTAAGCAAAAAATACAATGATAAAAACATACTTGTAGATATCTCTATTGGTACACACGTAATGATTCATTTAAAGAATAGACCAAATAAACTGGCACCCATTTATGAAGGACCATATACAATGGTAAGAAAAAATAGAGGAGGATCATACAAGTTGAAAGATGAGCAAAATGAATTGTTAAGTCATAATTATATGCCATCTGAATTGAAGATCGTTACTATTGATGATGAATATTATGAAGTTGAATGCATCAGAGCTCATCGTGACGAGCCTGGTAATCGTGAATACTTAGTAAAATAGGTTGGTTATTCCGAAAGAGAGAATACATGACAGAAAGCTTCTGACTTTACAGACCCTACTATTGTGCAAAATTATTGGGATAAATATGATGAGAATCGCAGATAGCAAAATGAGAGAATTGTTCAAACAGATTCCTCAAATATTAAAAATAAAAATTTGAAATCGCGTAATTCCACATCTAACCAAAAGAATAAGAAGAAGAAGAATATTAATAATAATAACGCTTCTAACACTAAAAGAATACTTCCTTCCAATACGAGTCAAGAAGAACGATATAAGAGAAGAAGACGTATTAACTAATGTTGTAAAATTATATCCCAATAATAATAAAACATTAGACGATAACACAACTTAGGGTTATCAATAAATCAATGAATAATTCCCCTGAAAGTAAATTTGTATATAGATATCAATCTTTATAAAAATTAAGATGACCAAGATCAGCTTAGAAAAAAAGTATAAAGATATTAAGCGATCAGGCACAAACAATGAGATGATATATTTTGCCGACTCAACAAGGTGTTGTTGAATCTGGTGGTGGGTGATGTTATGATTGTAGTCGTATTTACAACTAAGTTAATAGAAATAAACCATCATTTATTACATAATAAAGAGATTATAACATTCAGTCTTAATAGCAGTCATCGAGCATTAAAAATAATGACATACAGTGTATTACATAATTACAAGAATTCAATAGGTTTATGACTATTATATTCAATCACATAATTATTTATACAGGTCATACATATTATATATACATCTATAATGCTGATTATTGTTATGTAATAACATCTTGGAGGATAATAATAATAATAATAGCATATAAATAATCGGTATTGGTTATAGCTAGAATATTCACTGTGAATTAATATGAACGCGTTGCTTACCCTAGAAATAATAATTAGTAGCAGCGACAGCTCAGGTAGATTAAAGATAAAAATATATCTTATTACAAGCAGAATTATTCGGAGACAACATTTATACTGACAACATTTACACTGACAACATTTACACATAATGCTTTATTATAGCAGTATTCACTTATCCAAATCATACTTCTATTAATATCACTTATCTTGCAAAACATATAAATAGCCCTTGTCATTTTTTCATATTATTTTCTTCTGGGACAATTTTTGTATTATTTTTCCTTCAATAAACTATACCGAATTTTCGCAGACTTGTCTTTTCTGTTTTCTCTTTCCTATTCTTTTACACTCAAAACAATTTCTATTAACTTAGTTGTAAGGATGACTACAATCATAACAATGATGAACCACTACTTGATTATTTTTCATTTGCACAAGTATACAACAACACGGAAAATTTGACGAACAATCATTACTATGATATATTAGACAATCTTTCAAAGGATCAGTCTAACAAGCTTACTGCTGTTGCGCTTGAGACGAAGAATATGTTTAAGGTACGATTGGTATTACAAGCCAAGAAAACATGGATATATTAAATACTTTTTTTTTTTTTTTTTTTTTTTTTTTTTTTAAAAAAAAAATAACAGAGTTGATTTCATGGGAATTATTGACCTTACTGCAGAAAATGTAATCAGTATATTGAAGGAAGTGAATGAATACGAAGACGTTATGAAGGCTTCTGCTTTGAATGATGCTGTTTTATTGAATCATACACAAGAAATCTTAAATGTCTTCAGAAATACAACACTCTCTGCTAAACCAATTCGAACGGTTCTTCGTACCTATGGAAACCCGATAGATTTTGATATATTTGAACACGCTGACTTTGGGTTCATCAAGGTAACAACACGGCATTTGTAAGTACATAGTTACAATATTCTCCTGATTTATTCTCTAATTAATATATTCTTGCGTTCATCTAGTCTGGATCTTATTGAAAGTCCGGAGATTCCCCTTCTCGGCTGCTTACAAGAACGTACAACAGCTATTTATATCACCACACTCTTATTAACTCAATTGTTCTTATCATACAATGACATACTGGAATTAGACTTTATAGGGAAAGAATATTGCACAACAAAAAAAAAAAAAAAAGAAAATGGGATGGTGTTTTAGTATTAGTAAAAGATAAAAGAGTTTCTCTTTCACTTGTAAAGTTTTCTGGAAGAGTAAAATTGAATAATAGCAATGCTAAGGAGAAACATGATATCTCAAAATTATACGAAAATATGGCGAAAGTACTTCAAATTCTACCAGAAGTCTCAAAGAAACAAGTATTTGCAGTCCGTTTTTTTTAGTAAAGTATCTAATGTCTACTATTAACTATATTACTTCAACTCATCTTTACTATCTATCATGGTTCTATAGATAATGATTGTTATGATTGCAGTTATCTTTACAACTAAGTTAATAGAAATAAACCATCATTTATTTATACAAATAAAACTAGTTTATTGTACTTTACAGTATAGCATTCATTCTACAACATTCAGTTTTAATAGCGATCATTATTAGAGTATTCGAGCAATTAAAAATAACTATATACATTGTATTATGTAATAATAAGAATTCAATAGGGTTATGACTATTATATTCAATTACATAATTATTTATATATGCATCTATAATGTCGAATATTGTTATGTAATAATATTTTAGAGGATGCTAATAATAATAGCATATAAATAATTGGTATTATTGTTAGAACTGGAATATTCACTGTGAATTAATATGAACGCGTTGCTTACCCCAGAAATAATGATTGGGTATATTTTTAGTAACAGCGACAGCTAAAGGAGAAAAAAGATAAAGTATATATTATTGCATGCAGGATTATTAGGAGACAACATTTACACTGACAACATTTACACATAATGCTTTATTATAGCAGTATTCACTTATCCAAATCATACTTCTATTAATATTACTTACCTTGTCAAAACATATAAATAGCCCTTGATTTTTCCATATAATTTTTCGTTGTACAATTTTTGTATTATCTTTAATAAACTATACAAAGTTTTCACAGACTTGTCTTTTGTTTATTTCTCTTTCTCTATCTTTTTGTTAATCAAAACAATAATAAAGCACGACTCAGAGAGCTTGTACCACTTTTTCATCCTTCACTTCAGCAACCTGTGTATTTACCTGTTGCTGATGTTGCTGTTTAAAATTGTATTTGGAAAATGTCGGTAGTGAACTGGGTTCAGTAAACCAGCTTCAACTAGCTTTAGAATTAAACAATTAATCTGTTTTTTTTCATTCCAACCTCAGATGAACATAACTCGTGATCAAGCCATCTGTAGGTTCTTTTGTGAAGATTACAGCAAAGAAAATGCAGCAAGATTGTCAAAAAAGATCGAAGAATTTGGCTCTTTCGATGTGTGTTATGAAAATGATCTTAAGCTGCCTATTCTGGTGCATTTGAGTGTAATTCGGAATGAATCCACAACTTTTAAACGCTACTTAACTGAATACTCAGCTCTGGATCTTAAGGAAGCAGTAGAAGCGAAATCTAAACTTGGTAAACATTGAAAGATTATATGTTATTCATCATATTTTGACGCTAAAATTTTAATTCAGTTTCAGAACGACAAGTAATCATGTTTCTGAATGAGGTTTATAAAACTACCAATCCTCAAAATGAAGCTGTCTATTGCCCTCAAGAAGTTGGAAACAAAGAAATTTATGAGTCAGTCATATCGAGAACTGAATGCATGAGCAAGAAGTCTGAGATAGCATTTGCAACTTGGTGTTCTAAAAGAAAGATTGATTTTATGGGCGTACCATTTACTAGGAAAAGGAGTCGAGGGTCGAATAAGCGCCATAAGAAACTTTATATAATGAAAAATGAATTTAGAAGTAACGCATTATTGGCATTTTGAAGAATTACCATTATTTATTCTCTATTGTTAGAGGGTATTGTAGAAACCATCGCTACTTTTATTCCACGCTATCAAAACTACATAAACTCTTTAAAAAAACAAGGACGCACCATCATTGGGTATGCTAGGAAGTCTATTGGTAGCAATGATGAACAAAACAGAAAAATACTTTTAAATAGCATGGTGCAGTGCTTAAAAGAAAGATCTTTATGTGACATGGTATTGTTCGGCCGACGCTAATTTTTCCTCAAGAGATATGAATGACAACACTGATTTGCTAAATGAGTTGACAGGTGTAGATGGAGACACTCAATGTAAGACGTATTATATTTGTAAACATGTGAATAATTATCAACAACATGAGTAATACTAATATTTTTCTTCTTACATCAATTCATCTGAAACAGAAGTTTGCCTTGTAGCCATAGATTTCGCAAGACTATCTACAAATATAGGCGATTTACAAAACTTCTTCAAGTAAGTTAAATTGCATACAGACAAACCAGCTTTAGTCACACTTCTAATACTCTTTGCTAGTGTTCACAAAAAACTAACGACAGTCATAATTGACGCATTACTTTATGACAACAAATTTCACGAATTTAAGAGAGAGGCTGTGTTAAATGATCCAACAATTTTATCATCTTTTGATTGTAGATCAAAACCAGTTCAAAGATCCAGAAAAGTCTAAATACTTCACTGTTATTCTATATTCATCATTAAGCTTGGCAGATATTCAATAATACTCAAGTTTTATCTATGTTATAGAACAAGCTCTGGATATAAGCACAAGCAATATTATAATAGATGAATTGCATATTACAGAATAAGCTATAAGCCTGAATATGAAATAAAACACTGTATGTAACATCATGTAGATAATATAAAACTTGATGACATCCAATTGTTTAGATGTATTAACTATAAGACATCGTATCATTTCTACATGTATATTTTTATAACCTTGATAAAGGGTTCTTCAGGTCGTCTTTGATCCAATAAAATAAAAGATGTAAAAGACATCAGGAGCCTATGCTCAGGTCAAACAATAAATTTTTTCACCCAATAGATAATCCATATAAATCAGCCTCCTGAGTCAACAAGACTTGTATATCTGAATACTAACACTGTTTCACGACTTATGTTCTTTTGACAGCTATTTTTGATTTCTTTGATTTCAGGATTCATTAGTGTAAATACAAGCAATTGTGTAGACACAAAATAGTCTTTATATCATTCTTTTTGCATTGAATAAACAAGTCTCAAACTATACTTCCTTTGTTCTCTTTCTCTTTTTTTTTTCTTTCTCTTTAATACGTTCCATCACAATCTATACCAAAAAAATCATCCTATTCAAAATTTTCATATTTTTATGACTTTAAGCTAAATCCAGTCCCTATTAGGCAATATGACTATAGCTAGATAATACTACGGGGGTCAATAATACATTGGATGATAATTATAATAGAAACTAGTGGAGTCAAATAAAGTATAGTATGTACGTTAAATAAAATTTTTATATCATTCGCATAATTGTGAGAATTAAAACGGACAAAAATGTAAGCTAATCTATTTGGCCGAGCTACTAAATGGCATCGTCTTGCCATTACATGCTTCTTCATTCGAAGTTTCGTAAAATTTAAAAATTGAAGGTTGAGAGTGTACGTTAGCAAGATTGACCAGAATAGCAGCTTAAGATCATTTTCATAACACACATCGAAAGAGCCAAATTCTTCGATCTTTTTTGACAATCTTGCTGCATTTTCTTTGCTGTAATCTTTACAAAAGAACCTACAGATGGCTTGATCACGAGTTATGTTCATCTGAGGTTGGAATGAAAAAAAACAGATTAATTGTTTAATTCTAAAGCTAGTTGAAGCTGGTTTACTGAACCCAGTTCACTACCGACATTTTCCAAATACAATTTTAAACAGCAACATCAGCAACAGGTAAATACACAGGTTGCTGAAGTGAAGGATGAAAAAGCGGTACAAGCTCTCTGAGTCGCGCTTTATTTTCAATTATAGTATATAGTAATTTTTTTTCCCCAGTTCCATTTCATCCTTAGATCTTTCAAGCTAAACTATAGTCTAATTCAACTTTTTTTCTTCTTCATCAACAAGTATTGGAGTAGGCACGTCCTGCAGTTTGATTTCGCGGAAACCTGCACAAAAAACAGCGCTTTGATTTTTGTGAAAGCCGCAAATCGAGAATTGAGAAAACCGCATTTTGAGATTTCACTTCCCGCACTTTAATTTTTTAACCCCGCAATCTGATGCTGCGTTCGCTGTAAAAAAAAAATAAGGTTTAAAAACTCATGAAGACCCGCAATGGATGTGGGGAAAAAAGAATTGTTTAAACTAAAAATATGTTCATCTTTTTTATTTTGTAGTCAAAAGGTAAATAAAAAGTAATCGTGAAAAAAAAAAATCTAATTTACTTTATAAAATTTTAGTTTTTTTTTCTTTCTTTCTTTTCCAAAATGACACTCAGATTATTGACTAAAAAAGCTGCAGGTAACTGGAAAAAAAAAAAACCTGTTTCAACATGACAATTAACTCTAATGACCATTTTACACCTTATTCACGAATAGTTGTTGCTGCACCTCGTCCAGGTTTGCTTACTGTTCAGCATCAAGTTATTCGTGCTTCCATGTAAGTTTATTCAATTACTTCAAATCAAACTAAAAGTTAATACTCATTTTTAATTTTAGTACTCGTGGATTAGCCACGAAGACAGAAGGTATGAAATAACAATGGTATATAATAATTATTGTAGAGAAGCTACAAGACATAAAAAAAAAGGAATAAATAAATATATATGCATATATGTATATATATATTTCTTCATAAAACACAATAGAGCCTAAACAAAAAGCTAATAGTCTAATTGATGTTCTTCCCGGAAACTCTATTGTCTCCAAGACTGGTTATATTACAGGTGCTACTGGTTTGGCTGCTTTTTTGATTTCTAAAGAAATTTATGTTTTAAATGAGGAAACTTTAGTCCTAATTTCCTCAGCTGGTCTTCTCGGTGTCCTTTTAAAGTATCTTCGAGAACCATTCACTAACATGGCTAATGAGCATATTGAAGTAAGTTTATTTAGATATAAATAAAATAAATCAATAAAATGCGTGTATATTTATTTATGTATCATTATTATTATAGCGTATTAAAAACATTTTGATTCAAGCACGTAATGAGCATAAGAGTACTGTTCAAGAACGTATTGATGAAGTTGGAGAAATGAAGGATCTTGTCCAGGTTACTAAGACTCTTTTTGAACTTTCTCGTGAAACTGCACAATTAGAAGCCGAAGCCTTTGAGTTGAAACAACAAGTAGCTGTTGCTTCCGAAGTTAAATCTACTTTAGATTCTTGGGTTCGTCATGAAACCAGTCTTCGTGAACGTGAACAAAAACAATTAGCTACTTACTTGATTGAAAAAGTTAACAAGAGTTTAGAAGATCCAAAGATTCAACAACAAATTTTAGATCAAGCTATTCTTGATGTTCAAGGTAAATTATGAAAATAAACAAATATATTACACATTGCTTATAACTCTTTTTATTATTATTATCATTATTTATAGCTGTTGCAAAGAATGCTTAAATTATTAATAAATGATTATGTTAAAGATTCACATGAATGAACTTCTTTTTTTCTCTATTGATTAAAACCTAATCCACCTCTACGACCCATTTGCATTTGCTTTTTAAACTGTAAGCCATGTTGAAATTGCTTTTCTAAATCGCTACTAATGCGTTGTTTTTCATCTTCATCGATGGCGCTCTTTAAAGACCCATATAATCCACCTTTCTTCTTTTGTGGTGCTTCATTAGTAGTGTTACTGTTTGATTTTTTTGCGCCTAATAATCTTAAAAATTTATCTTTCTTTGCAGTATCACCATCGAAAGAAGCCTTATTCCAGTTATTCCAGCCAGTTGCAGTAACAGTTTCTTCTTGAGGCTACATATAAATTCAATTTTTAACAATCATGTTTAAAGAAAATAATTTTATATTTACTTTGTCTTTGGAAGAATTTTGTTCGGCATTCTGTGAAGATTCTTTATCGACTTTATTCTTTTTATTAACAATAGGTTCTTCAGCATTTTCACTTTCATTATGCTTTCTCTTTTTATCCTCTTTCTTGTCTTTTTTATCCTTCTTGTCCTTCTTGTCCTTTTTATCCTTTTTATCCTTTTTATCCTTTTTATCCTTCTTATCCTTCTTTTCTTTTTGTCCTTTTTTTCTTTCTTTTCTTTCTTTTCTTTTTTATCCTTTTTATCCTTCTTACTTACTTTCTCTTCCTAATCAAGATGAATCAAATCAGAACGATTTTTATATAATTTATTGTCTAACAGAGTAAATCTACCTTACTTTCAGCACATGTTTCCAATTTCTTTTCTTTCTTTTCTTTCTTGTTCTTTATTTCACTTTTATTCATCCTTAATTAATAAATGGTATAAAGGTAATTAGTGAATGTTTGCTTGTAGAAAAAAAATTTTTTTTTGTATTCCTCCATTTTTTTATAGTCAGCCTTTTTTTTTTTTGATAACAAATCTCGCTGCATAGTCTGTAAAATATGATAACAGTTTTCAGGGCATATTTTTTTTATGAGAGGATTATTACGTAATAAGAGATAATGGACAATAGTATGCATTATAAAAAGCAAATACATTACAATCCACCTGTGCAAACCAGGTATAATTTTGTAAATATTAAACATAGAGAAGCAATTATATCAAATGAAATACAAACAACAATATAAAGTATATTACTATTCTATATTTATATTTATTATTCTATATTTTAGCAGCTAGGATTACAAATGACAATAATAATAAAAAGAGTATGTTATCTTTATTCTTTACATGCTGAAAACTAAGCATGTACCATCATCCGATGCAGAGCAAATTACATTACCATCACTAAAAAAAAAAGCAATCATAATTAGTGTATATGTATATTTATATATAATGAAAACCACTTACTCAGCTACTGCTATATCAAGTACGGTATCACGATGTCCAACCCAAGTCTTCACACATTCTCCAGTACGAGCATCCCACATTCTAATTGTTCTATCTGCTGAACAGGATGCAAGCATAGGTGAATTCTTTACAAATTTAACTTTGACAACTGCATCATCATGATTTAAAGTAGCACGAAGTCGTTGTGTTTGAACATCCCAAATTGAAATAGTTCCATCTACTGAGCCTGTAGCAGCTAAAGGAAGACTGAAAAAAAAAAGATAAACAAAAATTCTAATATTAAACGATAATTTACATTACTTACACATCACAAAAAGAAGAAGTTTCAACAGAGTCAGAATGATTCTCTAAAGAAGCAACAATCTACTACTATTAATAATCCGTTTGTGTGTATATATTCATATATGCATACAATTATTTTATACTCACTTGGCCATTCAAAATATTCACAAGTCTAGCTTTACCGGATACATCGCCAGTAATAGCTAGAGTACTTTCCTTATTTACGCAAACAGAGGTAACAGGGTCAGCATGGAAACGTGCATCTTCGCCTGATAAACGATATTCTGCAGTAGCAGATTTAGGGTCCCAAACAATAAAAGAAGAATCTTCAGATGTGGACACAATTTTTTTACCATCTGGGGTAAAACAACCTGCTGTAACAGGTCCTGCATGACCATTGAATATGTTCATAAATTTACCAGAAGGCACTTGTAAAAAAAAAAAAAGAAACATAAGAAATTGTACACATATTTATCACTATATATATAAAAGGACTTACTTGCCCACATCCAAATAGTAGAATCCGTAGCACCTGCTAACAATATATTTCCCTTAGGATGCCAATCAATCCAGACTACTTCATCAGGACCATCAACAGAGACACAAAAATCACCAGTTTCGGCATTCCATACACGCACTTTACCATCCATACCAGCGGAAGCAACATATTTGCCATCACAACTAAATCCTACACTGGTAACAGAGTCGGTATGCCCATCCAAACATTTTAACATTTCACCTGTATCGCAACGCCACAAATAACTTTTATCATCTCCGCCACCACTAACAATAATACCATTGCTTATAGGATGCATTGCAATAGCATAAACTGGTTGACGATGATCAAAAAGCCTTGAACAGAATCATCGGCAAGTTCCATAGTATTTTCATCCTCTTCATTAGGTCTGAATTCAAAACCATCAGCAGATTCTATATTTATGTTAAATATAAGTAATCATTCTATTTTTTATTCTATTAAAAACCTTTTTTTTTACCATCAATAGCTTCTTCTTCATCCTCCTCATCCATAGGTTCACCATGATCTAAGTCAGGAATCTCTTCTTCTGCAACATCTTCTTCTTTGACATATTCGTCTTCAACAAGATTATCGATTTCTTCTTCAAACTGTTAACAATAAAATACATTAGTAAAATAAAACCTTTTGAAAAGAAAAAAAAATATAATTTATTTACTTGATCGTGAGAAGACATGATCCAATATTATCCTTGATAATGAATTTGTGTATGTTTTATGTATGAAAAAAAAAAAAGAACTTTGCTTTGCACTTTATTAATCAAAAAATTTTCAAAGTCACAACCAATTCACTACTATTTATTATTATCATTTTTCTTCTAATATTATTGGTTTATACTAGGAAAAAAAAAAAGGTTGGTATGATATTTAACTACTGGAAATTGTACTTGGATTTCAAGTGTAATGCTACACTTCTTTATCATAAAGAATGCGCATTAATCAAAGCATTTTTATGTGTATAATTCTCCCCTCTTATAAAGGCAGAAGATATAATATCCTTGTTCTTTTAGTATTTATATACTTTGAATGAACAAATTTATTTCTGGGATAATTTTTTTTTTATTAAAGAGTTCTCTACTCGAATGATTTTAATTTATTACAGATGTCAGCTACTTTTAAGGACATGTGTACTTCTTTTTGTCCTGTTTATAACTACTTTTATTTACAAAACAAATAAGCATAAAGTATAAGGTACTCTGTATAATTAGTTGAAGAAAAAATAAATGATAGTTAAATATACAAGCAATTATTTTTGTATATGCTTTTAAAAATTAGTATGTTTCAATAGACAAATCTTGACTATAACATAACAAAAAAAAAAAAAAAAAAGGTTTAACTTGGTAAACAAGCGAGCTATTTTCAATTTGTAATTACTATAAGCATCTTTTATTGTGTATCATTTGTAACAAGCATTTTTAGCTTCTTCTTCTTTTCCTTTTTAATCACTGTAATCGATGATTGGAATTGATACCTGTAGTTTTTTAACATTTTTTTTTTCTGTCATTTTATCTTTTGCTCAGGATAAATTATAATATAAATCAAACTTATAGTGTATATGTTTTATTCTTTCTTTTTAGGTACAAAGATAGATAAGCTTAAAATTATCTGTTATTGCTCTTTTATGTTCAATAGAAATAAAATTGTATCGAATCAAATTTAGCCTTTGTATTCAAGGCTATAATTACATTCAATATCAATTTGAAAGGTACGAAATAATGTACAATATAATAAACATGGGATCTAATTATAAAGAATTTAGATTCATTATAATACCCTTTTTTTTTTCTAGCTGGATTTACAAAAGAGTAAATGTATAATAATAATAATAAACCCAAAACATGTTGGTATCGTTAACTTTATTAATATTGTTTATTTCTTTTAAAGTATTCATTATAAGGATGGATATTCGTTAATGTAAAAATCTTCTATCCAATTTAGTGTTAAATTATATTTTGTTAATTTCTTTAAAATTTTGTACCAAAATTAGTTAAAAGTTATATATAACATTACATATTTTTTTTAAATTTTTTCTTTTTTTAGCTTTCTTTCTTCTTTCTGTTATATTTTTTTTATTATTTATTAAATTACAAAAAAAAAGAGCCAAAAAACAAAAAACAAAAAAAATGTCATTAGAAGGAAGAGAAATAATAATTGGTGCAAAATATAAATTAGGTCGAAAAATTGGTGCAGGTTCATTTGGTGAAATTTATTTGGGTAAGATTAAGAAATGTTGTTTTTTTTTTTTCATCATCTTTAGCTTTATTTACTTTTTTTCCTTAATCAGGGACTAATATTATGAGTGGAGAAGATATTGCAGTGAAATTGGAAAGTATTCGTGCAGCTCATCCTCAACTTGAATATGAAGCGAGAGTGTATAAGACATTAGCAGGCGGTGTTGGCATTCCATTTGTGAGATGGTATGGTAGAGAAGGTGATTTTAACGTAATGGTTATGGATTTACTGGGTCCATCTATGGAAGACTTGTTTAATTATTGTAAACGTCGTTTTTCACTCAAGACTGTATTATTATTAGCAGATCAACTGGTACAAAAATAAAAATAAATTTTATACATATACATATACATATTAACTGTTTTATATACATATAAATATTTAGTTATCACGCGTGGAATATGTTCATTCAAAAGGTAGATATATAAATTTATGTCAACTATAAATATCTTACATGAATATTTTTGTTGTTATTTAGGATTCATTCATAGAGATATAAAACCTGATAACTTTTTAATGGGCATTGGCAAACGTGGAAATCAAGTAAACATGATAGATTTTGGCTTGGCTAAAAGATATAGAGATCCAAAGACTAATGCACACATTGTCTACAGAGAAAATAAAAATTTAACTGGTACACCACGTTACGCTAGTGTTAATACACATTTAGGCATAGGTATATAAATATTTATATTTATTGGTAGTATATAGAATATCTTTTTTTTTTTTATTAACGCGTTCTTTTTTTTATCAAAGAACAATCACGGCGTGATGATCTTGAATCACTAGGATATATTTTAGTTTATTTCTGTAGAGGTCAATTACCTTGGCAAGGTATTAGAGCAAGAACAAAAAAAGAAAAATATGACAAGATTATGGAAAAGAAAATGACAACACCTGCTGATGCTCTATGTCGTGGCTTACATCAGGAGTTTGCAATATACCTTAATTATGTAAGATCTCTTCGCTTTGATGATAAACCAGATTATTCTTATCTTCGTAAATTATTTCGAGATTTATTTGTTCGTGAAGGCTTCCAATATGATTATGTCTTTGATTGGACAATTCGTAAATTGCAGGAGAAAAAAGCCACTTATCAAACCCCGGATACTTCAGGTTTTAATACTCCATTTGATAATGCAAGAAGAATGCCAAATGCTATAGCAAATGCTGCACCTCTTCCATCTGCTAGTCTTAGAACTCCTTATCGTACTGAAACTAAATCTCCTGAAACTTCTAAGCGCTTAGATGATGTCATGCTTCAATACCAACAACAACAGCAAAAAATGCTTCAACATAAATCTGCCTATTATAGTAATCCTCCTCCTCCTCCCATGATCCCTCAACAACAACAACAACAACAACAACAACAGCAGCAGCAGCAGCAACAACAACAACAGCAGCAGCAGCAACAACAACAACAACAGCAACAGCAAATGGCGGCAGCAGCAGCAGCTGCTGCTGCTGCATCATCTTCTTATCAGGATCCCTATTTAGGATATACGAGTGGAGGAGGAGGGCGAATGTTAGTTAGAGATAATCCTCAATTAGTACAACAATTAGGTAGTAAATATGAGAGAAAGAGAGTATTAGCCGAAGAGACAAATCCTATCGAACCAAATATTACGGATCCCCTTTTTTCTGTAAAACGTACTCATTTTCATCCACCTAACACTACTACTGCTACGACAGGCCCATCCAATACGACCAGCAGAATGTAAGTTGCAATTATATAATAATAATAATAACTTATTCATATTTTTTGGTATTAGTTTACGTAGTCAAGCAAAAGCAACTATGGGAGGTTCTTCACAGCAAACTCAGTTTAATACTTCCTTTTTCACTGATACCAATATAAATAATAATCCCTACTTACCTGATCCAAATATAGTGGGTGCTTCTATTACAAATAATAATGAGGATATGAATGGTGGATACCTCCATAAATCAAGTGACATTATGGATGATCGTAAACCGAACTCTTCTAATTTACCTTCTTCTTCTTCAAAGCCATTTCAAATAGTGAATTCTACTCGAGTTTACGAAGATTATTAACATTATGGTTACCGTGATTCCCTTTTCCTTTTTTTTTTTTTTTTTTTCATTTATATTCTAATAAATTTATTCATTTGTGACTACTACTGGCTGTTTCTTAGTGATAAAAAATGAAACATAACAACAACCACTCAAAAGTTTTTTTTTTGTTTGTTTTTTTTTTTTTTCGTTGTTCCTTTGTTCCTTTTTTTTTTTTTTGTATATGTTAATATGGGTGTTAAAGAAGTTTGGATTGTACGTCACGGTTATCGTGAAGACTGGGTAAATGACAATCCTCCACTTCCTACTAAACTTCGTAATGACCCACCTCTTTCCAAATTGGGAAGAAAGCAATCTCAAGAAGTTACAGCATTCCTCAAGTCCCAAAACATAGATAGAATTTACTCATCCCCTTTCTATCGAGTACTTGAAACGGTTTATCCTTTAGTAGAACAGACAAATGTGCCACTTTATATAGACTATAGTATGGCGTAAAGTATAAAGCAATGACCAAAAAAAAAAATAAAAGAAAAAAATTATGCAATAATACTAACAACAAATGTATTTTTTTTTTTCATAGTGAATGGTATGGATCTGCTCATGGACGATATCTTCCTTGTGCTCCATTAACAGAACTCAAACAACTTTTCCCGAAATTAAACATTATAGATCATCAATCAAGCATTCCTTTACCTTCTGGTATCGAAAGTGTCCATGAATGTCATATTCGAGTCAAGAAGGGCTTAGATAAGTTAATAGCTCAATTAGATAGTGAGCCTAATCCACCCCATACTATTTTATTATCAGGACATGCAGCATCTGCTATTTGTGCAGTACGAGCCCTTTTGAATGATGCTAATTATCCAACTCGTTGTGGCACTTGCTCTTTATCTCATCTTGTACGTCAAGAAGACGGTACCTGGCAAATAAAAGAAAATGGTGATTATAGTCATCTAAGTGATGGAGAACAACGATCTTGGATGTTCTCAGGTGATGTACCTGATTATGAAACTAAAAAATAAAGCTCTTTTTTTTTCTTTTCTTTTTTATTCATTATTCACTTTTTCACCTAAAGAACGTTTAACTTCTTTTCTTAATTCATATAATTGACCTAATTGCTCGTCACTCATTTTATCCAGTAATTGTTGATCCAACTTTTTACCCCAGCCACTATCTTTAGGTGTATCAAAACTTTTAACAAGAGGATCATGAGAAGGTGCAGAAGAGTCTTTAGAAAGTGAAGCAGTTTGTTGCTTAATCATGTCTAAATAACTAATTGATATGTAAATTATCAGCTTTTTTTTTCTTTTTGATAATGATATTAATTAGCTTACGTTTGCCATTGAGACACAAAGCCAACAATATGAGCAGGGTTGTCAATATCCTTGTGTCTTTTGAATTCAGCTTTTACATAGTCATCACCTAATGCACGCATTGCAGGAGGTAACAAACGATGAGAACGAAGAACTTCTCTATATAACTTAAGTGGAGCCATTAAAACTTGTGCTTGTTGAATATTAGGCATTTTTTTTTTATTAATATTTAGAAAACAAGAGACTGAGAAAATAAAAATAAATAAAAACTAAAATAAAATAAAATTGACTAGCTGGGGGGTCAAGATATATATTCCCCGAAGCTTTTTTTTTTTTCTTTTTTTTTTTTTTAATAATAGCAGTAATGGTATTTATTCAGATCTTTTCTTAAACACGCCCACAAAAGTAACAAGGTGGGTGGCCGGGCGTACGTCGTCATATCTCCAAAACTTTAATTTGTAAAGGAGGTTGATCGTTTAACAGCCGGGAAAATGTATCATCATTATTTCCATTGAATGGAAGGATCTAAAGGTTTTTCCATAGACTGAAACTAAATGAGAAATTAAAGGAGGACATTAAATAAATGTCCGAGTTGTGGTATTAGAATAATACTTCTTTACTTTTATATTCATTCCATTTAATGATGTTCTTAGTGGGCATATTATTATTAGTTATACTAGAAATTTGACATAATACATTTATTGTACTCCTACTTAATTTTCTTTTTTTTTTTGCACTATTTATTCTTACATTTCTTTATATTTTTATATATTGATGCAAAATAAACGTATCAAAATTATAGGCAGTGTATTAGCTCTTCTGCTTATAGCCATTATCTTTACGTTCGGTGCTTATCGTGAGACTATTTTAAACTGTAATAATAAGTCCCTTTTTCTTTTTTTGTGTGTGCTGGTCATGTTAAAAGAAAGGACAATAAATTGAATTTCTCTTCTTCTCTTTAATCATATAGTTATACAGGATGTCGCCATTCAATTACGTACACGACCTTACAGCTCTAGTATTTTATCCTTATTGATCTTAATAACTTCTATTCCTCCTATGCTGGGATTTACTTTTGCTGTTACTCTCACTGGCTTTATATATGGTTTCCCAGGAGGCATCTTGCCTGCTGTCTCGGGAGCATTCCTGGGCGCCATTCTTGCATTTGTATTAATTAGAAAAAGTAATCTCTTGAAAATGGTTCGATTATCGCCAGCAAAGCAAGTGAAATACATGGCAATGCAAGAAGCTATAGAACAAGGAGGATTTAAGGTAAACATTAAAAAAAATAAAATAAAATACAGAAAAAGAGTACATACTTAATTTTTATTGTTACATCTAAAAGATGATGATGCTGATTCGCCTTAGTCCTATTCCTTGGCCAATCACCAACATGTTACTATCGATAATACCGACAATCACAACTCAACAATTTGTTATTTCAACATTTCTGTCATCACTGAAGGTATCATTAGAAGTATGGATTGGATCACAATTAGCTGACTTATCAAACCCTGATTTACCTCCGTCTGCTCATCGAATTGCAAAGATCACGATGGCTTGTAGTGCCTTACTATTGATTGGTGTTGCTTGGTGGCTTTATCGCCTTACAATGCGAAAAGTAGAAGAAATGAAAAAGAGAAAAGATGAAAAAGTATGACCGCTAGCGACAACCCCCAATGATGATGTTTATTAAATAAATAAATAAATAAATAAATCATGGAAGGATAATATTTGGGAATTTCTGGTTACATTTAACACATACAGTTTCCCTTCTTCCTCTATAACCACAACAGTAGGGTATAATAAGGATAGCAAAGAGTAAAGATGAGGTAGTTAAATGCATACGTAAATCATGATATCCTCCATCTTTTGGACAATTAGGACCCAAGCCTTGCTCAATTAGATGTCTTTGAGCTATAGAAGGAGGAAGGATAGGATTACCCTGTTGATCATAACCCTGAACTCCTCTAAATTCTTCAGGTGTTCTACCAATAACGCCCGGGTAACCATTGCCATGATTATTTTTGATATTTTGTTGCACCTTTTGTTGTTCTCTTTGCATAGGCGTCATACCAGTTATTGGATCTGTCGCCATTCCATAACTTGGCGCATTATTAAATGTTTTACTATTCATCAGAGTAAAATAATAGCAATAAATAAATAAATAAATAAATAAAAAAGGAATCGTCTTTTTATGCAAAAAATAAAACTTTTTAATATTCTATGATGCAATAATAAATCAGCCTTATTATTATTATGTTATAGATAAATTAAAGAGTACTATCACTACTACTACTACTACTATTACTATTACTATTACTATTACTATTATTACTACCACTACTATGACTGCTGATACTTCGCTTAACACCATAGCTTGATTCTTCATTCTTTTCTTCTTTTGTCCTCTTTTCTGCTATCTGAGCCTCTTTTTTCCAGTTGGAACATAACAAAACAACAACAGTATAAATGGAGGCAGCTAACATAGACCCTACAAGAGCCGTCCATAAACCAACTAACCCCCATCCCTTTTTAAAGCAAAGCCAAAATCCAATCGGCAAAGCAGAAAGATAATAAGCACAGAGATTACACCATGCACCTATATGTTGTCTTCCCATACCATTCAAGACACCATCCGCGACTCCCGCAATATTGTCAGCAAACACAAAAGCAGCTACTAAAGGAAGCGTCTTTGCCACAATCTCACAGATGCGATCATCGTTCGTAAACATCTTGGCCCATGGACGACGAAAGATGAATAAAGCTAAACCATTAAGGGAGCCCACTGCGATACCTAGACAAAGAGCAGCACGTGCTGCAGTACGTGCTTGTTTAGGTCTCTGAGCTCCTAATAAATTACCTACTCGATTAGCAGCTGCAATACCCACACCAAACGCTAATGTATACAAGGCTGTAATCGAAGTCAATATGATGCTCTGGGCTCCTAAATGGGTGGTATCTATCCAGCTCGCTCCTAAGGCAATGATTTCATAGGCCCATGTCTCGGTACAGATCAAGAGGATACCTGGGATTGCAAGTTCTACCATCGGTCGCCATTGGTAAACGTTATAGACAGCGACGATTGACCACCTTGGCCATACTTCATGTGCCCTTGAATAATAGACATAGAAGACGATGAGGCCGACGATAGACCAATAGGCGATACAACTAGCAATGGGAGCCCCCGAGAACCCTAAAGAAAGACCTGGAACCCATACTAAGGTATAATTAAGAGCAAGATTAAAGGGAACAACAAGTAAAAGAATAAAAGTAGGGACATGAAAGATACCCTGGGCTTGAAGCATTTTTTTAAGAGCTTCAAATAAAGCAAATGCAGGTGCAGCTAAGATCATCCAACGTACATATTGGCTTGCCAGTTGCGCTATCACTGGATCCTGACGAAGAATAAAGATGAAGAATCCTTCAGAGTACCACCAGAGGATAACAATCGGTATATAGAGCAAGGTCATGAATGCAAGACAGCGTTGAACATGAAGACCAACCACTCTTTTGTCGTTAGTACTTGTAAAAGACTGTGAGCATAGGGTATCTAAAGAAAGTGTTGCACCTGTTGCTACAGATAAGCCTGTAATCGTCGTAAACATACTACCTAATGTGGCAGAAGCAAGTTCATTAGAACCCTATATAAAAAGCTATATTATTATGTAAAACAATATATATAAAAAAAAAGTATAATTTTTTTTCTTTTTTACCAAATGACCTGCAGTGATGATACTAACGCTTTGTAGACTATTTTGCAATAAATAGCTAATTGCTATAGGCATAGCATTTTTAAAAAGCCAATTAAATTCACTAATATAACCCCTTTTTGATCATGTTTATTGTTTAAAATAGGAGACTGCTCTGTAACTAAAACTGACATGATTGACTAGATTAAAACGAAGAGTTGATAGCAGTAATATATAGGTAAGATTATTATTCATTCAATATTTATATGCGTATAATAAAGTATAAATAATTTATATGATGAATTTCCTGCCCTTTATTATTATAATTAATAGAAAAAAAAAAGCTAAAATGAAGAAAAAAAATTTTTTTTTTATCTCTTTAATGCAATTTATGAAAGCAAAAGATGCGCTTTAAATTTAGATTCAGCACAAATAGAACTTGTTAATTACAAAGGTATTGATCACAAAAATAAATAAACAAACAAACAAGGTCTTTAAAACAAATAAAAATGAACTGTAATAAGCTTAATAAACATTTTCATTGATTGCATCAAGATAATAAAACGAAATGAAAGAGAAGGCAATAATAATGATTTTAAACTTCTTATTTTGATGAGGCGACTACAAGTAAATAAACAAGATGTATGAAGAAGAAGTGAATTTGTACCCTTCATTTTGTAGTTCTGTGTACTTATTTCTTGTGGAATTCATACTACTATTAAAAAAGAAAATTGTCTTGTAATTCATGTCAAGTAGATAATGACCGTAAATAAGTAAGTAGTGCATGCATGCATATATGTTTATGCACATCTTTGTGGTTGAACTTCTTTACTCTAAATTATATAAAGAGAAGATGAATGAGAAACTTGAGGCAGACAAGTTATTCACAAAAATTAATTGCACAATACATCTTTTAACTGTGTCAATTTCTTCCTTGTTCAATACTAGTAGTTTAAATAAAATATATGCGTTAGATGATAGGTTTTGTTTCTTTAGACTACATAATTAATATGTACTTCATATTAGCAGAGTTTTAATTATTCATTCTATCTATTTTATATTGGCTTTACTATAACCTTTGTAACAATTCAATATTATAGCTAGTATTCGTCTATTTGTAGTGAAACTGAAGAATTCATGTTTCCAATTACTTTGGTTATTGTCTATTCTTTTTTTATCTATTCGGACGAAATAGATTTAAAGTATTTATGTGCAATATAAAGACAAAATAAGTCTAGATAATAGGGAAATAGGTGAGCTTAAAAAACGTAGTGGTTGTAAGCAAAAGAAATGAATCTAATAGAACGCTACTTGGAATAAAGTATTAAAAGATTTTTTTTCTTTTCAAATTATGAATAGGCTATTTTCTTCAATTAATTTACCCTTATTTATCTTATTAATCATCTGTCAAAATCACTACTATTTATCATAAAGTAGCTTAATATGCAACGTACATTGTATTTATGCTTAAATTCCTTTTATATAAATGTATTAAAAAATATTTATTTATCTGAACAAGCCTACCAATTGTATGCAAGTGACTTCAAAATAAGTCAAACTATTCTATTTTCCTCCCCCATGTAAATAAAACAGGCACACCAATACTACGTTTTATTTTATTTAAAAAAAAATCTATATTATCATGATTTTTACTCATTTTCGTTCTTCTTTAATACGTGGCATTCGATATTCAACTACTGCTAGTAATGCTGCTACTACTATAGTCCCTCTTCCACGAGGTAAAATTCAAGATGTTGAAAGTTTCATGAAAGCCATTGGTCGTAATTGTGAAGAAGTTGCAAACAAATTCGAGGTATATACTATAATGAAAGAAGATGACCTTACATTAATTTTTTTTTATTATAATAGTCTTGGGATAAATTGTTCACAACAAATAGTCAAATCATGAAAAAAGAAATGGGTATTGAAACAAAGCAAAGAAAGTAGGTTTTGAAATATTAAAATTTATTTATTTGTATAAAAGTTAATAATCATTATTTTAGATATATCTTAAGTTGGGTAGAAAGATATAGAAAGGGTATTGATCCTTATTCAATTCCACTTCCTCGACCCAAGAAGAAATAAAGAGTCAAACGTATATATTTTTATGTATTTATAATAAAACAAAGAAAGAAAAAAGAAAAATTGCAATGTCTTTACCAATCATTAACTTGACAAGCATTCAGATTTTTTCCTTTTCTTCCAAATCCAATAGAATTATCCAAATTAAAATTCCAGTTATGCTTTGTACAAATTAATGTTCTACCCATTACTTGCCCCCAAGTAACTAAATCAACTTTTTTATGAGGACAGAATCTATCTGCTTCAAATATATCACCATCATTTGTTCTTATACGAATTCGATTACTACTAATAGCTTTAATAGGTCGTCCTGTAAATATTTTTGGCTTATTTTTGTTGATAGTAGTTGTAGTTGTTAATGTTGATTTTTCCATGTCTACTTCTGATTCAGAACTACTACTGCTGCTACTGCTACTGCTACTGCTGTTGCTGCTGCTGCTGCTGCTGCTACTACTGCTGCTACTGCTATTACTATTACTGCTACTACTACTACTACTATTACTGCTACTATTATCAACGTTTTTCTCTAATTTATAGTCATTAGATGTGAAAGCTATAACTGGATCATCTTCAGAAAAGGATACTGATTTCTTCTTTCCATTGGTATTAGTAGTAGTAATAGAATTATTAGCAATAGTAGAATCAATGTTTGTATTTTGAAGTGTATTTCGAATAGTTTCAGGGTCCTCACTTATAACACCACCATCAAAGAATAAAGTTGGCTTTTCTTCGTGATTATATTTATCATTCACAACAGGTTTTCCTAATCTTTTTTTCTCCCTTTTTCGTTCTTTTCTTTCTTTTCTTTTCTTCTTTTTCTTCTTTTCCTTCTTTTCCTTTTTCCTTTGCTTCCTATCTTCTGTTACTTCATTTGGGTTTCTTAAGGCTTTCCGTAAAAGATCTTTAACAAGTGGCAGCAGTTCAATAGCCTGGAATATAAAATAATTTAGAATCCTTTTTTGTTACTTTTTTCAAGAAAAGTATTTTTAACCTTCCAACTACTTTTAGATAATTCACGCAAATCACGAATCTGAAATGTTTATATACATATATATATATATATAAGCGTTAATCAAAAATATAGCTGCTACTTATATTAGCATACATAATAAAGCCTATTGTTTTCTATGGTTTTAATATCGTCATTTATTTGTTGATCAGTCCAATTATATTCTTTTCCAATTTGTTCTAAAAGGGTGGATGTTCTCTGACATAAAAAATAGTATCAATTATTAAAGTGTATTAGCTAAAATAAATGTTAATTTACCATACGATCAGGTAAAGGAATATATTCAACGTCTATAAAACAAAGCAGGTTAAAGTGAATATATGATATATGTATATATAAATATAAAGAAATATATACTTGTGTTTGATGGTATGTTTGAATTGGAATAACCAGAAGCAAGATAGCTTTCAAATAAGTTAAATGCGTTTCCTTTATGCTTTCCCATGTTGAAATGACTAATTTAAAACTAGTGTAAATATGAACAGGCAGAGTTTTAATAATAATAATAATAATAATAAAAAAAAAAAAATTGATGTTTACCCAGACTAGAGTTGTTGTTGTTGCTGGTTTTTTTTTTTTTTTTTTTTTTTTTTTTTTTTTTTTTTTTTTTTTTTTAGTATTCGGAATCTAAACATTATTTACGTTTTTACACTGATAAAGTTGGCTCCTATTCTGTCATTTTATTGGTTCTTATTAAAAAGGATTTTATTGTTTCTACTGCTGAAAAAAAAAACAAGGGCTAGATTTAGAGGGAAATATATACATATACATATCATGGGTATTAGGGAAAGAATATATAAAAATCAGAAACGATTTGATAAAGAGATAAGCTAAGATAACTATTTAATCAAGAGAGAACCAGTATTGAAGGAAGGAGGAACAGAGGAATGAGCCAGACAGTTTTTTTTATGTATGATCACCGGATAAGCCAAGGAGAGATTGTGTTCATTTTTAATACGATTCAAATAGAAACGTTATCTTTGTGAGCGCATAGTATTTAAATGATACTACTGAGTTGCTCAGAATAGCTCAATAAAATAATAGTGCAAAAGAAACTAGGAACTTTCTATATGAGAGGCACAAGGTAAAAAGGAGATGACGAGAATATACGGTATTTTCAGATAGATGGGTTTATTTTATTTGTAAATTTATAAAATAAAATAAACTTTGAGATTGATATATCATGTTGCTTTAAACGTCATGAAGGAAAATAGAGAAAGAGAATGGAATAGCATAAAAAGGCGTGAAAATATTTTCTTAAATATGCCAAAAGCAAAAACGACCCAATTTGACATTATATGTTGAATATTATTATCTACATTATGCTTCATTTTAAAAGAGATAATGTACATTAATGGGTCAAGCACTTTTAGCTTCCAAAGTAAGCAGTACGCCAGATAAGAAATAGTAAACATTTCAGCAAATGCAGGGACAAATAAATATATAAGAAGCGGGTTTATTTCATCAAAATATATATATATTTTTTTTAGCTTCTTCTTATTGTTTGACTTGTCACACTTTCGTTATATTTCCTCCCTCTCTCTCTGTCACTCTTTCTTTTTTACCTTGTGCCTCTTGATTCCTTTTGCACTATTATTTTACTGAGCTAATCTGAGCAACTCAGTAGTCTCATTTAGGTACTATCTGCTCACAAAGATTGTAAAAAAAAAAAAAAAGAAAATTTTATTTTTCTGAATCTACGTCCCATATAATAAATAAGCACTTTTCATACGCATACTTCATTTCGAGAAAAGGTGTAGCACAATTAATAGAAAATCTAGTATAATAATTATTTATTCTTATTCAGTCAATTCCATAATTTTATAATTGGTCTCTGATAAACGATTCAACAAGTCATTAATTTCATCTTCTTTTTGTTGCATAGCTTCTTGATGCTTTAACCCCTTTTCATTTATGCCATAAATGATACTAGATAATTCTTTAAAATATTCGTTTTGTTCTTCAATTTGGTCATCTAATGACTGAATTCGTGCTTTAATCTCCATAGTTTGAGCTTTCCTTTCACTTAGTTCCTTTTCTTTTATATGAATCTCTTTACGAATAGCTACAAGTTTTTTTGTTTTTTCTTCATTTTCCTTTTCTGCTATATTGATCTGGTTTTCTAATTTTTTAGTTTGAAGTTGAAGTTTTTGTACATTGTTGTCTTCACTGACAATGTTTGACATAAGAAGTGGTTTTGTTTCTTTGTGGTGAATGTGAATTTTTGTTTCTTTTTCATGATGGACAAATAATGGTAAATCTAATATATTGTTGTCAAGAGAAGGAGGTGATCGACGAAAGACTTCTGGTAATCTTTCATTTATTTTATCCTCATTTTGATCTTTGAAGGGTAACTCTTCTACCTGTTTTAGTCTGACATCTTTTTTTTCTTTCAATGTTTTATTTTCATCTTGAATAGACTAAATATATATATATATATTGGAATCATTAAATCAAACTAAATTGATCGTAATGTGATTATGTTACCTCCATTCGATTCACATTATTATTGAGTATTTTTAATCCTGCTTGTGGTGATGTTGAATGCTTTTCCTAAGCAACAATGTTAATTAGTTCATTACTATGAAATAAATATATATCAGTATTTACTTTATTGTTTATCTCTTTTGTAATCATTTTATTCGTAACGTGGTTTATCTATGTTTATATAAGAATATATATAAATATACATGTATAAAAAGGGAAAGATTAAGATGTAGATCCAATTTAAAAACTTTAATTATTTACTTCATTTTTATTGTTTGTCAATGTTCTGAGTACATTCAAACTATTTTCTTTTTCATTCATGATGCTTTATATGTATGTATGTATGTATGTATAAAAAATAAAAATTAAAGTAAAAAAAAAAAGGTATAAATTACTAGTTTTTTTTTTTTTTTTTTTTTTTTTTTTTTCCAATGGTTTTTGCGCGTCAATTTTTTTTTTTCTGCGTTGCGGTGTTTTTATTTCTACGTATAATTTTTTCATATCTATTTGAGTACACAATAAAATATAATTGTATGGCTCGGATCAGATAAAAGAAAACAAGAAAACTAAAAACCTTTTGATAGTTGAAAGGGGAAGAAAAAAGAAAAGAGAACTATGTTTTCTTCAAATACCTCAGAGCTATTTGATTAAATCAGTATTAAGAGAGAAGATTTTAGGAGGAATCTTATCATAAGGAAGGTAATCAAGTTCAAAAAGTATACGGCATGAGATAGGCCAGCAAATAATCTAAGCGTCAAGTAACTTTCTACATTTAATAGGAAAATAGTTGAGGAGTAGAAAAGGATTAGCTACAGTGCTAAGCATATATAGTCAGCGGTGTATCAATAATACCCATTATTCATATGCTACTGTTATTATCATCATATGAGATATTATTACAAAATAATATTCAACATGATTGATGTAAATGATTATGTAATTGAATATAACAGTCATAATTTTACTGAATCTATATTATTACATAATATAATATATACATAGAATTATTATTAATGCTCGAATACTCTAACAATGACTGAGTGTAGAATGAATATTACTCTGTAAAGTACAATAGACTAGTCTTGTTCGAATAACATCTTTATAATGTAATAAATGATGATCTATTTTTATCAATCTAGTTATAAAAATAACTATAATCATAGCAGCTCTAATTGATCTATCATCAAGACTTTTGAGGTCAAAGTTCATACAGATCCACGATTATACCTGATGTCAATTGTCTTTGACAGATTTTTGGTAGTGACTCTTGCTCTTCCACACAAGTAATACTTCACCTAGTTTACCACTTTACAATGAAAGAAGAAGTGTACCTGTTACAAGTAAGATTTCTATTTTGTTTGTTTTTTTTTTAATCTTCCAGAGGATACGCTATTGCTCAAGTTTCAAATTAGATTAAAGATAAAGATTTATAAATATAAGGATGTATGTTTACTTTTTCTGTGATATCCTCGTTTCATATATTCACTCATATTAGAATAGCTTTAAGCTTAAGTCTATATAATATATAAATAAAGTACCAGAACGTAAGTCCCACATAATTATATGCCTAACCTATTTATTCTATAATCTATTTCCCTTATAAATAGCTTGCCATGAAGACTAGGATATTTACTCTTAACTAGATGCTACAATGTAAACTATTTTTTTTTATTGTTTTGCTTAGTATCCATCTTCTATTGTTGCTGTATTTAATTCTTTATTTCACTTTATACTTTATTATATGAAAATAAGTATACTTTTTTCCTTCTTGACCTAGTATTGCTTTTTTTTTCCTTTGACTTTATTTAACTAGGATGAATCATAACAGGCTACATTAGATAAAAAAAAAAAAAAAAGTTGCATGTATTGCTTGAGAACTAATTATCACTAATTTTCTTTACGTGCTAATTATACGCGTAATATTTGTATTTATATCGTTTTTTTTTTCATTTATAATAAAATCTGCTATATAAATCTTTTTATATAAATAAATATATAAATAATAAAAAAAAATGGGCCCCATAACGTCGCAGTATCCCATATACTTATCCCAGAGGTACTCGTAATGTTTATCAATGATGGTTTACATCGTTATTAGAATACATTGGAGAGGTGAGCATAATCCAGAAAGAAAGCATACAAAATACTAACTAAGCTATGAAGCCATCCCAAAAAATCACTCATCAGCCCTTTTACAAGCCAACAAATGAAAAAAAAGGATTATATAAAGAGAAAAAAAAGCAAGTTTGGGCATAAAAATGACCTCCTTTTATAGTTTTTTTTTTTTTTTGATCCGTTATCATATGCTTTTAACTGTCATAAAAAGGCGTCACAATCTCTGTAATGAATCTAATTGGCTTATCTTAATAGCACACTAATCGTTATCATAATAAACATAATAAACAAACGTGATACCAACAATTACTCCTTAAAAAAAATATAAACATATCTCTTTTAATTATTATTATTTTCCCTTTCTTAGATTATTTTTGCTTATAGTCTAATTCAGCAAGAATAATATATATGTTTATATATTCAATGATATATAACAACGATGGTATATACATCTTTATAATAAGATCTTTAGTCAAGTCAACATTTCAGGGGAAATTTAAAATAAAGGGATAAATATCAAATATGTATATGTGTGTATATACCATTTTTTTATTTAATATTTACATTTTTACTGTATGGCAGTCTGCATTTCTTTATATTTAATTATAATAGAACTTCTTAGTTAATGCGCTTGAGAGAGAGAAAGAAAGAGAGAAAGACACGTTACTGCATAATTAACATACTCATTATAGACTCAAGTTACTTGTTGAAGGTGCTTAATTACAATTTTGGAAGATCTATATCTTCTATATGTTGTGTAGAATGACTACTTTACTAGGGCAAATAGGTTATTATAGCTTCTATTTTTGATTGTTAATATCTCTTTTTACATGATAATTATTGGGGCAAAACTTCAAAATCGCCTCTGCAATATTTTTTATGAATATGTATGTGTATATATAATTTGAAATAAGTGGGAAAACACTGATATACTCACTAGGTGGTATTGAACAAGTATAGGTGCTATTCTTTAGTAAAGAACTGTATATTCAGAGAGACAAGCACATGAAATTATATAAACCGGTATATTAATGATTATATTAAAACAAATACAATAAGTAGATATATAAGGTAGGGTATCTTTTAATGTTCTTACTTAATAAAAACTATAACACCAGATCACGATATATAGGAATACTAACTACTGGAACAGTATATTTAACTGGAATAAAGCTATTTTCGAACACCTTCTTTAATTAACAAGAATAAAATTTATTTATACAAAACATCTACTGAATTGGATATATTAGGAATGAAGCTTTGATTTGTACTACTCTTAATTACTTCCATAATAGTAACTCAGTGAAGCAAACCTATTTAAACTTATATGTATAAATACTCTTTAATAATATAATGAAAGGATAGTTAAAATTAGTTTTTCTTTAACTATCCTTGAATAGCCAGTATCTGATTCATCACTTATAGTCTTTTTATTCTAAATTTTTTTTATTGTGTCTTTATCTTCATTGCTAAGGATGCGTTAACCTCACAAGTTAACTTCTTGAAGAAAATAAAGTAAAACATTCAGGAAATACCAAAGAAAATGGAAGAAAAAAAAAGTTGAGCATTCTGTTTACAACTTGTATAATGATAATCAATAAAAAAGTTTTTTTTTTTTTTTTTTTTTTTTTTTTTTTTTTTTTTTTTTTTTTTTTTTCTATTGGCTTTATTAATAAAAGAAGATATTTCTTATTTTGTATTTTTATGTTTAAATATTCAACTGAAGAAAAAAAAAAAACAATACAGGTTTCGTCGTCGTGACTTATAATTTTTTTGGCTCACCACCAGCCCAGATTTCAGCATTATTTTTTGCTACTTCATTCATAAAGGAAACTTGATCAGCAACCGATTTAAGAGCACCAAGTACAACACCATTACCGGTAGAGAAATTATACATGTAATAATGTAGTCCTACTTCATCACAGAATTTTTTTACAAGTGGGACACATTGTCGTAAATTATGTCTTGGAAGTCTTGGAAACAAATGATGAACTGCTTGATATTGAAGACCACCATGAAACCAATCGAGCCATTCGGGACAGTCAACGTCCATAGTTGTTCTTAACATTTTAGCAGGAAAAGGTTCATTAGGTCCTTTATCTTCTGTAGACATACCGAAATGAGAAAGTGTGATTTGAACATGAAGCGGGAAAGTCAGCATGTAGGAAATAAATATATAGGCTAAACGAATCTTCCATGTTGGCAAATAAGAGAGGAGATTGCCAAACCAAATAAAGAAACAAGTAATACCAATTAGCTCCAGTTTTCTTGTTCTAACATCCTTTGATGTAAAAAGATAAACAAAGGATAGTCTATGTAAATTGAAACGTCCAAATGAAAGTATAAGATAATAAAGATGATGTTGATATTGAATAAAGAAACGTGCAACAGCATCGAAAGGTAAAACACGTTTATAATATGTAGAGTAAAGATTATTAAAGAATTTAGTCGTGATAGCAAAAAAAGGTAAATGTTGAATATCAGGATCATGTTCTGGGTGATTTGTAGCTATATGATGAACATTATGATTGTCTTTCCACCAGCCTAAACTAAGTCCACCAATAAAGTTAGCAATAATGACACCAATGACATGATCGATTTCGGATTTGCCGGTAATAGCATTATGCCCGGCATCATGAGCGGTAAAAACAAGTTGGTGCCAAAACATAGCCATGAAGATAGCTCCCATTATGTAGTGCCATGTCGTTGTACCTTTTAATGTAAACCATAAAGACAAAAAGATAAACAGAGTATATCGACAACCTTCTTTTGCATATTTCCAATAATTACATTGAAATAGTCCACGAGAACGAATGTCTGCTTCTAATCGTTTAAAGGCCTCTCTTGTTTTTTCATAATCTAGATTTTGTTGATGAATCACATCTTTAGAAAGATCGTTGAAATGATGTTTATGCAGATCTTCAATAGCATCATCAAATGCCTTCATACTCATACCGCCTTTCCATGTTGCAGTTAAAATCGGTTCGTTGTCTGTTTTCTTTTGTTGTTGTTGTTGTTGATAACTGACTGATGCCACAGACGGCCTTCTTTCTGATATATAATCACCAATATAATACAAATTAATCATTTTCTCATAAACCTTAGGAGGATGCATAGTACGAATTTCATCTGTTACATCTCGACCAAGTGCACTTCTTAATGCAGCCTCACCACCTGGATGCTTTGCTACAAAATTATTTATTTTATATACTTTTGATTCATAGATAAAGACATCATTTCCTTGTTTTATTAATTTTTGAAAATCTTCTTCTGTAATAATACAAGGACGCGTTGAATCTGATAACAATCCTTCTATAGCTGTATTTGGTGGCATGAAATACACTTGAATATATTATATAACAGAGAGAAAAGAGAAATACAAAATAAAAAAAAGTAAAATAAAGGATAAAATAAAGTAAAAAAAAAAAAAAAAAAAAAAAAAAAAAAGGGGGAAAAAGACAAAATAAATCAAGCTTTCTTGTGATACTTTGCCTATTTATTTGTATTTGTATTTGTATTTTTAGTTTTTAGTTCTTTTTTTTTTACAGTTTGATTTTCTTTTTTCTTTTAATTAATATTTGACCAATAAAATCCCCATGGGACATTTTGAATAAGATGAATAATAGTATGATTTTTTTTTTTGTTTTAATTATCTCTTATCTGTTTTAATATCAATAATTTTATATCCCCTCTATTTTTTTTCTTTCTAAACATGTATATGCATATTTAATAGCGAATACATTATACATTGTCTTTTGTACATACATTGAGGAGGTTTTATATTTTATGTTCCCTTGCTTTATCTTATTTAAAGTCAGTAAATGATTAATTAACTATCATAGTCATGACTAAGTCTTCTGGTTATAAGGACTTTTACTAGTCATTGACAGTAATCCCAGAACTCATGTGAAACATATTGATGATATCTTCGCTATATTATTGCTGAAGAAAAGAGAAAAATAAAATAAATTATAGCTATCCCTAGCAAGGTTATAAAAGTCAATTTGAGTATATATATAAATAGAATATGATTCCTTGTAGTCTCAGTAAATAAAATACTTCATTTATAGCTCATATCTTTATAGTACTGTCATTTTGTTTTTCTCTTAGAATGAAAAAAAAATGTTTTATTAAAATAGATTGGTTATATATTCAACAAAGCAATGTATACTAGTTGATAATTACAAAGATACTTAAAATATTGGCTTTTTTTTTTTTTTTTTTTTTGTTAAACTAAATCTTTAACCGAAGGTATTAATATCATTTACAGTGATCGTATTTATGCCTCTATTTTAGATAGTTAACGATATATAGATTAAGTTTATCAGTATTTATAATAATGATTTTTGAGTCGAAAAATGGAAAAGTAATACAGAATACTAAGTTTGCGAGACTGGCTTCTTCAATAAAGCAAGGCTATTACAGCATTTCTTTAATGAATATCACAATTAGATATATAACAAATACAACATAGAGCAATGAGTATAGACAAATCTATAACAATTTTTTGTTCAATTCTTTTTTTTTTTGCACAAAGCAGATCGATTTATACAATTTTTTTTTAATGTTTACAAGGTACTGTATTCATTTGTAATACACATAAAGGTATACAAACTATTTTTTTTCTTCCATCGAATCTTTAAAAAAATCCGTTGATCTGTGAAGTATTTGTCTCTAATAAATAGAATGTAATATACGCTTTATAAATAATAATACTATTTTAATACTCATGCGAATATAAACCATTCAGAAACTTTGGATAATATAGTCTATATTTTTCTTTTAAGCTTTACTTGATGAGGCAATTAATCAAATTTTCCAAACTCATTTCAATAGATCATGCTGGTCAGTTAATTCTTTAATCGTAGAGATATTTTTACCACTTAGTTTCATTTTACATTTTAAAGCATCCGGAACCCGCATTTATTTATCTTTGTTTGAGTTTATGTAAGTCTTGGCACAACTTTCATATTCTATAATTCTATTGTGCACTATACATAAATTTGATATATTAAATTATTAGGGATCAAAGAGAATAGCTTTGACAAAACCAATACCTTTAAGAATAGTAGTTAATACTATACAGTTAGTGCAAAATAGATTATTAGTGCAAATAATCTTTGGGTCTTTCTATTTAAAGGTTTACTATTTCTGTAATTGAATATAAGCCTATTATTATCTGTCTCATAAGAAGTCTATCAAACTGAATGTTTTCAAAAGAGTAATGTTATTAGTCCCTTTAAAACTCTTTTGATTGATCAAATTCAGTGGTCCATCAGCTGAGGCTGTTGTCTATATTTAAAATAGATCTTGTCTTACAGTTGCCAATATTTGTTTTATGTCCTGAATTTTTGCATTTTTCACGCTTCTACCTTTTTTTTTTTCCCCATATAATTATCAATTTCTTTTTTCTTTTAAAGTACTTGCTTCCATATCAAGTAGTTTTCAAAAGAAAAATGAGTGTATATTGTGAGAATAATCTATTCATAATAATAACAGGAAATTAGTTATCGAACTGGTTTTTTTTTTTCAGCAGCTACAGTGAGATCAACAAAGGCTTTTTAATAAGAATGATTTATAAGTAAGCTTTTAGTGTTAAATATTAAATTCAAAGCAAGTAGAATGAGTAGATAGTAAAAGAGGATGATTAAGAAAAATTACTAATTTCTTGATTAGTAGGATAACTCTTGTCTGTTAGTTAAAGGTTATTAAATAGATATTTTTGTCTTTAATAGAAAAATTCTTTAATAGAATCTTATGCATACTAATTTCCTTTGAAATAGAATTCCAATTATCTCTATCGGTGAATGAACGTTAAATTGTATATTAATACCACAATATGCAGTAAGATAATTTGAGAAGCATCCCTGATATATTAAGCCTAAAACAAAAGCAAATTGAAATAGAAAAAAAAGGTTCTGACTAATATATTCTCTTCTTCCTGATTAACATCTATACTAACGGATACCAACCCGATATCAGAGGTTTCATTAAAGTTAAATTTACTATATGCTATACCTATGACCCTCCTTTTTTTTTTCAGTTCATTTCCAATGGTTTAAGCCAAAGTGACAATTTATTTTCTTAATGGCCCCTCCCAAAAAAAAAAAATGGGTTACTTCTATAGAGGTATATCTCAAAGGTAATAGAAAATAAATACAAATTCAATATGGGATACAAATCTCTGTTACTTTTATGAGATCTAGACAAATCAAAACAAAACGCCTTCATACAGTAGAGGATAGCTACTAGATAAAAGTTAAAAAAATTAGAATAATGGAATAGCCGCTACAGCTGAAGTTATCAAATAAAGTATAATATATTTATAAATAATAAATATTCTTTTAATCATTAACTATCACAACAAGATAGTCCTACACAAAGGTAATTTAAATAACTAGCATTTTTTTTAAGAAAAGAAAAACTGCATTCTATGTAAATATCTTATATTTAACTTTTTCTAATCTGAAGAAGATTAGGGGATTCATTCTTTGAAAACCTATACATTTTCTCAGTTTGATTCATATTATTTTACATAGTTTATTTTATCTAAATAAATTTACATCTAGCAGATATATTGTATGCATGATGAATGTATTATTCATTTATTTTATTTTATTTTTGGAGCAATATGTAAATACATTATTTTACTTTACAAGGCTAATATAGTATGTATTGAATTGAAAATTTATAGTTTATAAGCAGTTTATAGATACTTAATTGAAATAGTTTATAAAGCACAGTCTTGTCAATTTGCGTCAACAGTAATAACAATAAACTTATCATTTTTGTACTATTTTTGATATCATTTTTACTGAAGGTATCATTAATAATTAGGATTTAAAATTACAACTACCCTAAAGAAAAAAGGAAAGATGAAAGATAGTTATATATATATATAGACTATACCAAGTGGTAGTGTTAGAGGACATTATGTAAGATTTATTTCTACACTGATTAATAATTTGAATAAGATTCTAGATATGAGAACATTATAGACCTTAAAAATCTTTTTTTATAGAAAACTTTATGTGATGTTTTTAATATTATTAACTTTTATGAAAATATATATGCTCGTATCGATGTTGAAAAAAAAAAAAAAAAAAAAAAAGACAGAATTTTGAATGAATTTGGTAATTCTACTGCAGTAATGATCAATAGACATACATATCATGCATACTCCATTTAAAAAAAAAAAAAAAAAAAAAAAAAAAAAAAAACCTAAATCTAAACTATAACTGTATAAGGAATTTTTTTAATATTTGCATTTATTGTTTTAATTTGTCATTTATTGTAGTACTTTTAACTCGATTTCACAACTGATAGATTCTAAAGGCCACGGTTAAAATCAAAGATTTCTCTTTCCATTTTCAAAGGGAAGAACTATAAATATTCTTTGAAACAGTAGCATGATTTAAAAGCAATTAGAAAATGGTATTATTAAAAAATTAAAAAAAAAATCTGAAAAGATAAGTAAATATTTATTACAAGGTATACAGATGTATTTAACGAACATACATTACGTAATAATAATGTATAAATAAAAACAGTTCTATGGAATAATAATTATAATATTTTTGAATATAAAATTTGAATAAAATATTTGTTATAGTGGCGAATAGATAATGACAATATTAAGTAGGTATTTATTATTATGAATGATATTTCTAGCCTTAAGAATAATAAATGAATGTCTATATCTTATGATTTTCTTGTACACTGCATATTTATCTAATAATCTTTTTCTTCCATAATTGATATCGGTAGTAGTTATTTTTTTCAGTAAATAAAATGGATCAATTTTAAATTTCAGGTACAGTTTTCTTTCTTAAGTCTCCGATCTTCTAGTGATTTAAATCCGTAAATCTAAACATTTTTCTTTTTCTCTGTACCCTCATTCCCGTTATATATTCATATATACATTATTTTGCCATTCGAAGATTTAGAAATTTTGTTGGATATATCCATTTACCTACTTTAGTTGAAATAATACATTTCATTCTCATGTAAGGGTCACACAACTTGAGTAGGAGAGGCAATCAAGTAAACTTAAATAAGTTAACATCTTTAAAATAAAGACTATACCATCTTTTTGAGATAGCAGTACTTTCATCTTCATGTTGGTTGATTTAGTTAGTACTAATACTGTTGACTTTGGATAATTAAGCAAATCACACTTTTTTTTTCTAACAAAAAAAATAACTAAAGTTTGGAATTTTTACTTTTTGTTCAGTTTTGTAATCTTTTTTTTTTTTTTGATATTCTTACAGATGTAGAAAGTTTTAAGAGGAGCAAAAATTAGAAATTCAATGCTTCATACTAAAGAAATAACAATTATAGGCACAGGCAATCAATTAAATTAGAATTTTAATACTATGAAATGAAACATTTATATGAAAAAAAAAGCTTCTCCTCAAATGAGTTAAGTCTAATTTTTCGTAACCTATAAACTTGTTCCTACCCCGTTATTTTTTCAAGTCACCATACAAAAGCCTCATGGATGAGACCTAAAATAAGGACAGTCTTTGGAAAAAAAATTTTTCTTTCGAGTTGATAAATATCTTTGATTTATATAATATGTTAGGACTCTATTTAATAATAAATAATACTTGATTCCATATATAATAATCGTTACGATTATTTATCAAATAAGGCAGATTTAAATTTGTTTATTGTCATCTTTCCTAAACCCTATTTATATAATATATATTTTGATTCACAATAAAAAAAATTAATAAAATATATTATTCATTATTCGCTTCAAAAGACTCTTTTTTTTTGCACTAATAATGAAAATTGGGGCTTTTTTTTTTAGATCAAAAATGAAAGTAACTGTAAGTATATAACCATCCTGATCTAACCAGCAGGTCAAGATTATGAATTTAAGTCGATACATGTTTTAAGCGGTCACTAAAAAAATGATCAAAAATTCCGAAACAATAATTGTGATGAGAAATAAAAATGTGGGCAATTAGAAAAATCATTTCATGCTTCAGACGTGAGCTTTAATTTTCCATTGATACATTTGTTCGAAAAAAAGAAAAGTAGTATATGCTGCATATCAAGGGATAATACTACATTGTAAAGTGGATTAATATCCTAGCTCAAAAATAAAACTTTATTTCTTGTATGTAAGTTACCATAGATATAAATTAGTCTATTCAAGGAATAAAGGAGGAAACACTTTATATGAGACATCTCCTTTATTTTTTTTTTGTTCTTATTAAAACTTAAAAACAACAGTCATAGTTATTATTTTATCTCTTCTGACATATCGCAATAAACAATAATTTATGTTAAAGCAAGTTTAGTAAATTTTCTAAATGCTTCTTTTCATTATTAAAGCGTCTAGAATCGAAGAAAAATGTGTTTTTTTTTTCAACCACAGGAAGATGGCCATATCCATATTTGTAAAATACTTACGTGTGCTGAACCAGGGTTTTTTTTAAATTTAGTTATTATTTCAAGCTCAGTTAAATACTTACAGCAAAAATATGTCACAAATGTCAAAAAAAAATAATATAGTGATTAATTAATAATCAAATCCAAGGTGAGAAAAATTCAATTGTTGCTGCGGTTGTCAAGTTTTGAGTTCGGTATTTTAAAGACGTGAAATCAGATCAAAAAAAAAAACAATATAAATATTATAACAGAAAATTTTTTTTTTAAAATTTTTTATCCTTTCTATAATTCTATTTGTGTTCTCTTCTTTCTAATTCTTTTATAACATACATTTGTATTGAAATTAATGAAAACAGAAAAGAAGGATATATTCCTCAAGCAAGTTGAGGATACGAATCCACAAAATATAGAAAATAATGATAAATATGCATATTCTACAAATAGCAGTACAATTGATGAAGAGACCAATAACAACAATTGTGGATTTAACGAAACTTTTGGCGAGCCAGATGCCAACCAAGTTTCTATAGAAGGTAAAAAAAAGTTACTAATTTTCTTTTAGTTATATAACTAAATTATTTTTTTTTGTAGGCGCTAAGAATGAATATGATTTACTTCGTCGGGAATTAAGTAATAGAAGCCATAAAGCTTCATTATCTCAAGCTGAAAAAGGCGAATCAAATTCCGAGGATTTCAATCTTGATGAATTTTTACATGGAATTTCAAAAGAAAAAGATGCTAATGGGCATAAGCGTAAGCACCTCGGTGTATCCTGGAAAAATTTACATGTTGAGGTATATTTGACATATAAAAAAAAAAAAAATAGATTTATATTAATTGATGCCATTTATTTCTCCTTTTCTTTATTGAAAAAAAATAGGGTCTAGGTGCTGATGCTTACACAATTCCTACAGTTGTTAGTCATATAACATCACTATTACAGTTCTGGAAATTTTTCAAAGGGAATAAAGCCAGCAAAAAAGTCATTATCGATAATCTTACTGGCTGTTGTAGAGATGGTGAGATGCTTCTTGTCTTAGGTCGACCAGGCGCTGGTTGTACTTCATTCCTTAAAGTGATATCGAATATGAGAGATTCATATACTTATATTGGTGGTGATGTTAATTATGGTGGTATCGACCCTAAAACATTTGCAGAACGATATCGTGGTCAAGTTTGTTATAATGAAGAAGAAGATCAACATTATCCAACTTTAACTACAAAGCAAACACTTCAATTTGCTCTTCGTACCAAAACTCCTGGAAATCGTTTTCAAGGTGAAACAAAGGGTGAATTCGTTGACCGTATTTTGTATTTACTAGGTAACATGCTTGGTCTCACTAAACAAATGAATACCATGGTTGGTAATGCCGCTGTTCGTGGCCTTTCTGGTGGTGAAAGAAAACGTCTTTCAATTGCAGAACAAATGACTACTCGTAGCGCAATTAATTGTTGGGATTGTTCTACTCGTGGTCTTGATGCTGCCTCAGCCCTTGATTACGTACGATCTTTGAGAATCATGACAGACATTTTTGATATGACTACAATTGCAACTCTTTATCAAGCATCTAATAATATTTTCAATTTATTCGATAAAGTACTTGTTTTAGATGAAGGCCATTGTATCTATTTTGGCCCTACTAAGGATGCCAGACAATATTTTGAAGATCTTGGTTTCCATTGCCCACCTCGTAAATCTCTTCCTGACTTTTTAACAGGTCTCTGTAATCCTTTAGAACGTGAATTCAAACCCGGATTTGAGGAATCTGCTCCTAAACATTCAGTCGAATTTCAAGAGAGATATTATCAGTCTGATATGTACAAATATATGTTGCAAGATCTTCAAGATTATGAAAATACAATTGCTGAAGAAAATAAGGCTGCTGTCTTTGAAGAAGCCGTTCGTGAAGAGCACCAAAAGCATGCTCCTAAGAAGACACCCTATATTGCCTCATTCTTTCAACAAGTGAAGGCGCTTACGATTCGTGAACATCATTTACTTATTAAAGATAGACAAGCTATTATCTCTCGTTATGGTACTATGCTTATTCAAGGTTTAATTACTGCCTCTTGTTTTTATATGCTTCCTTTAAATGGTCAAGGCGCTTTCTCTCGTGGTGGTGCTATTTACTTTTCTGCCATGTTTAATACCTTTATCTCTCAATCTGAACTTGTTCGTTTCTTGACTGGTCGTCCTATTCTTGAAAAACATAAACAATTTGCTTTATATAGACCTGCGGCTTATTATATTGCTCAGGTTGCTATGGATATCCCTTATAGTATCGCTCAAGTAATGTTGTACAGTATTTGTTCTTACTTTATGATGGGCTTGAACCTGACTGCTGGAAAATTCTTTACATCCTTTATTGTGCTCTTTTTCTTGACTATGTGTATGACAGGTTTCTTCCGTCTCTTTGGTGCTCTCTCATCTAATTTCTTCTTGGCTACTCAAATTACTGGTATTTTACTCATTGCAACCACAACTTATACTGGTTATACCATTCCTTATCAGAAGATGCATCCATGGCTATCATGGATTTATTATATCAATCCTATTACCTATTCTTATAAAGCATTAGTTTCAAATGAAATGGATGGTCAAATTTATTCTTGTGAAGGACCTGGTAACGCAGTCCCTTATGGCCCCGGATACGATGACTGGAATTATAAAGTATGTACTATGCAAGGCGGTACCCCCGGAGAATCTTTCGTCAGAGGTGATAGCTATCTTCAAGCAGCATTTTCATATAATGCCAAAGATCTTTGGGCACCTGATTTTGTTGTAGTTGTTGCCTTCTTCATCTTCTTTACTATCCTTACTGCTTTAGCTATGGAATATGTCAAGTTAAAGAAAACAGCCACTCTTACTAAGCTTTATTTACCTGGCAAGGCACCTAAGGCTCGTACGATTGAAGAAGAAGACGAAAGACGTCGTAAACAAGCTAAGATCACTCAGGACATGGATAAGATATCAACCGGAACTACATTCTCCTGGCAACATGTTAACTATACTGTCCCCATTAAGGGAGGTTCTATACAACTGCTGAATGATATTAACGGTATTGTCAAGCCTGGCCACTTGACTGCTCTCATGGGTTCCTCTGGTGCTGGTAAAACCACTCTCTTGGATGTCCTTGCTCGTAGAAAGACAATTGGTAAAGTAGAAGGTAGTATCTATCTTAATGGCGAAGCTCTTATGAATGACTTTGAACGTATCACTGGCTATTGTGAACAAATGGATATTCATCAACCTGCTGTCACTGTACGTGAAGCTCTTCGATTCTCTGCCTATCTTCGTCAGCCTTCTGAGGTCTCTAAAAAGGAAAAAGATGAATACGTCGAACAAATTATTCAGCTCTTGGAAATGGAGGACATTGGTAATGCCCAGATCGGTGAAATAGAAAGCGGTTATGGTATCTCTATTGAAGAACGTAAGCGTCTTACTATCGGTATGGAGCTTGTTGGTAAACCCAAACTTCTCTTTTTAGATGAACCTACATCCGGTCTTGATGCACAAAGCTCATATAATATTATTCGCTTTATTCGTAAATTGGCAGATGCAGGATGGCCTGTTCTTTGTACCATTCATCAGCCTTCCTCTATCCTATTTGAACATTTTGATCATCTTTTACTCCTCGTTCGTGGTGGTCGCACTGCCTACTATGGTGAAATCGGTAAGGACTCTCGTACAATGATTGACTATTTTGAATCTCATGGTGGACCCAAATGTAAACCTGATGCTAATCCTGCTGAATACATCCTTGAGGTTGTTGGTGCCGGTACTGTTGGTAAAGCTTCAAGGGACTGGGCAGAGGTATGGAAAGAGTCGGATGAAGCGAGGGCCCTTGATGCAGAACTTGATGAAATTAATAGAACCGCTGATCAAAACCCTACCCGTAAGGCTTATACTTATTCCACCTCTTATGTTACCCAATTCCGCCTAGTATTTAGTCGTATGTCCCTTGCCTATTGGCGTTCAACTGAATATAATATTGGTCGTTTCTTAAACCTGATGTTTACATCCCTTATTACTGGGTTTACCTTTTGGAAATTAGGCAATTCTTCCTCTGATATGATGTATAAAATTTTTGCCTTGTTTGGTACCTTTATCATGTGCTTCACTCTAATTATCTTGGCTCAACCCAAGTTCATGACAGAACGTATCTATTTTAGACGCGAATATGCCTCACGTTATTATAGCTGGCTCCCTTGGGGTGTTGCCGCTATTTTAGTTGAGATTCCTTACATTATCTTTTTCTCTGCTACTTTTATGTTTGGCTTCTATTGGACGGCTGGTATGCAAAATACATCTGCTGCTTGTGGTTACTTTTATATCACCTTTGTTGTTCTTGTCTGTTGGGCTGTTACTTTAGGTTTTGTTATCGCAGCTGTAGCTGAACTGCCTACCATGGCTGCCCTCATCAATCCATCCGTTCTTTCTATTCTTATCCTATTCTGTGGTTTGATGCAGACACCTAAGGCGATGCCCAAATTTTGGAGTTCCTGGGTTTACTGGCTTGATCCTTTCCATTACTACATTGAAGGTTTGACTGTAAATGAACTTGAAAACATGAAGATCGTATGTAAAGAAGAAGACCTCCTACGTTTCTCTCCACCACCTGGTCAAACTTGTGGGGAATATACAGCTGATTTCTTTGCTAATGGTGCCTTTGGTTACATTGCTAATCCTGATGCTGTTCAACCTGAACAATGCGGCTATTGTACATACAAATCGGGTCCAGAGTTTTATGAAGGCAATATGAATTGGAGTGCAGCTAACAAATGGCGTAATTTTGGTATCCTTTTTGCTTTCTTTATCTTTAACATCATTGTATTTCTTATACTTGTTTACTTGAAGAGAAAGCCAAGACGATAGACTATTTCTCTGTTTGTTACTATTATTATTATTATTATTATTATTATAATATGTGTATATATATTAGAAGTTGATATTAATTTTTTTTTATATGAATATCCTTATTTTTACTATTATAATTGTAAATGCACTTTAATATTATATAAAGTTGGTTTAATTATTATATCCTCTAATATTTATTAAAATAAAATATTTCTAACCAAAAGATTGTTTATAATCTCATTAACATCTATTTATTATGCTTTTATGTATTTATTATATGAGTTAAAAAAGTATAGTTAGGAACTATCAGTTATAAAAATATATACCTAACATTATGGATGCTAATCTAGTCTAATAAGGCAGCAATATATATTAATATATAAATATAGATAAAATGATACTCTTATAGCTTTTATAATACAATTATAAAATAAAGTACTTTACAAAATATCTTATTACTTTTATCAATACATGTTTTATGATTTAAGTCTTAGTTTAATATATACTTTTTTTTTTAACACTATTTTTGTTGGATCATAAAAAGGCTGCATATGTTAAGTCAATGAATAAAATAGATTATTTTAATTGGATAAATTCTCTCCCTGTTATGTGGTACCTGTACAGTATCCCTTTTCTTCCTTTACTTTACTTTTCAATATTATTATAATAAAAGTTAAGAATGAATGAATACCAAGCATTTCCTGTATTAAATCAGCAATTTGTTGTGAATAAAAAATACCAATTCATCCGAGAGATGGGACAAGGTGCTTATGGTGTAGTTTGGTAAATTCCCTTCTCATCATTTCCATAGTTTTTATATCGTTTTTTTTTTAACAAAAAAAGGGGACGATATATTCCTTTAAATATTTTCTTTTTCATAGTGCCGCAAAAGACACAGAATCAGATGATCAAGTTGCTATTAAGAAAGTATGTATTCAACATTGCTATTGGAATGATAACTTTTCTGTATACATTCAACATTATTAAATACAATTTCCATTTAGGTTTGTCGTATATTTGAGAAAACCATTCTTGCAAAAAGAGCATTACGTGAAGTTAAATTACTGAGATTTTTTAACGGACATGAAAATGTATATACATTAAAAAAAGAACATGGGCATTTGGAATTTGGAGAGGAAAAAAAAAAGGAAACAAAAGGCTAATTACACATTTGTTTGTAGATTACGTCAGTACTTGATATGGACATTGTTAATTTCCAAGACTTTAATGAACTGTACAGTAAAAAAATAAAAGCAAGGAATGATTTGAATTTATAACACTCATATAATATTTATATAGTTATCTAGTTCAAGAATTGATGGAAGCAGATCTTCATCAAATCATTAGATCTGGACAACCATTAACTGATGCACATTTCCAATATTTTGTATACCAGATTTGTAGAGGGCTCAAGTATATTCATAGTGCCAATGTACGTATTTATTTATTTGATTCAAACAACTATTATTTTATTGAATTCCTCCTCCCCCGCCTCTTTTTTTTTTTTTTTTTTTATAAAAAGGTTTTGCACAGAGATTTAAAGCCAGGTAAAAAATATTACATGTAGTGATAAAATACAATTGTTTGTAACATTAAAAGGTTCTATTTTACTATTTAGGAAACTTATTGGTTAATGCTGATTGTGAATTAAAGGTAATAAATAGTAAAGCAGCAGCTGTTTGATCTGATTTATTATAATTATTAGATTTGTGATTTTGGACTTGCTCGTGGATATTCTGATAATGCAGAGTATAACATTGGATTTATGACCGAATATGTAGCTACAAGATGGTATCGAGCACCTGAAATTATGTTGAGCTTTCATAACTATACTAAAGCCAGTGAGTTATTAAAATTGACATAAAGAAATAGAAGAATTAACCTATTTTTTTTCCTAAAAAAAAAAAAAAAAAAAAAAAAAAAAAGTTGATATGTGGTCGGTTGGCTGTATTTTTGCAGAGATGCTTGGTGGTAAACCTCTTTTCAAAGGAAGAGATTGTAGGTTTTTATATAGAATTCTCCAAGTAATTATAAAAATAATGTGTCTATGTTATAGATGTCGATCAATTGAACCAAATTCTTGGTATTCTTGGTACTCCTGATGAAGAAACATTAGTTAGAGTTGGAAGTGAAAGAGTAAGTAGTAGTGATAAGCACAAAATATACTAATACATATATAAATACACACATACACACATACATATAATCTTTCTCTTTTTTTGCAGGCTCAAGTTTATATTCGTAGTTTACCTAGAATGCCAAAAATACCTTTTGAGAATTTATATCCTGCAGGTAGAATATAAAGAGACAAACATGTTGTATCATTCCTTTAATTCATTTTTATAGCTAATCCTTTGGCAATTGATCTTTTAAATAAACTTTTGGAATTTGATCCTTCAAGGCGTATTACTGTTGAAGAAGCACTTGCTCATCCTTATCTTAGTGCATATCATGATGAAGATGATGAAGTAAACTCTTATCTTTCTTTTTTTTTTCTAGTATTTATGAAAAATTCTTTATTTATAGCCAACACATTCCAGTACGTTTGACTTTTCTTTTGAAGTTGTTGATTCAATTGATGAAATGCGTTGTATGATTGCTCAAGAAATTATGTCCTTTAAAGCAAGTCTAGGACAATCTCAGTATTATCATATTGGTAACAATGGAACCAGCTTAAAGAGACGTGAAAGGTAAATAATAATGATTTGATATTGAATAGTTATAGATAAAATGTTTTTTTTTACTATAGTATGTCTGCTCAGGATCGTGAAACATTAGTAGCTGCTCAAGCTAGAGCAACTCTTGGTTCCAATCTACCTACAGAAATGATACAAGGTGGAACTGGTTCTGTTGCTGAGACAGCTGTTAACCCGCTAAAATATCATATAGAAGTTGATGAGTTAGAAAGAGAATTAAGTGGTGCATATTAAATATACCTTATTATATACACGTATATACACCAGGGCTTTATATATTCAACTTTAAATGTTTCTGATTTATTACCTTTTTTTTTTTCAACTCCTTTAACACGTTTAAATACAATACAATAAATGCAGAAACTAGATTCATTCAAATTCAAATAAATAAATAAAAAGAAAGCTTGAATTACAACAGATTCTATGTATTACATAAACATTTCCTTTCCTCCTTTTCTTTAAAGTAAATTACATAATAAAAGCTGTATTATGATGGACGTATGATGTAAATTTTATTATCAAATCAAATAAAAAAAAATATTTATTTATTATTATCATTATTATTCTTTCATCTTTATTGTTTATTTATTTTATAGCAGATAAAAGCTTTATAGTAGTAATACTAAGCTTCTATTATTATATGAATTAAATAATAATAATAAAATGGTTCAATACATTTTACCTAAATTACTTTATATATGCTTATATGGTGTTCTTGGGTCTGCAATACCTTATTTATCCTTATTTTATGCAGATATACTTCATTTAACTTCTCAACAAATAGGTATCATATTGGCTATTGCACCTTTTATACAGAGTATAGCATGTCCTTTTTGGACTGTACAAGTAGATAATAAACCTAAATGGCATGGCATGCTTATGGCCATTCTAATGTTCATTGGAGGAATTAGTGTTATAGGATTAATGTTTATACCCATCTTTTTACCTATTAATGAAACATCGTCAACTGCTGTCCTGACTATCACTGTTATATTAGCCGTCACTTTTGCCTTCTTTGGTCAACCAGTCACTGTTTTAGTTGACAGTGCAGTTTTAAAAATTCTTGGTAATAACGGAATTTATTATGGTAAGTGTTAAGAATATAGAAAGAGTGAAGCGTAAATATATGCATATATATATATATATATACATATATGTATACATGTATACTATTATTATTTCTTCTTTTAGGCGATCAAAGATTATGGGGCTCAGTTTCAAATGGTGTTTGTATACTACTTGCAGGTTATTTTATTAATTTGTTCGGAATAAATTACGTTTTTTATATATTTGGAATAAGCGTAATTGGATTTATCTTGATTTCTCTTTGTACAACAGTGGTTTCAAATGATAATCATCATACTACTGCTACTGCTACAACTGAAAATTTAAGAATGCATTTAGATGAAGAACAAGGTCCACTTTTAAGTACAGCACAAAATAACAATAGAATAGCGAAAGGATATTATACGATAGATCCTATTGAAGATTATTATGATTCCTCTACTTCATCTAGTAATCATGATATTCGAAGACTAAGCACTACAACAAGTAGTCACGTAAATGCACTACTCATTGGGAACGATCATCACCATCTTTTAAATTTACAACGAACCATCACTTCACAGGCTGCTCGAGATGTACATGATGAAGCCAATATATTATTAGATCAAACACATGGACTACCTTCCTTGGGTCTTGCTTTATCACATATACCTACTGTTGATACATCCTTAACTGCCTTTGCTAATATAAATAATGAAGAAGACTATATTGGACTTAGCTTAAGAAATACAATATTTAAATCAGCAAAGGTATGGACATTTCTATTAATGACATTATTATTTGGTGTTTTTTATTCCATGATTGCACAATTCCTATTTTTATTTTTAAGTCAAGATTTGAAGTTAGAACCTTCTGTTATTGGCTGGACTGGTCCCCTTGGAGGTATCACGGAAGTTTCAACATTTTACGTTTCTCGGATTGTAAGTCGTCGTCGTCGTTGTTGTTGTTGTTGTTGTTGTTATCGTTTATTAAAAAAAAAGTATTTTATATAGTTATTAAAAAAGTACAATATCCGAAACTTAGTTACCTGCGCGCATTTAACTATCATTCTTAGAAATCTTGTATATAAGACACTTTCACCAAACCAGTCAAGTACTTTAATAATAGCATTAATTTTACAACTCCTTAATGGTATGTGATATATATATATATATATATATATATATATAAATATGTAGATGTTCAAGGAAAAGAAAAAAAAGAAAGAAAGAAAGGTTAATAATAATATTAAAAAAAAAAGGATTTTCCTACGCCATGATTTGGTCCACTTGTGTCTCAGAAGTAGACCAAATGTTTCCCGTAAATCAAAGGGCCATAGCGCAAGGCATTTTAGCAGCATTATTTTCGGGACTCGGGTTTGGATTAGGGTGTATTCTAGGCGGTTTCACATATGACCAGTATGGAGCACAAATGCTGTTTAACGTATCCATTAGTGTAGCCATACTTAGTTTATTTATTTTCTGGAGTGGAAGATTGATGCATTGTTAAGATTAAATATATCCAGGATACAAGTTAACAAGTAGTAGTAGTAGTAATGAAGAAATATAACATGTTGTATTAAAAAAAATACAGTAATAATAAAGAGTTTATATGTTTATGATTTAAATGAATACTATAACAAAGATGCTACCCGGTTATACTTACTTGTTACATGAAAAAGTGTATAGATTATATTATTTTCATTATTTACCTCATAAGAGGGAGGAATATATTAGTTGTACATTACAATCTTCTAGAATTTATTTGATACTAATATGTGTACATATGCAATCTAAAATAGTTTTATTGGTTAAAATCTTATATCGAGCACTTCTTTTTTTGGCTTCAAGAAGAAATACAACTATAAAGGGTAATTTGTACTATAAAATAATAAAGAAATAAATAATACTTCTCCTATTTATCTAGCCTCCCCTCCTTGGTTCGTTATTGAAATTTAAACAACAATATTTATAAGACGATGGAAGGAATTTTAACGTTTAAAGTATAAAAATAGAAATTACGAAAATCGATTATCTTATATTGATTGTATGCCTTTCTTTTTTTTTTCTTTGTCATTACTTGTTATATATTCAAACTCATATTTATAACTTCTATTCTTACAATTTATTACCTTAACCTTAAACATTCATTATAGTGTTGCATTTATATTCCTAAATGGTATATAATTTTTTCTAGAGTAATTTGATATACTTGATAAATCTATGGTTGACATACATAATAGATCTGTATCATATGAGAAAGTGTAACATTAGGGGGAAAAGAGAGAAAGAGATTGAGAGAGAGATTGAGAGAGAGAAAGAGAGAGAGAGAGAGGGACGAGCATCAATATAAATATGCTTTCTTTTTTCTTCTGTATTCTTTGCATATAAATATATTGTATTTTATTCCTCTTTTATTGTTAAAATATTTATCAAAATGACATTTGAAAATTATGAACTTTTAGAATTGCCACTTTCTATGTCAAATCATTTAACATTGGTTAACTACGATAATAATCATATATTGGATAGTGATTATGGCTCTTCTATCCCATTAATGGAAGTGACTGATTCATCTTTACCATCTTATGCCTCAGTTTCATCTTCTTCTACTCCTGAATTAAATTCCTCTAAACTTCCTGATAATAATAATAAAAACAACATAGCAACTAAGCCAAAACTTAAAAAGCAATATCAATGCCCTCAATGTTCAAAAGTATTTAATAGACCTAGTGCTCTTCAAACCCATTCTTATACTCATACTGCAGAAAAGCCTTTTAAATGTTCATAGTTAGTATTATTCTTATTATTATTCTTATTAATACGTATTAACATAATTATATTATTAGTCCAAATTGTAGCCGTTCATTTTCAGTAGTTTCTAATCTTAGACGTCATTTGAAGGTTCATCAAAAGCCTTCTATAAGTAGTAGACTTTCCTCTGAAGATAGACTCCGTTGTGTTCGTCAATTAATGAAACATAGTGAAGCGATATTATCTAATAATAAAAGGCAACGAACGATTGAATCCACAGATTATCATTTAATTTTGCCTAAATTATCACCAGAATTGCAGCCAGAGACGAGTATAGAACATGAGGGACACATGTTGAATTCATTACTACAACCGCTATTACCACAAGTGAGTACTAGAAATAGTCATGGCTATCAACACTGTTTCGTTTTATCTGATCATCATCAAGACTATCATTCATCTACATTTAATGATTCAATGTCTCATGAGACAAAGTTTCTGAACCATTCACCCGCTTTTACATTACCTAATGATCATCTCTTTTTAGACCTTCGTTTTTTATAAGAATATGCAATGCAATAGAAGTTTAGAAATTACATTAGTAGAATCAAGTTATTAGACAAGCTCAATCCTTTATTTTATTTTATATGTATATACTTTGTTGAATACTTTAGCATATTCATTTATTCATAACCTTATGATCATTTTTAAATTTATATAAATATAAAATTTAGTAAAATTGGGAAGCATCACTTAATTCTGTGTAACATATTAACAAGCATGAAGTTGTTATAAAACTTACTTAAAAGATACGAAATAATAATAATAAAAGATAATACGTAAACAGAGTTGTTGTATTACTTTTATTATAAAAACAAAAAAAAAATTTCGTTATCTTCTTCTTTCCTTTTACTTGAAATACAATTTGTGAATACTTTTTAAATAAATATATTCTTCCTTACATATTTTTCTATTTTGTCTTTTTAAATTCATATCCAATAGGGCTACTATTTTAGAAAAACTGATGTTCTGGAATCAAAATAAATAAATGATGGCGTAAAAATAAAGTTATACATATTCAGGAACCAGAATTTTTACTAATGATCTATCTAAACTTTATTAACCACCACGTAGTAGCAGTCATTGATTTTACCCGAAAAAGGAAAAAGTCATTTAATACAGATGCAGTCGATTGGTAGCCAATTAAATGAACAATGCTTTTAATAACCTGTCTGCTTCAAGTTTAAAGTAGGAATCACTACTCCCTAATGACCTTACCGTCTTTATTTATCAGCTTACAGAGTAGGACAACTGCTGTACTTTTTCTTTCTTTTGAAAAGATAAGCTTTTAAGACGCATTTATTCTTATCCCCTTGTACTTTCTACTTTATAAGGATTAAGAAATAGTTGATAACATTTGACAAGCATAATTACTGCTATCTAACTTGATTAAGAGATTCAGAAGAGTTAATTCTGTTATTTATTTATTTTTTATTTTTTATTTTTTAAAGAAGGATAAGTATATTGCAATATGAATAAAATAAATATAAAGAAAGGGAAAAAGTGCATATATAAAATCATAAATATGTTAATTTTCCTCCCCCTCCCCCTCATACACACACATATACATACGTACCTCACTTACACAGCTTAACTATAGATAATACAGAATTCTTTTTTTGATGCAATCTTCTTGACTATTTTGCTTTGTTTGAATGATTTCATTTCAGTCCATACGGAACACGATACATTAAACTCACGGACACAACTCAAGTCTTTATTTTATATGATATATACCTATACATTGCTCATAAAGAAGTAACGCCATACTACATTAATCAAGAATTCAAAGTGAATATATGCTTTTGTAATATTTTTTACTATCTGATGTGTTTAATAATATAAATCATGTTATCATTTCTTTTCTCTTAAAACAATAAGCTGCTATACATCACCTACTTTATTTTCATTGCTGCATAAACAAATGTTAATAGGAAGATACCATATGACGATAAACCAGTAAATTGTGAATTTTATCATCTATCCTAGTGCTACCATTTCTTTCTTTTTTTCACGTTATTTAGGAGATGTTCTCCTTATTATTTCACTTTTTTTTGTCCTTCCCTTTCCCTTTCCCTTCCTTCTTTAATTGTACCCTCACGCATATGAAAGAATAGAGGTTTATTCATCACGTTAGCTTGTCACAAATAATAATTTTATACAAAGAAGAAATTTACACAAGTATTATGTCAAGTTTGAAGAAAGAAAGGAAAGAAAAAAAAAACCCTCTCTTCTTCTCAGAAGCCTTAAAGGGTAGGCTATTTATCATTTCTCCTCCTCCCATTTGTTTTTGTATCATTCATGACGAAAAAAAAAAAGACTCTTTAAAGTGTGCTTTTTTATACAAAACTATAAACCTTTAACATATGATAATAATAAAAATAATAAAAAAGGAAATATTTTAAGCTTGCTTTCTTGCATTTTGTGTCAATCTGGCATGTTCACTATCATTCAAACTATAATTTAAATAAATAAATAAAGTGTTGACTTTTATTACAATAGATAGGATACTTACTGCTCATCATCAGACTCATATTCCTCCTCTTGGTCTATATGTAATAGTGCACTTTGTTCACCTCCTCTGTCAGATCGATAATGAGTAGCATTTCTATTCGTGCCATTCAAGTCAGATAATTGAACATTTTTATTAATAGGCTGATGATCTCTTTCTTCTTCTTCTTCTTCGTCTGTAAGTTCACCTCCAAGTTCAAAGATAGCAGATTCCTCATCTATACCATGATGTTGCCTGTTTTGAGTAGACCTAAATTGGTTATCGCCCTCACCATTCTCTTCTCTTCTTAAACGCTCCTCTAAATCCAATGCTTCCTCTTCATCTTGACTCAATTGCGTTAATCCATAACGAGCATTATTACTCGTAGGCCTCCATAAAATGATAATCACGAAAAAGACAATAAAATACAATATATTCAATAAACCATCCAACATGATCCAACGGTATTTCCAATTCTTTGCTGCCCAATCAATAGCCATACGTCCTGAGAAGGCAAACATGTTCAAGATAAAGATAGCAATAACGGCTAAAACAGAGAAGAGTAATAAACGATAAAGCCGTTTATACATAATCACTTTAACATGCTGTTTACGAAGTTCGAGGTCTCGAATTGTGTTTGTAATCGAATTGAGTGTCCAAACATAGAATATAGTCATTGTAGTTGAAAGAGGGAAAATGACAAGCAAGATCAAGAGTCCTGCCGTTTCAGGTGATAAAAGCATTGTGCCTAATGTATAAATCACGCCAAAGAAAAAGTGTGTACATGCAAGAATAATACATTTTTTCATTGCTGAACCCAGACTAGGTCTAATTATTATCAAGTAGTTAATAAATCTATCTGTTTATCTAATCTAATCTAATCTAATCTGATCTATGATGGTAATTGTATACTATATAAGATAATTACTTACTTGACAACACTATAGCCCATACAAACTATCAATAGCATGAAGAACGACATACTAATATAATAATAATTTTAAGCTATCATACTTGATCTAAACAAAAACAAAAAAATAATAATAATAATAATCCCATAATACCTTGTTCTACCTGCATTTAATAAAGCTACAAGAGCCAATAATCCATAAGCTATAATAATAATAATTAATTGTTATTTTTTATATATATAAACCCCATCTATTTTAAACTTTTATGATTTCTTACATGCTTTTCCTGTTTGATTATAAGCTTCCCAAAAGCCAAAATTAAATGCCATTTCAACAATAAGATAGAAAATAGCTGCTGATAAAAAGTGCTATAAATGTGTATATATATATATATATCATATAAAAGTTAAGAAAGTATACATAAACATAATAGCTTATATTTACTTGAACGGGTAAAATATCTCCCCAATTACGATAACTTTGAACGGACCAAAAAATACCAACAGCTAAATAGACACAAGTAAAGACACCATATAACTATTTTTTTTTGTTTGTTAGTAAATATACCTTTTTTTTTTCTATTCTTAATAATTTACTATTAATTTAGGGTAGTCAACAGCAGGTAATTCACCATAAGGGAAATGCCATTCAACCCAAGCCTCAAAATAAGATTCACTTTCATTACTATTACCAGGAACCATTGCTACACAATAATAGCCTGTATATTCTACTTTATATAAAGCCATTTCTGTTTGATTGCCTCTCATTGTTAGGGTCTCTGTAAAAATGCTTGTGGTATTTTGTTTGTCAACTGGGATATGAGTGATGAATTGACCCAATTGAGATGATTGACAAAGTTTATGTGATACTGCCAATGGATCGCAAACATAAACCATCTAAAAAAAAACCAAAATAAGGAAAAGTTATAACAACTAATAATATGACAGATGACTGACTTGTTTGAAAATGATACCTCTCCCAATTGATCATCATAAGTGCCAAGATTATTAAAGTCCTGCCATTCATATACAAGTAAGGACACTTTTCCTCGTGATTCACGTCCAACAGAAACTAGGGTACATGTATGAATACATTTAACATAATAAACATTATTATTATGTATATGTTTATCTACCTTTAATGTAAGGCTGAGAACCACCTGGAATATCATTTTTACTCCAAACACCTGAACAAGAAGTTGCAGAGTAATCATTACTTGTCTAGACAGAGAAAATGAATAATAATAATAATGGGAGTCGAAATTTTAATCATCAAAGTACAACTTTATTTTTCTTTAAAACAAGATTCCCTACCAAATAAACTTCTTCTGCATATAAAGAATTAATAAAGAAAGTTGATAAAAGTAAAGATAATGTAGAGAATAATCTCCATATTTTTACTGCTGTCATCTTTATTGAATCTGCTTCTTATAAGAAATAGGAAATAGAATTCCTATATTTGAAAAAAAAAAACAAAATACAACTAAAATTGATGAAGAATATTTGTCGAATTAAAAGGGTTCATTTTTACAGCGGAAGTTGAACCTTTTGTAGTATGATGATGATATTTTTTGTTGAACATTATTACAGCCAAAGCCTTCCTTCCCATCTCCCCCCAAAAAAAAAGAATAAGCCCAACTAGAAAACGGTGAATTTAGATTGTTAACAAAAGGACGGGCTACTAATAAAAATAATAATAGCTCCTCTCTTATAAGAATAAAAAGGAATCGAGTTTCTATAGGAGGGCGGAAAGTAAGGAAGTATGTGCGTAGTAAAAGTGACTTGAAAGAAAGGATATAAGATGGTACTAACAATTCTTTTCTGATATTGAATGCTCAAATCAGCATATGTATAAAATGTTGATTTGTTAACAGTTGTTTAGAACAAGTCTTCATAACTACGAAACGTGTTTGATTTGAATATGATTCTATTTCAACCTCAGTTTTAAGTTGTCCATCTATAGTGTTCAATACTACTTTGTTTAATTTAGTCAAATGAAATCAAACAGAGTAAATTGTTCAAGTATCAAAAGACTAAAGCTAATAGACGATTGTATGCTTATGTAATAAACCGAAATTACTAATATGAACTATATACAAGCCACTTTATTTATTTATTTATTTATTAAAAGTTAAAAATGTTGTTGAATAGTAATTTATGCATACTAATAAGTGATAATAAACTTGCCGGTCACATAGAGAAACGTATAGTACAGGAATGAATTGGAATACAAACTCGGAGTGGAATTATGATTATTGAATGTATAATCCGATTGGCTGTAAATTAGCATAGTAACTTTTTTAATTTTCAGACTTATTATTCTATTCTAAATGTACAGTTGATCCAATAAATTATGTCATCCGGGCCGAACAAAATGTCGTCCAATCAGAAATAAGTTTTCGCTGTCATAGGAATAAAATGTCCCCTCTTAGTTTTTCTGAGGAAGCTTTTGATTATCTCTTTCTTATAATGTCTATTGTAGCCTTACGAGATGAAGAACTCTTTTTTTTTTTTTTTTTTTTTTTTTTTTATGAAGATGGACAAAACAATATTTATAATGAAAACGGTCAATTAACGAACGTATGATCCAATGGAAGATGTCATGTCAACTATCGACGATCCCAATATTATTCTTGAAACCTTGGTTGATCATTCTTCTTATATGAAGAATAAGCCATTGGAAAAAACAACCAACTGAAAACAAAAAAGTCGACTACTTCAAAGCCAGTGAAAGTTGCCTCAAAGAGGACAAATGCAGACTATGGCATTAATCAGAGGATGACGTTCATCGATCGTATGATCGAATTACCTGTGGGACAGAGGTATGCCGCTGTGGTCGGGAGAGAATTAGGTGTCGAAGAACGAACTGCTCAGCGATGGTGGAGAAGCTACGAAGAGACTGGTGAAGTGCCGATCAAAAAATCAACCAGAAATCCAGGACGCCCAAACAACTTCACAGAGGAACACAAAGCTCACGTCTTGGACCTCGTTGATGACGATCCATAGGTTACTGTTTGTGATGTTGTTGAAAGTTTGACTAAATCCTTTGAGGATTTTTCGCTTCCAAAAATCAGCCATTCATAAGCACATGAACGAAACTTGTAACCTGTCAGTCAAAAAACCAAATTTCGAGTCTGAGAAACGCAATAGTCCTGAAAACCTACAAGAGAGATACGAGTGGTTTATGAAATGGAAGGATTCAGATGCTGACTTCACGAAAAACTGTATTTTCATTGATGGATGAATCAGGGTTTCATATCAATATGCGAAAGAATTACGCGTGATCTAGAAAATCAGAGCGTGCAGTTGTTAAGCTACCTCAGACAAGAGCTGCTTTTCATACAATCATCGGTGCTATATCTACAAAAGGTGTCATTCATATTGCGTTGAGAAAGCCTCCTCCACCACCTGCGAAAGATACAAAGAAACGTGCGAGGGACAATAATGACAAGAAGAGGGCAGTTACGGCAGTCGAGGAAGAGGCCGATACTACTACTTCTGACTATTCGCAGAAGCCTCCTCCAAAGGGAACCACTTCTGCTCACTAAACAAAGTTTATCAACGAACTCCTTGAGATTCTAGATGATATGGGAGATATGAAAGGGTCTTATATGGTTATGGATAATTGCTCTATTCATGGTACTAAACTTATGCAAAACAAAATCTTGAGAAGAGGTTACAAGTTCGTGTATTTGCCAACATACTCCCCAGAACTTAACGCAATTGAACAGTTCTGGTCTCTCGTCAAAGGAAAAATGAAGCGTGATAAACTTTTGCAGTCAGAGATCATGTCCAGTAGAATCAAGGACGCCTGCGTGTTGTGGTTTAGGTAGATTTAAGTAATTAAATAAAAGAAATAAAATAAAAAGAAAATAAGACAGAAGAAGTACGTTGAGACTTGTCAATAAGTTTATTAAGAGTTAATTCAATACAAGTATTGTTCTTAGTTATAAGTTATGAGTTAATAATGTAAGAGTATTTATATATTTTGTGGATAAGGATGATGAGTAATAAGAAGATAAAAATATAACAAATTGTATTTGATAATATAATTATAGATATAGATATAGATTTATGTCTTTAGTATATATTTATTTTTATAACTAATACGTGTATTCTGAGTAGAATCAATTATTACGCGTATTTGTATTATTTGTTTTAAGTATAAAGATAAGGAAGAAAAAAAGACAAGTCTGTGAAAACTTTGTATAGTTTTATTAAACATGAATAATACAAAAATTGTACCAGAAGAAAATAATATGGAAAAATGATAAGGGCTATTTATATGTTTTTTGTAAGGTAAGTCATATTGATAGGAGTGTGATTTAGATAAGTGAATACTGCTATAATAAAGCCTTTATGCACGAATATGCACAAATTTTGTCACCGAATAACTCTGCATGCAGTATGCAGATTTCTGCCTGAGCTGTTGCTGATATTAAAAATATACACGATTATTGTCTTTGGGATAAGCAACGCGTTAATATTAGTTTACAGTGAACATTCCCTCTATAACAATATACACCATTATGGATGTATATATAATATGTATGACTTGTATAAATAATTATGTAATTGAATATAACAGTCATAAATCTATTAAATTCTTATTATTATATAATACGATGTATATAATTATTTTTAATGCTCGAATCTCTAACAATGACTATTATTAAAACTGAATATTATGCTGTGAAGTACAATACACTAGTTTATTCGAATAAACTCTTTATTATTTAAATAAATGATAGTTTATTTCTATTAACTTAGTTGTAAATACGACTACAATCATAACACTCAAAATAACAAATATCTTCCATCTCTCAGGTACTAACATACGAATACTCATCTTTTATTCTGAAAATTAACAAAATAATATAGCCCAGAAAAGCATGGTGTAATTTGGTACGGGATTGATTTACGTCGCCGTTCATCTCTTCCAGAAGATCTTTATACCCGAATGAGGTACGAAACTACAGCGATCAAGCAATATAATATCAGTAATAGTTACAAGGAGGCGATCAGGAATATAATTCAATCAGTAAGTATATGTAAAGACGATTCAAATAATAATCAGAGCTACTAATCTGTCAATTAATAGACCAATCGTAATCATATGCTGGAATCTATTGAAGTCTTACGTTCTGCCGAGGGTAGTGCAGTTGAGAAGAAAGCACTAATTGACTTTTTTATGTTATTGTAAGCTGCAAAAATGTAATTCTAGATTTTTACTGACAACATTACCATTTTTATGTTATAGTGGTGAAGAGATTTATGACGATGTAGGTGATACTTTGTCTGAATCTGAGGCATGCCTCAACAGTAATTTGATAAAGCCTTGTTTGCAGGTATGTTCTCGTATGCTTCGTAATAAGAAGTATGACATTACTTATATACCCGGAGAAATTGAATTGACTTCTATGACTGAACAACTAAGCAAGCAAGGATTACTTGATAATCGTTTCAAATACTATGCAGATGGCAAAATAAGAATGAATGCTGATAAGCAAGAACTTTTGCTTCTTGAGGTTTCTTCTGCTCTGGGTCAAGCAACTCAAGACAAGATTGCCTTTGATCATACCAAAGCCATGTTTGGGCTTCTTGCCATATTGAAGACTCTCGTCTGCAAATATAGTCACGGATCATTTGAATCTTTTAAAAAAATTAAATTTCACTTCATTCACGTTCATGGTAATAATAGTAATATTTTTTCGATGCATAAGTCAACAGCAACTAACTTAATTTTGGTTTAATAGGCCAAGCAGTTAAACACTGGACAATGATGACTCCGGAACCTGGAGTTTATATCATGACAAAGGAACAAAAGGCCACCATTCCTGTGAACATCAACAGCATGGCTGATGATTTGATCTCCTATGTTCGATTCCATTTGAACTTGACAGTAAGATAAGAGTTTCTAATTCATTTCAACTGTAATGGTCACTGACCAAGTTTTTTTTAGGAGTTATTGAGGGAAACCTTGGATAGCATTGAAGGACTTCAAAAAGAACACCGAAGTCAGCTGCAAGAAGTAACGATTGACAACAAACATATATCAGCTGAGACTTTGTTATCAAGTGTTGTTAAACCAGTCATCATAAGGTTAAATGAAGGCAAACATTCCAAAGAAGTTGTGGACAGCCCCCGAAGTAGTTCAAACAGTCCTCAAAGGTGAACAGCTCATCTCCTTCTCAATTCAAATATTTTACATGTATTACGTTATTGCAGTTTATTTTGTGTATTTTTTCATCATTATGATTATTAAATAGCTTATCTTTGTCTATTTCTTTGCAAAAATAAACAAGCAAATAAACATTTAAGCACGTATATTAAAGTGTTGCATTGACGATGCTAAATAATATCTTTTATCATGATGTACTGGTAATGGCATGTCAAAGTAGTTTGTGTTGCGTTTAAAGCTCGAATAGGTGCATCTTCATTATGCAATGTATCTATACCGAGGTAGACAAACAGGGAAAGCTGTAATTCATTTGTGATTGAGCAAATACCATCAAAAGAATTTAAACAATAGCAACTCAAGAGCTTGACAAAGTCTTCACTTTTCACTCTGACCGAAGAATACTCTTTTTTTTTGTATGAAACGAAGAAAATTCGTCAGTATCACGAGCTTCTCCTAACAAATGTGTAATCACATTTGCCAGAAAATGTACATAAGATCACAGAAATAATTTAATATCTCATTTTAGCAACTTCTTTAAGATTAGGATCGTTCTTAAAAGATTTATTGAGCATGTTTTCCGCTATAGAAAAATGAGACTTTTGTAAAAGGAACTGATCATGTGAAAGAAAATAATAGTTTATAATGCTTACTTTATTTCATAATAATCCAAACTAGTTATAAAACAGGTCGAAACAGCTTTGGCTATATATGTGTTTATAAAAGTATCAAATACCCATCAAACTTTCCGAAAATGTGTATGTGTATACCATTGTTATAGAACAAGCTCTGGATATAATCATAAGTAATATTATAATAGATGAATTACATAATACAGGATAAACTATAAGCCTGAATATGAAATAAAACTCTGTACATAACATCTTGTAAATAATATAAAACTTATTGACATTCAATCGTCTAGATGTATCAATTATAAGACATCGTATCATTTCCACATATTTATTTTTATAGCCCTGACAAAGGATTTAAGTCGTCTTTGATCCACTAAAATAGACATCAGGAACCTATATACCCAGATCAAACGATTTAAATCTTAAATCAGAGTATTACAGCACCCAATATATAATCCATAAATCAGTCTCTTGAATCAGCACAATGTATAGCTGAATACTAACACTGTTTCATGACTTGTCTTTTTTATTGTTATTTTTACTTCTTTGATTTAGGATCCATTAGTATAAATACAAGTAGTTGTATAGACACAAAATAGTCTTTATATCATTCTTTTTACATTGAATAAACAAGTCTCAAACTATACTTCCTTCTGTTCTCTTTCTCTTTCTTTTCTTCTGTAAGTCATACCATCACATTTACCACACACATGATTTGAACTCACACTGCTGTTATAATTTTTGTCAATTATCCTTATATATGTGATAAACGACTTTAATGACTTCACTCAATAAAGTAAAGGATTATCCATATCAATTACATTCATTATACGGATTTTAGTTTCGTGCTGATTGGAAACTAGCAATTAAGGACTTATCAAAAGCTTCAGCATCTGTCATATTAGAGATACCCAATTTTAATTTTTAGAGACTTATGTGTACATTAATCAGAAATGAATGATATTTGCTTTAACGTTAGAATTCGTTCTGAAAACATCAAAAATAAAAATTGTCTTTTTTTTATGATTTAAAATTCTCATTCTAACGATATATAGCCTCGATCCATAGGTTCTTTGTCTTATATAACCAAGTTTTGGTATTAAATATTTATCGTAGAATTCACTAAGGTGGTAGCAGATTTACCTATTTGATCATTGTCACAACTTCTAAAGGTTTTTTAGCTCTCTACATTTCTTACCCAACTACCAATGTTAAAATGATTCATATATCTTCTATCATTTTTATCAGCTTTGGCCACTAAGTCAATATCCTTCCTTATTAAAGTAATTATTTTTAGTGTTGGATAGCTTATGTGATGTATCAGCTATAACAAGTCTGCCATCAGTTTTATACTTTTTTTTTTGTTGTTGTTATTAATATAATATTCGCCTTCATATTATTATTATTTTCGTCTATCACTGATGAGTCGATTGCCTCTGAACTAACATTTTTTTTTCTTTATCCCAAAACTGTGTTCTATAAAAAGTTGTGTGCTTATTTTTGCCATACAGGTTTTTTTTATGATAACTTATTCCTTCATGTTTTTTCATGTGCGTTGTTGTTTTTTAATTTGTTAAATTTAATAATATCTTCTTTGTCTGTCAATTCTTTACATAATATTTCTTCTATTTCAAGTCTTTGAGTATAACCACACAAGTAGTTTATACTATTTCCTTACTGTTACATATTATAATTTACAAGTATTCTGTAACCGCAACAAGTATGACAGTGGTTCTAAATAAATAATGTGTAACTTTTTATAGCAATTGTACTACACAATACGTATTAACTTTAGAGCCCATCCTCCTTTCTTTTTCATTTTTTTTTTATTTTATATGAGAAAAAAAATTATTGAAGAGGAAGTCCTTTATAGTGTAGAGGTGGATTAGATTCTGTTCTTGTTTGCTTCTACTACAGCCGTGTTACTCCCAGAAATTCTCTCAATGCTGCGGGCTTTCCTCTCTTGCATGGTAGGAAATTACCCCGCGATTTAACAACATCTTTTTATCGACCTCCATTTGAAGGCCTGGTGTTGAACATTGGATCCTGGAAGGTAGCATGTTATCATTAAAGCTCAGAACTAACCCCGATTTTATTATTTAATCACTCCCATCTACAGCTAACAAAGTTCATCTCTCCATGATCGCCGCTTGGCCTACAGAAAGGCGCTGCCCTTTCCGATCAAGTTATTTTATTTACCTCAATTTTTTTGTTTATAAACCCAAGATTTTAGGTGTAGTTGCCGAGTTGTGGTATTCAAAAAAAAAATAAAAAAACATTTCCCTTTTATGCATGCATATATTATAATCTCATATCATCAAACAATTTTTTTTAATAAGAATTCAACGACCATCGAAATAAATAAGCATAGTCAGTGTCACTTACTCTTCCTTTATTAAATTTTAGATTTAAAGTACCTGGACAAATAGTATAAAGGAATGCGGCTTCAACTTATTTATGTATTATACTTTTTCATGTTACATGAACTTAAGGAAGTTGGTACACTCTACTGACAATACTAAATAGGATTATTCTGTCGTAACTAATACTTTTCTAATGCCTCTCTGACTATAGATATTCTTATATGAATACCTAACTGTTAAAATCATAGATAAAACTGTGATATTACTTGTAAAATATCAAATAAAAATAATATAAAGACAAAAGAAATCAATGAGAGCGAACAATAGTTCTAAAGTCAATCATTTTTATTTAGGTATTTATAAGAATTGTTAAAGAAGTCTGACATAAGATGTGAATCAGAAAAGTGTTAGTTACGACCGAATAAGATATGTTGTAGATAATGAAGTGTTGGAAGTTTTTAATACTATTTGATAAAGTGGATCAAGAGAGATTTAGGGGAATCTAGATAGAATTCCTTGATCCGCTTGTTTAATCAAGGTACATAACATTATAAGTCAGTTCATGACAAAATGTATAAATGCAGATTATTTTTTATTTTTTTAAAAGAAAGAAACAAGGTGTACATTACCGCTGTTGAAAGGGTCTATTCTCTCAAAAGGATTACCCACGAACGATAATTGCTAGTAGGTTATAACAAAAGCTAACTTCATGCGTCCATTTCATACAATAATTAGTCATCTTATCAGCTTAAGTATGGCACGTTGTATTTAGATTGATTTCTGTCATATTGTTTGGATTAAACATACTTCGTATGCTTGTCAGAAAAGAAAAAAAAAGAAAGGCTCATATAGTCATTACCGAAAAGTATATGTGTATAGGTAATGGGCTACTTATTATGTTTGCTTACTTTTTCTTAGAGAGTATAGCAGAAATGTGAAACTCACTTAAATTCTTTGCCACGTCAAAGTTACGTTATTATTAGGTATATCAAATACATATTCTTTAAAGTACTCTTGCTATAGCGTTCTCTTTCTTTCTTTCTTTCTTTCTTTTATGTATACTGTATTTCAGTAAAAGTATTAAAGTCGTTTAACAATTTACTACGTAGATTCTTTTTTTTTATAATCCTAATGATGTTAATATACTCATACTTTTTGTTTTTCAGTAGAAAACTAGTGCAAAGTAATGTTCGTTATCATAATAAAGAAATAAAGAAAGAAAGAAAAAGGAGATTAATAAGGGACATTAGAACATCATTTACCTTCGTTTGCTAATGACTGTCGTTGAGAAATAGGTTGCTCGAGAAAAGAATCAAAAGTTGTTTCTACATTAGAAATAGCTTGCTTAAATATCTACTCCCATTTTGAAGTAGTTTCACTAAAACCAAAGAAACTACTCATTATTAAATCATTTAAACGCTTTATATGAATGGGATTTCAAAAAAAAAAAAAAAAAAAAAAAGAAATATGTAATATAAGTTTTAGGAAAAGCGGAAATTAAGTCTCTTTTTCAATATCCTTAATATATTGTACTCATCTTAGTTAATTTTTGATAATTTGATTGTAAAGGAAGAATAATAATCATGATAGTTTCTCTGATAAAATATTAGTCAATAGTTTACATAATCACTACTACATTACATCTTATATCTCCTATATTATTTAAGTCAATTATTTTATAACTTCTCTACTTGTTTTTATACTTCTTAAAGTCAATTTGGAGCAAAAAAATATTTTATTATACAAACAATAGTTAAAGAAGGCACAATATTATTAAAAGACGCGTAAAAAAAAAGATATATTTATTTATTGTATTTTATTTTCATTTTTATTTCATATATAAAAAAGTGAATCCCCAATTCGTCAACAGTAAAAATAATATTTACTGCAGTCCAAAGGTGGCCGCGTGGAGGCTAGGATTCTTTGCACCTTCTTTGTTCTTGTATTTTTTATTTTTACTAGGAGGTTAGAAAAAACCCACAGCTAGCACAATATGTAA